CCCCATCCACTCAAAACCAACCCCCAGTTCAGGTGCAAACCTCAACTGTTCAGAACCTTGAGGCACCCACCTGACATGAAAGGCACTATATAAATGTAATTTGTTGTTATTTGTTATTCCCATCAGAGCATCAATCTTTTTTTAAATAAAAAAAAATGTTCTGTCCTCAACCGCCCTTCCTGGCAACCTGTTCAGTTATTAATTCCCCTGAGTAAAGAAAAACCTCTCAGGTCTGTCCTGAAATTGCTCTTTACAACTCTAAACCTATGTGCTCTTGGCCTACTTTATTGTGCATCCCAAAGTATTGTTCTGGGTTTTCCAGTTTCAATCACACTAAAATGTTATGCACCTCTGCATGGTGCTAACTTAACCACCTCAAATCATATATTGTTCTATGTACATGGGACTCAACGTTCCAAATATTTTGGTGCTTTAAAACAGTAAAATCTAAATGTAAATTCATAGTCTCTCATTTAGCAATACTCTTTGACATCAAGTGCAGTGTTTCCATTTTAATATGAAAATACAAATTAGGAATAGGTAAGACACTAAATAAAAAATTACACTCCTCTGGCACATCTAGTTAACTATCACCACTTTCCTTTTCCAGGAGTTTTTCTTTACGCAGAGGATAAAGTGATGGAACAGGTTGCCAGGAAAGATGGTAGAGACCAGGACACTAGACTTACATAAAAAGCAGAAAAGCAGCTTGGTGGGGGTGGGTATGGGGTGGAGAAATGGTCGGGTGGATGTTCTGGAAGGATGAGATCAGATGGGCTGAAGGGTCTTCTTTATCCAGACCAATCTTGTGATCTTTTGATCGTTCCATATTCTTTGCCTACTGACATTGTTGACCTTACATCTCCTCTGATCTCAAACAGTATAACTCACACCTCATTGGTAAAGCTGCCTTCAATAAACTGGGTTTCTCCTTCATGCCACCATCAGGGAGCGGACAGGTTGATATGGGGTTTGCAGGTCACAGAGGTAGGAAGGGGCAAGGCCGTGGAGGGCCTTGAAGGCAAAGACGAGGATTTACTGAATATTTTCCGGGGAGGGAAGGGGAAGAAAAGATAAATCACCTCCGAAATAAAAAAGATTTTTTTGCTGTCAGACTAAAAAAGTAGGCCAATAAAAGTGTGCTAGTGTCCAATAAAAAAATTAAATCAAAGCTATTTTTAAACTGAAAAGAAATCTGAAGGATTCTCTTCAATTAACCAAACATTGCTTTGCCATGTCATGTCAGTTAATGCTATGTAAGTTATAAATGTTATTACAGAGATTACACATTTTAACAAGCTTAGAGCTTTACACTAGCTTCAGTATAAAATGCTTCCACCACATTCACACTAACAAATTTTATGGAGGTTTTTAAATGTCAATGATACATGGACGTGCATATAAACAGTTCACTGGTATTCTCAAGGCTGCTCTTATTTCCATCACCTGACCATCAAGTACAGCCTGCAAGGCTCACCCAATTTGTTTTAGAATTGTATGAAATTGGAAATTAAAATTCTCGGGATAAATTGCCCAAGGGCTGTCAGAAATAAACAATTCTATTAATGTTTGGAATTATCATAAAATTACAATTGTACAATTGGAATTTAGCACTGACTATAATTTTATTCCTCCCAGCTTCATTCCTCCCAGGGCAAAGATCAGAACAGCCAAGAAGCTAACTTAAACTCACTTAATATACAGTGCTCCATACTTATGCACTGGGGTCTTAATTCCCTATAACTCAGGTTTGAAAACTGCACATTAACATTTTCTCATAACCTTCTGTGAATCATGTTATTATTCTTCAGTGATACGACCACATAAACCAGACAGTCTTTAATGACTGTCTTTAATCAATGCCACTTCATGTGGACTTGTAACTAATTATTATGGTCTTTGTTTTTAAACTATACTAAGATATACACAATTATAGATGTACCAACACACTCGTGTGGCTGATGAGGCTATCTGAACCCCTAGACTAAATTATAGCCCTCCTAACCTTTTAATTTTACAATTTATTTTTTCAGAGGTTTCAGCTGATGTCCATGTATACCAAGCGCAGCCTTAAAATACAGGAATAGAAAAATTATAAGGGTACAAAAAATAAAAAATGAATGATACAACAAATGTAAGAGAATTTAATTTATATAGCTCCTTTCGCATTGGGAAGAAGCCTCAAAGCGCTTCATACTGCTAGTTGGTCATCCAAGCTAGAGGAACGCAGCTCAAGAGGGTTGGGAGGGGAAAGATGACCGAAAGCATGGTCAAATGTAAGTCTTGAGGCAACAGGAGAGGGTGAGTCAGAGGATTTCCGGGATGGAGTTCCACTTGCTCCGACTCACTCCATTCCTAGCTAATCCGCTTTAAACTAATCTTTGCCAGAATTAATGAGTTAGTTCCAACCACTCATAAGGTTTATAATTCACTAAAGGTTGGTGTTCACATAGATCAGTCCAATACTGCAATTCATTCCCATCCCTAGATAATAATAATCCTTGCATTTGATATAGTGCCTTATCACGTTTTTGGGAAGTCTCAAAGCACCTCACAGAATATACTGTGAAGTGAATTGGCTGTATATATTTTGTGGGCGAAATGCAGCAGCCACTTGCACACAGCAGTCTCCTACAAACAAACGTGGATTGAGTGACCAAGTTTTTTGTTTAAAGGATAACTGAAAGCCAGCTCAGTGTGAATAATTTGCAGGCCAGTGGGACACCACAGTTTCAACTTTCAGCTCATAGCTCAGAGTCAAAATGACAGCACACAGTGAAAAGAGTTAATACCAATTTAGGGGGTGGGGAGGGTTACATTGGTTCAGTTGAGCTCAGATATTCCAGGGGAGGCACACACTTTCTCTAAGTAGTGTGAGAGGGTTGTTAAGGAGCTCAACAAGGCACGTGGCAACCATAGGAGGAGTTTCCCAAGGTTAGAGGTCAGAGGTTATCAACCACAGCATTTTATTAGCTTGTGGGCATGTGCTGGCACAATCTGAATTGATGCTCTCAGGTTATGCCAAGTTATGTTGCGTCTTACCTTTGAAAACCCCCATCACTCCGTCCATCTGTACAGGAGCTCTGAACAGTGGGAGAAACTCCAAAACCATTAAACACACACACTTATGTGGCCAATAAAGCTTTATTACATGTTAGAACATAGAAATGTAATGAGCTTTTCCATTAATGAAAACAACTGAAAGAAAACACATTATCACATTGATAGAACTTATATGCCTTAACATCAATTTATGCAATATATATAATTTGTGATAGGAATGGCAGGAACAATTGAAAAGTATCACAGACATATTCAAAATGTACACACATTCACAGGAAATAATGGTAATAAAACCACTGTACTCACATTTCTTCACCACTGTCCAACATACCAAATGAAGATAGTCGTGGATTGAAGTAACCAATTTATTATTTATTTGTGCACAGCAATGTCCTACAAACAGCCATGAAATGAATGACAGATTCTATTGGGGAGATTGTTGGCCAGGACACTGGGAGAAACTGCATTCTTATTTCAAATAGTGCCACTGGATCTTTCATGGCCACCTGAACAGGCAGACGGGACCTTGTTTACCGAAAGACAGTAGTTTACATTCCTGCTAAAATTTCAAGTTGTGGGAAGATTGTTTTCCTTTATCTCAGCCAAGAAGGGTATGATGCACACTGCTGTTCTATGTTGCTGCCTGGAGTTGTTCACCCTGCAGCTTAATGCTCCCTTGCCAAATCATTATATTGCCATTCTTGATAGCAGCTCATGATAGATGGGAAAAGTTGCAATTGTTTTGAACATCAGATGATGCCACTATTTGACCGAAATAAAACTGTTCCTAGTACCTTAATAATAATACTCCTTGCATTTGATATAGTAGCTCTAAACCGTGGGAGAAACTCCAAAACCATTAAACACACACGCTTATGTGGCCAATAAAGCTTTATTACATGTTAGAACGTAGAAGAGAAACGTAATGAGCTTTTCCGTTACTGAAAACAACTGAAAGGAAACGCATTATCACCTTGATAGAATTTATATGCCTTAACATCAATTTATACTATATAATTTCTGATAGGAATGTCAGGAACAATTGAAAAGTATCACAGACATATTCAAAATGTCTTCTAGGCATCTCAAAGCGCTTCACAGAATATGCTGTAAAGTGAATTGACTGTATATTTGTGGGCGAAACTTGGGACTCAATCAAGTTCGGGTTTACAGGATCAACAAAAATGAAATTGGTTTGAGGTGGAAAATTGACACCAGTAGAATGTGAGCATTGATCAGTCAGGAGATGCTTGGGTACATTCAAAGTCATTTCACAACAACAACACTTGCCACAGGCCCATTTGATGGCAAGTAGCTCCATATATTTCAAAAAGAAATTCTCCATCTGCCCATGAGATCCAAACATCCTTTTTGAGGTATCCAGCTGTAAGGCCACCACATCCACAAAAATTATTTGGGGCACTTTGGTTCAGGTATTTTGAAGAGCTGCTGTTGTGTTAAAGCAGATGAGCTGGTCATGTCTCAATGCAACTTTTGTTAAAATGGCTTTTTCCTGAAGCTGCCCTACTTGTGCCCAAACCTTAATAAGCATGAGCACTGCCACCTTGGGCCCAAACTAAGCATGGATCATTTTGAGCAGTGAAAATGGTCTTTCTAAGTTTATTCTGGGGGTACAATCCAAACTCAGCTGCATTAGTGCAGCATCCCATGATTAAATCCTGAGAGGCAGCTCTCCTCACTATCAAATGGCAGCAGAAGCCATGCTGAAAACGTCAGGCCCAATGATCGCAGGCAATGCAGGAATTGTTGCTGGATTTTCCCCAAACAGTAGATCCTTCATAAAGTGGACCCCCAAACTGAACAAAATACTCAAAATGAGGTTGAACCAGCATTCTGTACAAATGCAATACTACTTCCTTGTTTTTCTACTCCAAGGCATGTTATCAACAAGAACACATTTGACACACTCAAATGTAGTTAAAAATAATCATTTTATTTGTACTTGAATACAATGTTTCAAATTACACTAGGCTTTTTTATATTAAAGAAAGCTTGCTCTGTATGTTGCATTGGAGCCAATTAAGCCTTTAACATCAAAGTCAAGTTTTAACAAAAAACTCACAAAACTCAATGAACCAGGACTGGTTCTACCTGTATAAACATTGCATGTGATCATTCCGATTGTACTAAATAGCAGTAATTGTGGTACTTTAAAGAATTATCGTAAATTTGCTATTATTGTGCTTTGCACTCATTATTCATCCACTGTTCATTGCCCACAGCACATTGAAGAAAATTACTAAGGAAGTGCAATGGCCTCTAGTGTTTTAGCAGTGTTCTACGTGGTTTTAGCAGAGCTTATTCTCCCATAGCAGCCAAACCCTGGTTAAACAATACAAAATAATTTTTATGTTTATGAAGAATAATAAAAACAGAATAATTAAAAAAATCAAGCACCAGCAAAATTATTCCAAGTTGTTTTCGTTATTATATTCGCAATTTACTTGTAAGAAATTACAAAACAATGTTTTAAAGTCTATTTATAAGAGAATTTCTCATTACTGTGCGTGGGCCATGCAGGCAGCTCAGCTTGTTTTGTCATTTGTGCTTTGCCTACAATGACTTCTCTGCAGGTCATCCAATTTACAAGTTGGAGCGAGTCAGCCAGACAAAATCCTGAAAATAATCATTTCATCCTGATTAGCATTAAACGTGTTTGTGAAAATGACCACAGAGAAATGCAGCTAAATCACAACCAATGTTATGAACACACTCGGTTCCTTCACATCCTCCCGACATGAAAGGCCCTATATAAATGTTGTTGTTTCTTGGATTTATTCCTAAGAATTAGTAGGTTATAAGAACAAAAATTAAAACAAAACTGAAACAATAGCGAGCATCTCTTTTGCCTCCCCGCCCAGGCTTGGGGCTACAAAGTGGTAACTTACCAAACAAAGTATTGAAAGCTCACTGTGACTGAGCTCAGGAGAACTGTATGTTGCTAAAGCACTGAATCAATGCCCTACCAAGATCCCTCTCCTCCACACAAAAATAATTACAAAGATTAATTAAAAAATTTAGATTATTTCACCTGGCTTGCCAAAAACACACCACTGAACAGAGATCAAGCAATCGGTGGACATGTGTATTTACGTGACAAAGGTCATTCCCACTGCTTACTTGTGTTTTTCTGTCAGACGACGGATCAATCATTACGTTAATAAGGGATGGTACTTCCTGGTCTGCCAGACAGGTGCTGAGTGCCTTTTGGAGCTCTTCTGGTGTCTGCACAAAATAGCCTTTCCCACCAAATGCACCCATGACCTGCTCATAGTGAGCGTTAGGCAGTAGTGAGATAGGTGGGGCCCTGAAAGAAATTTGAAAATAAAGTAAACATTTACCAAAAATACAAAGAAGCCAGATTTCCAGTGGTTTAAAACCATACATATGAACTCAATGAGATAACTTAATAGTTTCAAGATTCAGTCCTACATTGTAAAATTCAATCAATTTGAATTTAAGGTCATCCTTATGTCAAATTTCTCCTCTGGGACATTGACAATCAATGTTTGGATAGTGTTAATGGAAAACATGGAGAACCATAACAAGACCTCAACAGTTTAGGCTTTTGTTTACAATAGGTACAGAAGGAGACAATTTGATCCATCAACAACAAAATTACATTTGTATAGTGCTTTTCACGTTGGGAGGACATCCCAAGGGCCATTCCACAATTTTATAAGAACATTGTGGACCCTCACGCTGCTGAAACTCGGGTCCACGCCTTTATCACCTCAAGGCTGGACTATGGGAACTCTCTCCTCGCCGGCCTTCCCGGCACCTCCCTCCACAAGCTGCAGGTCATTCAGAACTCTGCAGCTCGTGTACTGTCCCGCACCAGACTTCACGACCACATCACTCCCACCCTCGCTCGCCTCCACTGGCTCCCCATCCCCCAGAGGATCGAATTCAAGATCCTCATCCTCACCTACAAGGCCATTCACGACCTCGCTCCCTCCTACCTCTCTGATCTACTATCCCCCTACTTACCTGCCCGTACCCTCCGTTCCTCTGGCTCCGGTCTGCTCCACATTCCCCGCCCCAACCGCCCTACCATCGGTGGCCAGGCCTTCAGCCTCTCAGCCCCGAGGCTCTGGAACTCCATCCCCCAGTGCCTTCGCCGCCTCCTCCTTTTCCTCCTTCAAGGCCGGTCTCAAGACCTTTCTCTTTGACCGTGCCTTCAGCTCCCCTCTCGACTCTCTACCCCCTCCTCGCTCCCTCCCTTCCCTCCCCTCACCCTGACCATTTCCCCCCTGCTCGGGTCCTGACCCAACTGTACAGCTCCTTGGGATGTCCTCCCGACGTGAAAGGCGCTCTATAAATGGAATCTTGTTGTTGTTGCTGTTAAAACTTATTTCTCAGTCTTTCCTCCATATCCATTAATATCCTTGCTTCCAAAATATCTATCCCTAATATAAAATGTACTTTTTTTAAACGTAAAATTTAAATAATAAAACAGAACATTGGTAAAGCACATCCCTGCAAAATACACTGCTCTGTAGAAGGTACTTAAATCATTTCAGATTAGTTCTAACGATCGTAATAGTTTTAGGGGTTGGAGGATGAGTTAACACATTCATCTGCAAATGATACAAATCAAAGAGAAAGCCATTTCTTCTTCCTGGAGTTGGTAGTCGGGTAACACTGTGCATTCAAATCGTTCAGAGAGAACAAAGAGGAATAGCATGCTACCCTGGCAGCATCTTCTCACCAATAAAAATCACACTGCCTAGGGACATATTTATTCACTAAGCCACCACAGTTCCTCTGCCGTTGAAATTAAAGCAGATCAGCAAAGCTGACAGGATCTATAATGATTGTGAAAGTAAACACTGGACAGTGGATTACATCACTGACGTTAACATTTCTCTAGCTGTTTCTTGTATTTGAATCCAAACAAGGAATTTTATTTGGTCAACTGGATGTCTGACACTTGTGGAAACCCATCACCGTGCTTAAGAGTATCTAAATCAGGCTGAGTTCCGCATTTGTATACCTTCTTTACATGGAAATTTCCAAGCCTGGAATACAATGCAAGCTCTCTCCTCAGATGGATATACCTTGCTCACCTAATACTGAAGAGTATTTGGCCAGGGTTGGCAAGAGTCAAGGCTTGGGGACCCCAGAGGGTGCATTGGAATACTGGAGTTTAACCAGTTAAAACCACCTAGTTTGTCGTTGATATCACTGTCTGGCAAATTTCTCTTTCCCTGTCCAGCTTGGACCAATTGGCCCAAAAGGGTTTTGGCTTCCAGGGTCAACAGGAGCTGTCTGGGAAGAATCCTTGCCCCACCTGGTTGGTCTGCCCCTCCAATTCCTGCTGATTAGCCAGGTTGGCTGTGCTGACATGAGCAGTACCTGGAGTACTGCGGACCTACCTGGCTGAGGAACTGGACTACCGAGACCGCCACAGAGGGCTGGCTCGAGTCTGACATTCCATTGCCAGGCAAGTCACCTTGGAGCCAGTCCAACTCCTAGGAGATCTTGCTTACTCCTCCCAAGGAGATTAAATTTGAACCACAAAAACATCTGTTCAACAAAAGAGTGATTAATCACAAAAATAAAATGGCATTCGAAGGTAAAAATGTAGTCATCCATCTCCACTGATATTAACGAGAAGTTAAATTCTTATTAGGCTTATTAAGTGGTGTTCAAAACAGCATCCATCACCATAGAAACTACCAAAAGAAGCTGAATTACTTTTTGTTGTTTTTTTTTGTGTTCTGCTGAGAACCTTTGCATCTTGTGCCAGCCTGGCTCTGCCTATGGTAACACTCCAATGCAATGCTGGGTTTGTGCATTGCTCTCCTTCACATGAGATTTAAATAGAGGTTCCAATCTAACAGCTCAGGTGTATGTTAAAGATCCTGCGGCACAATTTGAAAAGAGAAAGGAGTTTCTCCTAGTGTCCTGAACAACAATCTCCTAAATAAAACTGGTCATTTATTTTATTGTTTGTGGGACATTGTTGCGCAAATTGGCTGCTGCCAGTCACCTACAAAATACACTTGATAGATTATCCTGTGAAGCATTTTGAGATGTGTTCCCAATGTAAAAAATGCTGTACCAAATGTAAGAATGATTATTATTAAGAAGGAATCTTACTTCTTTTTCTTTTATTTATCTTGGCACTGCCTAAATAAAAGGGGGGAATCTATCAATCATCTGAGGATAAGGCCTATCTTAAGGAAAACCCATATCAATATTTTCTTGGAGAAATAATCCAACAATATTTTTTACTACTAATGATAAACTTTGCATTTGATATAGCATCTCGTTCAACATCTCATAGAATTTCACAGAATTTATTTTAAAGTGTAATGGTTTTTACTAAAGATGTGAAGATTGCTGCAAATTGTCCACCTAAAAATGGAATCCATAACTCTTGCTATTAGTTCATGAGATGGTCACAGCCTAAATGGAATGAGCTTTCATTGATCTGCTGGTCATTAGCATAACAGTTCATAAGAATATGTATTTTACAGCTCTTCCAGCAATATATTGTTCAGTAATTGGGTTAGTAATAAGCAATTTTATTGTCAAAAGAAAACAAATCATTGTCTAAATTTCTCCAAAGCTTCAGCCCTAAATCAGCACAGCACAGTTTGTAGCATTCTTGCCTCTGGGTTCAAACCCCACATCTACACTTTGAGCTCACAGTCTAGGCTCAGTCTCAAGTGTGGGGGAGGTGGAAGATGCTACATTGTCAAACATACAGTCTTTTGGGTGAGACTCTTCAGGGAGATGTTAAAGATTCCACAGCACTTTTGAAAAAGAGAATGGAGCTTCTCCTAGTGTCCCAGTCCACAATGTCCCCAAATAAAAAATGTTCATTCACTTTATAGCTGTTTGCTGTGTGCAATCTAACTGCCACATTTGCCTACAAATGCAAGGATTATTATCAATTAACTATTATTATTGACCTAGTATGCTAAAACAACTTTGAAATGGCTTCTAAGCAATAAAATCTGAATTCGATCTTTGCTGAGGTGATATTGCTCCTAGCAGGATAATAATATGGAAGTCTCAGTTATGCCAATTGTCCAACATTGTCCACAAAACGCAGTTACTGCACGTTGCAATGCATCTTGTGAAGTGCTTTGGGATGTTCTCCTGACATGAAAGGCGCTACACCAAATGTAAGGATTCTTATTATTACTACAACATTGGGATGGGTCAAGTAGAGAATTAAGTAACCACTGCTCTGTTGCTGACCTGGATCTCACCTGCATAGACGGTATTGCTCTCCCACAACTGTGGAAAGAAACAACCCCACTGAGGGCCAAGTTCACTGACACACAAGTGTGTACACAGAGATTACTGGTGGAAATCTAAGACATAATTTTCACTGGTCAGTAAGGTTAGCTGCAACCTTGGTGGTGTGTTATTTTAATAGGGTTTCTCCATTCTAAAAGTACGGTCGAGCGAGTAACTTTATTCGGTCAGTACAATTTCACCCCACCATTCAATGCTGGAGCAATTGGCTTTGGACATGCATCTTAGTTTTTAAGATATTTGGCTGTACATATACCCACTGATGTCCCCAGATTGAAAAAGTTAATTGGTTTCAAATCTTTGTTTTGTTCCAAAATGGTTGAGTCAACACTGAAACCCACAATGAAGGCCTTGTGCTTTCTTCTGAGACTCTTAACATGTACTGTGAAATCATTCAATGGTGCTGTGTACTATTACCCACATCAGCTATTGTAGCTTCAGCTGCAGCTCCATCTGGGGTCACTGGAAAGTTATATCTTTCAGTATTCTGTTATCGTGGCTTCATCAGCCAGTCACTTGTCTTTGGGAAAAGTTAATAGGCAAAGTGAGTGTAAAAGGAGGTACTTAGTGGACCGTGAATATAGTTTTATCTTCTGGAAAATTTCAGAACCTGTTGCTTACCAGTTGTAAACACAGTACACAGAAACTGAGGAACATAATGCTTGAAAATTGTAACTATTGACATTTAGTGCTAACTGGAGCCATAGTGTTTCTCGCAAAAAAAATGGAACATTTCTAGAAACAAAAAAAAATCACCCGTTAGATACGCAAACTCGCTATAAATGTTCTCCTTCCACTTCATAACAAGTCGGTTGCTCTACTGAACTAACTATTAAAGTGGATCAGAAGATAATAACATATTTTCCTCATTAGTAGAGGATTAGCACAAAACTTATGAAATACATCAAGACTGCTCTGAGAACCACATATTGGCAGATTGAATTCATGTTTTGCAAGTAGAATGGTAGTTATTTGCATGATAATTACCAGCTTATCTGTGGTTCATCCATGTCAGGTTCCGATATGAAAGTGAACATTTGTCTCTGAGTACCCAACAAAATTCCAGATGTTCACATTGCAAAGTTGTGCCCATGTGTAAAGTTACTCAGGATACATTTTCCCACACAGCAAACCGCCCCACCAGTAAACCCACGCACATTTTTACGCACGCACACAAATGGATTTTCTTTGTTGGGGTGTGAAGGTAACTCTTTGTAGTTTGGTATGGGGTAGAGTTAGAGAAAGAGATAAGACAGCGAAAGTCTTAGGGAAAGACTTTTTGTTTGATCAGCCACATGTGGAAATCCACAATAAGGTTTAAGATTACAATAAACCCCCAGTTTAACATAACGTAACATGTAGGAGCAGAAGTAGACCATTCGGCCCTTCTAGCCTGCCCTGCCATTCAATCATGGCTGATCTTCTAATCTAATTCCAGCTAATAACCTGACCCTGCCTTATCCTCATATCCCTTAATCCCTTTTGCAATAAGAAATATATCTATCTCAGTCTTGAACATGTTCAAGGACTGAGCGTCAACAGCCCTTTGGGGTAGTGAGTTCAATACATTCACCACCCTTTGAGTGAAGAAGTTCTTCCTCAACTCAGTGAGAAAGGGCTGGCCTCTGATTTTAAGGTTGTGATCCCTGGTTTTAGTTTCTCCAACCAGGGGAAACAATCTCCCACTATCTACTCTATCATGCCCTTTGATGATCTTATAGGTTTCTATAAGATCCCCTCTAATCCTTCTATATTCTAGAGAATATAAGCCCAAATTGGTCAGCCTATCCTCGTAACTCATCTCCTTCATCCCTGGTACTAACCTAGTAAATCTACGCTGCACCCCCTCCAAGGCAAGTACATCCTTCCTTAAATAAGGAGACCAAAACTGCACACAGTATTCCAGGTGTGGTCTCACCAGGGCCCTATACAGTTGCAGCAAGACTTCCCTACTCTTATACTCTAATCCTTTCATAATGAATGCTAACATACCATTTGCCTTCCTAATTGCTGCTGCACTAACTTTCTGTGATTGGTGTACAAGGACAACCAAGTCCCTCTGGACACCAACACATTCCAATCTCTCCCTTCTAAAAAATAACCCGCTCTACTGTTTTTGCTACCTAAGTGGATGACTTCGCACTTCCCTACATTATACTTCATCTGCCACCTACCTGCCCAATCACCTAACCTATCTATGTCTCGCTGCATTTTTTTAATGTCGTCCTCTGTGTTGACACTTCCTCCTAGTTTTGTGTCATCCGCGAATTTAGATATATTAACTTTGATATCCTCATCTAGATCGTTGATGTAGATGGTAAATAGCTGAGAGCCAAGATCTGATCCTTGTGGCATTCCACTCGTCACATCCCACCAATCTGAAAAGGACCCGTTTATCCCTACTCTTTGTTTTCTATCCGTTAACCATTCCCCAATCCACGTTAATATGCTCCCCCCAATTCCATGGGCCCTTATCTTTTGGACTAACTTTTTATGCGGCACCTTATCGAATGCCTTCTGGAAGTCCAAATAGACCACATCCATTGATTCACTCTTATCTAGTTTACTGGAAATATCTTCAAAAAGCTCTATGTGATTTGTCAAACATGACTTCCCTTTTGTAAGGCCATGTTGACTTGGCCTAATTATATTGTGCTCCCCTAAATACCGCAGTACCACATCCTTAATCAATGATTCTAAATTTTTTCCTATCAAGACTAGACTCCAGGTACCCTGAATTCAACTCCAGCCGGACAGGGCCCCCCAAAAAATCTTTTAAAAAGTATTTCCTTGGGCACACGTCTAGACCCTTGCCAGCCCAATTCTCCCGGCATGCTAACACCCCTCTAAGCAATCCACGTGATCCCACAGCTTTCTGCCTCAACAAGCTTTCTTAGGCATTCAGTGTCTTTCTGTGTGGGTGAGTGACTACTTTTGTTTTGTAAACACAGTGGTAGAATTGCATATGCAGTGACAGAAAATGCCAGTAAATGCATTATTGGCATTTACGGCACTGCATATGCAGTATTTTGTATTATTGGTATTGTAATTACATTCAGCTGGAAATTCTGGCTCGCTAGACCAGATCAGCCCCGTTAGTTTGGCTAGCCGGGGTTTATCTGTATCTAAACCAGACAAGAGTAACACGTTCTGATGACACTTACTTATGCATGGAAATTTTCCTGTGTCTGGAATGGAATGTGCACTCTCTCCCTGGAGAGAGTGATACACCTTCAGTACCTTGTAACAATTAAGGTTTAATCTTAAAATAAGACTTCCTTACTTACACAATGGAAGTCTCTCCCAATTTTGATATCTCTTTCCACGTGTCCTCATCCAATCCACTGTAAATGCCATTATTGTTTACTACAATGACTATTATTGTCAAATTGTACCTAAAATAAAAAAACACTTAATAATGCATCTTATTTAAGGCCAAGAAGCATGATTCAACAAGATGTAACACACTCCTACCCAATGACTTTGTAACAATGTAACATAACTGACACAATTCCAATGTAGCTCGCTATAAGCAAAGTTTATGTTCCTATGTTACAAGATCTCAAATTGAGCAATGTATGTAGTCACTGGAACGACACAATGTGTTACAGCTCACAATTCATTTCACCTCCATGAAGTACGTAAAAGATTTGTTCAGATACAGGATTTGGTATGAGTATCGAATCTGCTATGGGCGACAGTGAACAGTGAATATATATGTGCACGATGGGCCGAGTGACCTTCTCTGCTGTAAATTTATAATGTGAATTAATGTTTCAGCAAGTGTTCCTGTGTTCCTTGACATTCTTTGATTATCTTGTGCAGCTTTGTTTCCTTCTCTCTTGCTCTCTCTCTAAGGGTTTCCCATTTCAACTGGAGTAACACAGGACCATCTTAAACAGTAATTAACCTTTCTGACCTATGATGTTATTGCCTCATGCTTGAGGGCAAAGCACACACATACTCCGTTCAATGAGAAAGACAGAGATTTTGCCTGAAATAGATGACATATAGAATATATCCATTCAGTCAGACTTCTTCCCCGTGTGAAAAGCACTGTAAAATGCAAGGATTATTATTATTATTTTTGTTGTTGTTGTTGTTCACCTTCTCCTCTCGTCCTGGGTATATAATAATAATAATCCTTGCATTTGACATAGCGCCTTATCACGTCTTCGAGACGCCTCAAAGCATTTATAGAATATACTGTAAAGTGAATTGACTGTATATTTGTGGGTGAAACGTAGCAGCTAATTGTGGATTGAAGTGACCCACAAACAGTCATGAATTGAAGTGACCAATTTATCATTATTATTTTTTATTTTATTATATTACTGGTTCTCTTGGAAATTTAGCATTGGAGGTAATGATCAAGAAAATCCAGTAAAGTTCTGGATCACATAAAGCAGTGCTCAGCAAAGCCTCCTTTGTAAATTTAGAGATCAGCTTGCGACATTGAAGGAAGGGTAAAGTTCCAGATGTAAACAACTGTTAGTGCGGTGATATGTGGCAATGTGAAGATACTGACAATTTGTAAAGTGAGCCAGAAGTTTACAATAAATTAGTCAGCAGCAGAAGCTACAAGGGAATAACATGCACTGAAGATATTCCTTCTGTTCCTCTCTCCTCGGTTCCAATACTAAAACATCGTAGCAACAAACTAAAAAAAAATCATTAATGAATTCACTCAGAGGTGTACTCCATTACCTACATATGGTTTCCACTTCCATACCAGAAAAACCAAAAGCACTGTCCCCTTCCACACAGATAACCCGCTGCTGTGGCAAGTGATCCTTGGCAATCATTGCTGCAGCTATGGCAAAGCCCAGTCCTACACCCATCGTGCCAAAGGTACCAGCATCCAATCTGCAAGAAAAGTATCAGACGCAATTTTTTCTGTTTTTAACCAGCAACCACACAAAGAAAGGACCTCCTGATATGAAAGGCGCTTTATAAAAATAGTTGTTATTGCCCCAAGCAGGGTGATGGTTTTCACCACGTGGTCAAGAGGTTTTTGTGGGAAATTAAATTGGCTGCAAAGTTTAAATATATTAAAACTTAACTTTACTTATCCCCACCCTTTGGAATTCCATCCCGCAGTTCCTTTGCCTTGCTCCCTCTCTTGCTTCCTTCGAGGGACATCTCTTCGATCGTACCTTCGCTCACCCTCGTACCCCTACACTCCCTGCCCTCCACCTCTCCTGATCCCAACTCCCTTCTCGGGTCCAAATCCCTGACTGTCTAGCGCCTTGGGACGCTAGACCTTGGCCTTTTCCCAATGTAAAAGGCCCTATACAAAGATAATTTGTTGTTGTTGCTTACTCTATTGGGATAGGCAAACACAAATCTTATTGTAACATTAAAATTGAACATTCCCGTGAAAAACACAGGGTTCACCGTATTCCTGCAAGTTACTTTTGTCTGTTTACCAAGTGAAGGTCAACATGTACAGGAGGTGAAACTACTGTACAAAGTTAAAATAAGACACCACTTGTCTTATAAATATTTATTATTAGATAAAAGGTTAAATATTGTGCAAATCTAATCTTTCCTAAACGTTTACAGTCTTGATTGAGCATGCTAACAAGTGAATTACCTGTGGCGTGGAAGGTAGTTCTGTAGCATGGTGCGTCCAATGTCCATGGTATTGGCACCTTCACTGACTATAATGCAGTCTTCTGGTAGTAATGCTTGAATGTTGTGGAAAACAGTATAATAATTCATAGGCAAAGTCTTCTGGGCAGCTAGGGCCTGGTAATGGAAAGTTATGATTCATTTAGATAATGATCCATTCTTGTGCAAGATGATAATTATGGCAAAAAAAACTTCAAAGAATGGTCCGTGCATTCTTGTGATTATAGGGTTAGAGTGGTTCTGTTAATTGGCTGCATGAATTGATTCGCTTCATTACAAAATATAATCATTTGGGATGGGTTTATACAGATTGTAGAAAAATGATTTCCCTCATTATCTGCTAGTCTACTTAATTGCTGCCTTTTGCAAAGCATTTTGTACCTCCAGTTTGCCAAATTAGCCAGAATATCATTCTTACCATTATAAGGAATTGCCTACAAATATTCAGTCACTACACTTTACAATAAATCCTGTGAGATGTTTCGATGACATGATAAGATCCTAAATCAATTGCAATGCTTATTATTATTATTATTATTTTTATTATTCATTATTTAGAGCATAGGAGGTAATCAGCCCATCAAGTCCACATCTGTGCCAAATAGTTCCTCCACTGGAACTAACTACTCAAATTCCAATTCACTGCTGTTTTTTCCACACCCTTTTATACTGTTCATCTTCCAGTATTTATCCAACTCCCTCTTTAAAGCTATTATTTATTTTTTGCTCTAATAGCACCTGATGGCAAAGCATTACTTTCTACCCGCTGTGTGAAAGTACTTCTTCCAAACTGCTCCTTTATTCTTTTATTTTATAGAAATCTTGCTAATAGATTCGTAATCTTTTCCAGAGTGCCGACATTCTTTGATAAAATCAAAGAACAATCTCTAGTGTCATTTTTCTGAACAAATAATTTGAGTTGCCAACAAAAATTAACGTGCAGTTAAGCATTTCTTCTGTGATAAAGCACTGTTTTCTTTCCCCAAAAAGAGTAAATATGGAATATTCAATATTCTTATGTTTCTATGTGACATGTTCAGAATTATTATATTTCATTTAAATTGTAAGTTTTGACAATCTGCTTTGTGGTAAATCATGGAAATGTCTCAGCTGCTGGCTAAAATGTCTCCCTACCTCTGTAATCCTGTCTAGCCTTACCCTTCTGCCTTTTTTTCCCCAAAGGAATTATTATTCCCAGACAAGCGATCCGCCAATCAAAATATTCTCATGCAAAGATTATTGGGGGAAAAAAATGCTTTGCCACAATAGCTGTTAAAGTAAAGGACATAAGAAAAACTAAAAAAGGAATTGGATAAATATTTGAAAAGAAACAATATAAAAGAATATGGAAAAAGAACAGGAAGTTGGTATTAGTCTAGTGAACTCAATGCTGGCACCAGCACAGGCTCCATGATTTTCTATGTTGTAAATTCTATATTTTATCAATTTAAAAAAGTCCATCACCATTTCATACTTTGGATTTTTCCACAGCTGCTCTGATAATATATTAAATTCATAAATCAGGATAATAAATATCAGCACTCAAACCTCTGTAATTGATAGGTTGTGAGACATGGTAGAATATACACAACTATAGCAACAAGTTTTCTATACAAAATATAAGATTTTTTTAAAAAAAGTTCTATTTATATTCTATTACATGATATGATACATTTTTCTAAGTCAGGATAGAATTATTCTGCCAGTCTTCTGTCTTATATTGTCAGAGACTCTTTTCAACTACAGAATGCTGTGGATTGCTATGTTGTAGCCAGACAAAATAAGGAAAATCATGTGTAGTTTCAAACATCAGCTAAATAATAATAACCATTGTTACATTTGATCGAGAAACTCATCATGTTATCGAAATGTCTCAAACCAATTTATTGTAAACTGTACTTGACTGTGACATTCTCAGTGTATTTGCAGGTGGATGTTTAAACTTCACGGATGACCTGGAAGGTTTCTAACGAAGAATTTATTTGATCAAAAAGATTTTCGGTAGATATTTAAAGTTGGAACCAATGAACGCCAATAAGACATACATTAGTCCCCACAGAACAAAAGACCTAACAACTAATTCAATTGGTTTATTAATTTACCTTGGAAACTTCTTGATTGCTTTTTATCTTCTCCCTCAGATAGACCCACCATTCAGAGCTGGATGGGTAGCTCCAAGGGTTAGCTCGGAGGCAGTCCAATAACTAAAAGTCAAAACATAACCAACAAACTGAACAAAAGAAAAAGTAAAAACTTGTATTTATATTGCACCCTTCATGCAGGATAGCGTGTAGAGTGGTGCACAGTGGCGGGATTGAGCAAGGGAGAATAAGGAGATAGAGGTGACTATAGACTAGGTCAAAGAGATAGGATTTAAAGTGGGATTTAAAGATAAATAAAGAGGGGTTGAGGTGGAGGGAAAAGTAGGCCAATAAATGTATGTATACAACATATAGGTATGTCTGGCACTGCATTGTAGTAAGCCAATGTCAAGCTGAAAGAAGACATTCAATCTCACAAGATCATACAATCAATAAGGACTTTCTATTTACTGATCTAATACATGGGCAATGGGCTCCTGTGCTGACATTTCTAAAGAAAAGAATTTACAAAACTGAATGATATGCGAATCAACTAACTACCAATTACCTTGCTTATATTGTTTTTCAATTGACATTTTTTTAAAAATAACAATTCCCTTGAATTTGCTTTGTAGCAGGACCTGGATTTATATACCTAACCACGAAAGCAGGACCATGTTAATGGGGAAGTTCTGGATTCAGTGAGATGAGAGATAAGGCTGAACTAGGCTAACACTCCTGTGCACCACTGAGAGAGAGAGAGAGAGAGAGAGAGAGCACTGTATTGCTGGAGAGATCTTTCAGATGAGATGGTAAACTGAGGTACTGTTATTTCAGACTGTTGAACTAAATATTACACAGTACAGCTCTGTTAGAACTTAGTAGTGGGGGGTGGGGGTCATCAAATCTCAACTCGTCCTATTCTGGGGTGCGATCGCCAGTCAGTAATTTCACATTGTGACGACATTCATGATAGGTTGGCCACATCGCTGTGCAGAACAAGCCGGCTGGCTTCCCAAGCTAACAAATGGTCGACTTCCAGGTTATTATGCCACTTGTTATGTTGAATACACATACAGGAAACCTGCGGCCTCACAATACAAACCAATCCATGTGGACAATTGGTTTGGGTTGTGCGCTGTCACTTCTTGCGCAGCCCGGAAAGTCGGCCATGGGGTCCACACCTGCCTTATAAGTGAATCTACTTTATACCAAACAGCCATGTAATGAGGTTCACTTGGCATTATGTTGAAGAAGGTTGGGAGACAGGGAATTTTTCCTGGTATGCTGGCTAATGTTCATTCTCCATCTGAATTCAATCAAACAAAAGCTTACAGTTTGATCAGTAGTTTCATTGCTGTTTGTAGGATGTTGCTACCACATTTTACATGTAAAGAAAATGAAATGAGTTATAATGCAAGGAAACGGGTCATTCAGCCCAACTCATCTACGCCAGTGTTTATACTTCATATAAATCTCTACCCCTTGTAATGCCCTATGTCCCTCTATTCCCTTCTGCCTTATGTGTGCATGCCTACATAAACATATCAAAATAACTTGCTGTGGAATGTGCTTTGATGCAATGAGGTGCTATATCACTTTCAACTTGTTGACACAATGTCACCATTCACCTCTGCATACAACATTAATGCTATATTGGGGGAAACGTAATAAACGATTTACATGCTGCAAAGTGGCTTCGGCATTGTGTACACAACAGTAATGCTATTTTATGGTGATTTAAAATGTGATATATTATTAAAGAGCACAAGCTGCAAAAGTTGATTCCTTCCAGAAACTAACAGCACTGAGACTCGTGGGAACACTGTTCTGTTGCTCTAATTTCAGAGTGGAATTCAATTGAAATTTAGACTGGGAGAAGATGTTAAAGGGCTAATTGAGTGTATTACTGTATTACTTTAGTTTTTCACTAAAATTGAGTTATTATGGGTCATTGATTTTAAAATCAGAATGCAATGGAATTAATATTTTCCCAACATGATCTCCACTATTATGGTAAGCTGTCATGTTCCACTGTATCCCAAACAAATTCATCCCATTGTCTACTCTTCATTTCTTCGATGCTTTGCTGTCAATCTGCAAGTCACAATGGCAGGAGCTTTGCCCCCTACAGAACTAATTAATATAAGTGGAACTGCTCTGTAAACAAAGAAAGATCCTGCATTTTTATGGAGCCTTCTCATGTCAAAAGCTATCCAAAGTGCTTAAAATATTTATAAGGAAATTCTCAAATGCAGAACAACAAACTATAAAAAGCTTCAAAAATGTTTGATTTAGTATTTTTAAACTACTGAGAAGATTTATCCACTTTTGAACCTTTATGTAAATTTCAATCTATGTTTCGGATCCAGTTATTGGTTGCTATGTGTTACCTCATCCCTATAAGCTGCTTTATTATAAAAATAATTTGGTCAGTCAATCCGAGACTGTTTCTGGGACACTGCTGTGCACAATTGGTTGCTGCATTTTGCCCACAAAATATACAGTCATTTCACTTAACAGTATATTCTGTGAAGAGTTTTGAGGCGTCTCGAAGATGTGATAAGGAGCTATATCGAATACAATGATTATTATTAATCTCCATTCGTGTTGAATACAGTAGATGACAATGTGACACTAAAAGAGTTAGGCACTAGTCCTTTTTGACACGACAATAACTTGCATTTATATAGTACCCTTCTTGCAGGGTAGAGTCACAGTGTGCTTTACAGTGCCGGAGCTGACAAAAAAGCCAACTATCCGACAATATGAATTTTCCAATCTATATATATGAAAATAAATATTATTGTATTGCCCTGTCAATATTACAAGTAGACTACCCTTTGTGGAAAGCACTCTCGGATGGGAGAACGGAAAGTCATTATGTGCATTTCATTCTAGGTGCCTATAAAAAAAAAGGATGGGTAATGAACCTTAGCAAGGTCTAAGGGAAAACAGTTAGCAATAATTGAATGACAGTAAATTCCCTGTGGAGTCATCAGTATTATATCAAATACCTTTTCAGTTCAACTTATTTTGGAGGAAAATCAATTTTACAAATGTTGTAGTGATAAACCCTGGTATCCGGGGAGTGCTGGCGGAATAAGCTTAAGGCACGGCTTCATTAAAGATTTCATCTCAGCCTGGCTGCTTGCTTATTTTCAGTGATATTTCCTCACCCCCAGCTCTCTCACATATCACAGTTCCCTTTCCATTTTCGAAAGTGCAATACTGCATTCAAGAGAAGCAGTTATTTCACATTCTGTGTTCGCCTACAAAATACAATTACTACATTACGCACTAAGTCCTGGAAGTGCTTTGAGACATCTTCCTGATGTGAAAAGCACTATAAGAAATCAAAGGCTGCATTCCACAGCTGTATTCAGAGAGAAGCAGTTATTCTACATTCAGTGTTATGGCTACTTCCTGTCTTAGGTGCCTGTTTAATAATAATCCTTATATTTGAAATAGCATTTTATCATGTCATCAGAACATCTCAAAATGGTTCAAAAGATTTACTGTAAAGTAATAGTGTACTTTGTAAACTAATGGATCAGCGAATTTATGCACTGCAATGACAATGACAACAGCAACAGATAGCACCCTTCACACTGGATGGCATCTCAGAGTTCTTCATGTATAGCCATGAAGCGAATGATCAATTTTATTGGGGGGGGTTGTGGGCGGGGGATTGATGGGCAGAATATTGGGAGAAACTATCTTCTCTTTTTCTCCCCAATAGTGCCATTGGATCTGTTCACCCTCTGTTTAGAGCACTCGCCTCGCAAGCGAGAGACATGGGTTCGATTCCTGGCAGGCAAAACCTTGGGCAAGTTTCCTTACTCCACACGCCTGTTAATAATCCCTCAAAAAAAACAATAATAAATTGGTCACTTCAATCCACGACTGTTTGTGGGACACTGCTTTGTGCAACTGGCTGCTGCGTTTCGTCCACAAATATAGTCAATTCAGTTTACAGTCTATTTTGTGAAGCGCTTTGAGACGTCTCGAAGACGTGAAATGTGCTATATCAAATGCAAAGATTATTATTATATAGTACTGAAACTCAGTGCCATCATCTGAGCCCAGTGGGTGGAAATGTGGATTAGTATCCCAAGGTGTCACTTTGCTAGATTGTAACTTGTTTGATTGCTGAGTGACAAGTTCCCAGATCAGGCTCCACTGGTATCAGAGTCAGAAAACTGGAAACTGTATGGCTTACTCCAGTCAGAGAGTCTCTGGTGGAAATGACATCAATAATAGATCTGAAGGGAGCTGTCACACAGACTTCTTCTGCAACGGTGGTGTTATCCATCTATAAAGCAACATTAAAGACTTGAAAATACTAAGGGGTTTGATACACTGCCCTGGGATTCCAGTCTATCCTTATGTGATTAAGACTAATCCTCAAGTCCAGAGGCTTATAGCAGACAACGACAACTTTAAGAGAAAGCGAAGGGCACCTGTTCAACGACAGCGTTCACATCACCAAGTAAGGCTGCAGCAGGTTTCACATTATTTCCTAGTTCTTCAGCACAAAGATCAACCTTGCACGTTAAAAAAAGAATATATAGATTAATTTCTAGCCATCAAAGCCATCAATATATAATAAACTGTTAGTGAGAGCACAGACTTAAAATCAAATTGTTTTCTGGAAATCAGATTCCCCAAATTACACGTTTGCAGTAAATCTGGATTCCACCCCCCCCCACCACCCCCACCCATTAACTTTTATGCTGACACATTTTAATGCAAAGTTGAAACACAAACTTTCAAATGTCATTTCTTAAATCCATACTTGTACAGATGATCAGATGAAATTCTTACTCATTGCCTGACCCACTGTACAGAAATTCTATGTTACTTTCCAGCATTTGGGGGGAGGTATAGAATTACACAGATTCTATTTGCCCACGCATCTGATTATACTCCATCTGTCCTAATCCCCGTTGCCAATGATGTTATTACACACATTATAAGAGTGACCAGTGAAATCTGCATCAGTAAAATACATTCACAATGTATGGGCATTGGGAACAGACAATAATAATTTGTTCTTTGTTTTCTTTTCATTCTTCTGGAGACAGAACAAAAGGTATAATAAAATTAAACACCAGCATGTTTCACAATCTTGTAAAACAAGTAAATCCATCCGCAAATATAATTGTAAAGAATCTATGTGTCAGATGCAGAACAAGGGAGAGACAATTTATATGTTTCTTATGCTTTGAATTTATTTTGTAGCATTTAAAATATACCTTAGTGGTACTAGCTGGACAACTAAGGGGAAGTTTGCCAACGTCAATAATAATAAGCCTTGCATTTGATATAGTGCCTTATCACATCTTCGAGACGTCTCAAAGCACAACTGTACGTTCACACTGTACTAGCTGGCTAAACACCAGCAGTACCTCAATGCACACTCTGGGGTCATAGAACCATAGAGATTTACAGTACAGAAGAAGGCCATTCGGCAAATCGTGTCTGTGCTGGCTCTTTTAAAGAGCAATCCTTCCAGTCGTATTTACCTGCCCTTTCCCCATACCCCTGTAATTTACTCCTTTTTAGATATTTGTCTTATTTCCGTTTGAAAGCTTATATGGATTCTGCCTCACTCATCACTTCTAGAGGGCATTCCATTGTATCTACAAAACTCAAAATACTGGAAATCTGAAACAAAAACAGAAGTCGCTGGGAAAACTCAGCAGGTCAGACAGCAACTACGGAGAAGGGAAAGTGAGTCAACGTGTCTTTGATCATCTTTTCTACCCCCGGCTCCAGTGCAAATTCTGGCTAATCTAGCACCTTGGAACGTCCTCCCGACATGAAAGGCGCTATATAAATGTAAATTTGTATTGTTAAGGTAATAATAATAATAATAATAATCCTTGCATTTGATATAGCGCTTTTCACGTCGGGAGGACGTCCCAAAGCGCTTTACAGAATAGACTGTAAAGTGAATTGACTGTATATTTGTGGGCGAACGCGGCAGCCAATTGCGCACAGCAATGTCCCACAAACAGTCGTAGATTGAAAATGACCAATTTATTATTGTTTTATTTTGGAGGGATTATTATTAGGCTCTGTGTGGAGTAAGGAAACTTGCCCAAGGTTTCGCCCTGCCTGGAATTGAACTCAGGTCTCTCACTTGCAAAGCGAGTGCTCTAACCACTGAGCTACAGGACTCCACATCAGTACTACATCAAACGCAAGGATTATTATTATAAAATTGTTAAAGCGATGTTATGAGGAGAAAAAGATGGTGACCACGTTTTGCAATTACTACAATATGACTTTGTTTCACAGGAATAAAAAATAAACCAGTTATTCAGTACTTTCTCATACACAAGAATGATTTCAGTGACCTCACAGTCCTGACAAATATCCCAATAAAATAGTTTCCTCTTGTAACTAAAGGGCCATACAATAATTCATGATTGATTAATAAACTCTGTAATAGGCACGAGTTGTCATGGAAACAAAGCTAAACTCTAATATAGACACCAAATAAAAGCTTGAACCAATGAATGCAATTCATTTTACAACTGAGTGTAAGAGGACCACAAATATAGTCCAGAGGGAGTACTTATTCCTCCATTTATTCCCACATGAAATTGAGGAATGCCGTTCAAAACAAATATTTCTCTAGAAATACAAATTCTCACTTTAATTTCGTACCTGTGAGAATTCAAACGTTCTAGGGACAGGAAAAGTCACTTAGTTCAGCAGATCCAGAGAGAGATTGAAAATATACAGTCAATTCACCACAAATGCAAGGATTATTATTATTATTATTATTTGCTTTTCTTGATTTGGAGGCCGAGTAATGTATAACAAGTGCAAAAACAGGGCAGGCTCTGTACCTGCACAATAACAGGCACTCCTTATCTGTACAATGGTCAAGAGCTCTGTACATGTACAATGGCCAAGCATATGATCTATACCTGTATGATCTGCACATCAGGGTGAAACCGTGGTGTCATTCCAAAATGCAACATCCAGTTTAATCTGGCTCCAAGTAGTAGAATCACATCAGCATACAGTAAGGCTCTAAGAGAAAGCAGATGACATCAGCAATGTTTTCAGGGGAGGAGCAGAGAAAATGTTGACATTGAGAGATCATTTCATCAATTGAGAATTTTTCAAATTTTTATTTCAACAGTGATTGCTGATGATATCATCAGGAGATTGATCTGAGCAGCGACTGAGCCCAATGATATGTGAATTAACCTAATGCACACCGTTTCTCAAATAACTGAAACTGAATTATGCTTGGTTAAAAATTACGTCGGTTGATTTTATTCCGGCTCCCTTACAAGGTCTGAATCGTTGTCTCCCAAACCAGTCTCCACATTAATGTCAACAGCACTCACATTCAATATTAAAATAAATGGATTTCCTCTCTTCTTCCCACAGTCGCTCAAGATCATTGCAATTCTCGAGCTAAAAAAGGGCCCTGCCTCCCTTCTCATGAGGTTTCAAGTTCATAAATGCACCACAGTGCATTCAATCACTGAATCCAACACACCGGTGGGGTCAGAATTACACAACACTTGGTATGAGCTGAGTTGGCCAATATAATTTGGGGCAATGATGCGGATATCAGGCCCCAACAACCTCCGGCTGGAACAGTAATCAAAAACATTCAGTCAGTGTCCTGCTCCACTATTCAACAACCCTCTCTCTAATAATAATAATAATCCTTGACTTTGATATAGAGCCTTAACACGTCTTCAAGTGCTTCACAGAATATACCGCAAAGTGAATTGACTGTATATTTTGTGGATGAAACACAGTAGCCAATTGTGGATTGAAGTGACTAATTTTTTTTTTGAAGGAATCATTACCCCCAGAAAAGCGATCCATCAATCAACAACAGGGTTCCTACTTACTGCTAGGTAAACAGAGGCGTGTGGAGTAAGGAAAATAATCAACATTTCGCCCTGCCAGGAATCGAACCCAGATCTCTTGCCTAAGAGGCGAGTGCTCTAACCATACAGTGTGTATGTGTGTGTTGTACAGTGGATTCCCTGTTACAGCCTAAATTCAACCTGAACTATAACAGGGCACATTTGCCACTTAATGCTTCTACTTCACTGCATGTGCAGGATTAAAGACAAAATCCCGGTCGGCAAGTGGGAACCAAAATGGCTGGCTTACGAGTCATCGGATCACTGCTGTTGCACCTGTGTACAGGAAATGAGATCAGTGCCAACATGGCAACCCAGAGGTTGGCCATTTTGGCTTCCGTACACCAACGAAGTTCCGATGGAGCTCGTGCACACATTTTCGAATGTGACTTTCAAATTTTAAAAATAAATTAGAAAAAAACTAGAAATCTATAATCCGTAGACTCCCACTTCCCAAGTCGTGTCTTGTGAGATAAATCATTGTGACGATATTACTTTTAATTTCTCTCATACAAGAATCACTCTCATCACGAAAGTAAAGCCAGCTTTTTTGATGGGAATACTCAGGATTGTCGGAATATTTGCTTATTCATGGATTTCTTCCATGTACCTTCTCATCGAAACAAAAATCCCTGCAACTTTATAGCAAATTAAAAATGCAACTTTATCAAAAATTGCTATTCCTGATTGTAAATCAGCGACCTCTGGTGGATTGTGTACATATACATATATGAACATAGGGTTAGGACTGGCTCCTTTCCCAATACTGTGTTTTGCTTACATTAAGACATTAAGAATCATATTTATGTAGCTGACACCAGACAAGCCCCACCTCAGCCCTTCGGTCAAACCGTATTTTAGCGCAAATCAACAGAAGAGAACATTTTTGGGGTGAGAAAGAAAGCACGTATACTCCTGAACTTGTATAATCGAAAACCATGCAAACCACTCCATGTCAGAGTCCATCCTCTGAAGAGTTATTACTGACCTGTCAGACCTCTCTCTGCGAGATTATGATTAAAGCGGTACAGAGTAGATAGCACTTAAGATAGACCTTTAACTTTATGCCAAGAACCACAAGAGCTTTTATAGCTAAAACTCAATAATTGTATCAATTCAAGTAACTCTAAGCAGAAGGCCAGCAATGAAGCTCTGAACCACTTGGCCTGTCTGTGGAACAGTCTCTCAAACAGGCTGGTTACCGAGAATTATAAACCTTGTGCAAATACATCAACATGCAAAATCTCTTATCCCTTGGGCTTTTTGCAAATCTTCACTAATTTATGTGTGCCCCCAGCAACTATTTGCTAGTAATAACCCTTGCATTTGATATGGCGCTTTATCGAGTCATTGAGATGTGTCACAGTGCGCTTGACCGGATACACTGCAAAGAGGTGCCCGTGTTTTTATGGGTGAAAGGGGTAGCCAATATACATTTTGCTGGGGTGGGGAGGAGTTCTGCCTGAGTTGACTATCTTCTTACCATTAATATACTTAAAAAAAACTTTTAGTCTTCATTCTTGTTATGTTATGTCTCTAAACCTCCTCATCATATAAAAAAAATTCAACTTTGAATACTTCCCACTACCAATCTGCCACCTTATCTACTAATTGTTCTATCCCCATTCTATCTGTGCCAAGTCTTTTATCACTCCCACAGACAAGTAATGTAAATTGCTAAACCTAATTGTTCAGTACTAACCTGGACCGAGCTGCAGACACACAGTTTGGATGGTTGTCAGGTACCACACCTTTCCCCATTGGAGTGGGCAGAAATGGCAGTCCATACAGATTCACAAGCTTTCCAATACTGTATTCAGCATGAGAATATGCTGCACCTTAAATAAATTAAAATAGTATATCTATAATGTCATAATTGCACACTTATACAACACTGTCTGTAAGTTTGCCATCAATGAGCTAATTCAGGGCCTTTCGACTATTTAAGCAAAAACATTTTTTAGAGCACATTGGAGAATTTTAATGTCAGAGTCGTAATAATAATAATCCTTGCATTTGATATTGTGCCTTATCCTGTCTTCTAGACATCTCAAAGCGCTTCACAAAATATACTGTGAAGTGAATTAACTGTATATTTGTGGGAAATACATGGCAGCCAATTGCGCACAGCAGTGTCTCACAAATAGTTGTGGATTGAGTGACCACATTTTTTTTCTTTCTTTTTTGAGGAATTATTATTCCCGGAAAAGTGATCCACCAATCGATCAATAACCGGGTTCCTACTTGCTGCTAGGTAAACGGAGCCATGTGGAGTAAGGAAACTTGCCCAACATTTCACCCTGCCGGGAATCGAACCTAGGTCTCTTGCTTGCGAGGCGAGCGCTCTAACCACTGAGCTACAGGACTCCACAATATGGTTAAGAAATAATACAAATTACTTCAAGTCAGACCTCAATTGATAGAAGATTAAGTCCTAATTCTTGGGTAGCTAGCTTTACATTGATATTTTATAACATGGCTCTCAGTATATAAAAAATAGAACAGAAGAAATCTGCACAGGTTTCCGTTCCCGGCTTCTCAGGATATTGAGTGAGTTGCCAAAGGCCAGAGAAAGATTTTTCAGGTAGCTCAGCTAACAGGCAATCAAAGTCATCTATTTCCCAGCCGACATCACATTGCATCTGTGATGTACTGCCTTTAGATATGGGCACTTCCAGAATTTCCTTCTTTGAACTTGTATTAACAATACTACAAAGTTGTGTTAACACCAGGACAAAGCTCCTCTATTGAGAAGGCATTGACAAATTAGAGTGAAGATTTGCATTGTGACCCCTTGTCAAATCCGATGTTAAACACTGACAATCTTCCTTACTCCAAGGGACTTGGGTTCAGAAATCATTATCCTTTTTTGATCTGCAACAGATTAAAACCCCAGCCTCTAGAAGGAAAGGTACAGAGCTCAGCTACATTGATCACTTCTTCCAGTCACTCCTATTTTACTGTTTAAATTATTTTAGCCATTTAGCTTATTGCATGGAGACAGTACCTCATAGGTAGACATAACTGATGTCATCATCCTTTTATTGGGCATTCATGTGTGCCCGAGTTTAATGAATTACGACACAAGGAACCTTAAGAGCTCACCAACTGGTTTCAAGCCAAAACAGCCATTGAAATAATGGTGGAAATTTGTGTGTACTATCGATCAATGCAAATCCACAAAATGCACTTAAAACATAAAAAACTGTTTGGGAGCAGGTTGTGTAAAACATTTACAAGATAATCACTGCATTTGGAACTTATATTGCAACCATAAATACCATTCTGAAAACGTCAGTAAAATAACCTACTGATAGCCTAAAAGCAGAATTTTATCTGAGGTGCATTTTAAACTACATTATTTTGCTTTTCGTATTTACCTGTAATCCATCTGAACTTTCATTATGGAATTAATCTTCCAACATAGAAATGTACTGCAGAAAGGGAGCCATTTGTCCCATTGTGTCCATGTCACACTGGAATCCTTGACCACATCCCCTCAAAAATGGACAGTTTGTGAAATTTGAAAAAAAAATCACTGCTACTGAATTGTAATAGAGTCAATGTCATGGGAACGATAAAATACTTGGCACAAATAGAATGGGGATAGAACAGTTAGTAGATAAGGTGGCAGATTGGTCGTGGGAAGTATTTAAGGTTGAATTGGCAAAGGTACAGGCAAAACATGTACTGACCAAAAATGAAAAAGGGGTTGAAAAGATGGCCAAATTAGGACATTAAGCAAAAACTAAAGAGCAAGAAAGAAGCATATAATGGGAAAATCACATAAAAAGCAATTGGGAAGTTTCATTTGCAAAAAAAAAAAAATTTTTTTTTAATATGATGAGGAGGGTTTACATAACAAGAATGGTGGTGGGAACATGAAGACTAAAAATTGTTTTTAAGTATATTAATGGCAAGAGGATAGTCAAGGAAGGAGTGGGGCCACAGCTGGCTGAGGAGGGTAATGTGGCTGTTGAGCATATTCCAATGGCAGAGATGTTCAATGAGTTGAATTATATGAGGAGCTAATACAAATGTGGATCATGGAGATGTTTGGGTTTTAGGAAGGAGTTAACTAAGATTCTGTAAGAGACTTATGGCTACAGCTGCTGTCCACAGTGACCTTCTGAAAGTTACCGCAAGATATAGTGGGAGAGCTAGTGCATCACCATTCACATTGCCAAAATATTTCTTCCTACATATGGCAAAAGTCTGAATACAGTCAACAAGCCATTTTACTAACAGGTTTAGAAATGGGACACAAGTTAGGATAAGATTTACACAATCAAAAAAGTACCTTGGCAACCAAATAACAAACTCCACATTCCAACACAAATTTACGAGATCACGAAAAAGAAGAAATGGTAATTTCTTGTTGGGATTTAAAGCTCAACATCACCTTCAAATGGAATGTGGGATGAGGTTGGAACACTAGTTGTTCATCATGCTATGTCTAGTATGGTTGTTCAGCTGCCAACATCTGGAGTTCACTAAATGTACGAGCTGAGATCACAGACATCAAGAATGCAGTTTCCAGGTCAGGAATTATAATTCACAAATCGAAGAAGCTCAAAGGGAAGATGTATAAATGTACGAAAAAAAAGTTGAAAACCAAGAGCAGGTGCCTGCTTTTGTGATACAAGCTATATGAGTTTGCTTGTCAAGACAACTTCTTAAGAGACCAAAACCTGAAAGACATAAAGCTACTATATGCAAATCAGATCCAGATTTCAAGATCAGCGGGTTTGGGAGTTAATCCAATGTAGTCAGAATCTCACAAATAGTGGATCCAGATGTCTGGATAATCTTCAGAGAACAAACTTCTCCCTTTGTTATTGTAAACTTTATGGCAAGAAATCTTCTGGAGACCAGTAAAGAATTTCCAGATGGGAAATGACCTTCCAGTAGGAGCTTTACTTGATCAACTGCCAGTCATCAAATGAAAGCCAATTGAGTCCAGGTGCAGAATCTGCTCTTCAAAGTTTTTCCCTGTTTGGCCATTGTCTATCAAGCATCTACGCTGACTAATCTTTTCTCCTTGAACAGTATTGAGAAGTTGATAGTTGTCCAAACAAAGCAAACTAGTCTGTTTCTGTAATCCAATATACTGAATAGATAATCAGCCACCTCATAAAACTATAGTTGAGAAAATGAATCAATTAGCATTTAAAGGTACACATAATCTCTTCACACTCTACATTTTGGGCTAAGATTGACTAAGTGACCTGAAACCAACATGCAACCTGAAAATGCCATCCTGCACGAAGGCCACTATATACAGTGAATCGTTTCTTGAACAACCACTCAAGGATTGGGCCAAAGTGGCCTTTATATAAGGATGGTCTCAGAGTACGGGTTTGATGTGCAAACCAGGCTGTCTGGGCTGTTCCAGGGTGGTTGTTAACAGGGGGAGTGCTGATTGGTCGTGGTTGCTTGAACATGTTTGACTGTAGTTGTTGTGCTCTGGCAAACAAATTGAATTAGTTATTTCTCATTTGTCAATATGGCATCAGACTGACCAAAGTCTGGATGTAGATCAGATTACCTGAATATTCCATGAGATGGCCTGAGTACATACAAATCCAGATTGGGTTTGGATCCACAGAACCATAGACATATAGGAGGCCATTCATACCTTCTCTCTGTCGGTGTTTGCTCTCCAAGAAACCATCCACCTTAACCCCAATTCCTTGCTCTTTCCCCATATCCTCTAATACTAAGAATTTCTAAAACATACCAGGAATGACACCATTGATTACCTAAGGAGAAAACTCTGATAATCAAATTGCCTTAATAATGAATACAGCTACAAACGCTATAACCATATCTCAGTTGTAACTTCAAGAGATATATTGTAAACACCAGTGGCCGAAAGGGAGTACTTGGTACCAGTAGTTCAGAATGATTGACCTTCAGGAAAATAAGTTCCTGTTATGTGGAGGATTTAAATTGTTAACAAAACAAATCACAAGGATACAGCTCTCTTTCAGATCCTTGATGCTAATGATGTCGCATGTCACTCTTTCCTCCCACACCGTGTAAAGATGTTGCTTGTGAAAATTAATAATTTAAGATCTTCAAAACGATATCCCACATGAAGGGACTTTATAAATATTGTTCTTGTAAAATCTCTTTGAGGTCTATCTTCTGGGCAGACACCATGGTTAACCTAAGGAACTTGAAAGCCTCCTCTGGAATAGTACGATCAAATGCTCCAAAACTGGATTTGTTCTTAATGGAGGAGGTGGGGAAGAAAGAGATGAAAACTACAGAGAGAAATAAATTCATATCCTTCTTTTGTTTCCTGGAACTTAATTGATAGCATCGGAATGAACACAATTGAAGATTTGGCAGTGAGATTCATTCTCTTTCTCACCCCAAAGTGATTTGAATGGATCCTTCTGGTGACTCATAAATCCTAATGAGAAAGACACTTCACAATGACGCTAATGCAATGATGTGAGATAGAATCGTGCTACTGGAATACAAACAGAGCCGATACATGAAAACATAACAAGGCCATTTAGCCCATTTTGCCATTTTATTAAACATGGCAGCTCCTTTAATCCTGATATCTGCCGATTCTTGGTATCCCCAGTCCTTGACTAAAGTTGCCAGTACGTTTGCCAAAGTAGAATCTCTGCTAAGTATCTAGGGCATGTCCGACAAGATGGAAGAATATTTTGTGCTCAAGTTGATGGTAACTCACAATTGAAACTAGCATTTGAAACTAGATGGTGGGTGAATTTGCTGAGGGGACAAACAAGTGGGAGAGGCGGGAAAGGAGCAAGAGGTCAGAAAGCACTGCACTCTCTCTCCAGCTCATAAGTATCGAATGGGGAGCCAGTGTTCCACACAAACTGGGCCAGGCCTGTTTGTGGATGATGGGATCTTCGTATTTGATATTGCACCTTATCTTTACCTGGCAGTAAGTAGGAACCTGGTTGTTAAGGTGATTGGCGGATCACTTTCTGGGGCTAATAATTCCTCCAAAAAAACGCACTCAATCCACGACTGTTTGTGGGACACTACTCTGCACAATTGGCTTCCACGTTTCAGCCATAAAATACACAGTCGATTCACTTTACAATATATTCTGTGAATCTCTTTGAGATGATTGAACCACGTGATAAGGTATTGTATCAAATGCAATGATTATTATCATTTTGTGCATTTTTTTCTCTTCTACTGGGTAAATTGCACAGCAGCCAATAGGCAACATCCTTATACAGTTGGGAGGGGAGAGTGACATGGGTGTCATCCCATCATTAGCATCAAGTGACTGAAGAGGAACTGTATCCTTGTGATTTTCTTGTTAACAACCTGAGCGAGACTTTACATGCAGATAAAATTGATCATTTATTTCATGGCTGTTGTTATTCATACTTGTATAATTAGTTTGGATAATTGCATTGGTTGAGGAATTGACTGCATGAAATACCTTTTCAAGCATATTATGAGGAGAGGCAGTGTGGAGAATGGCATCAGAGGCAATATGGAGTGCAACAAAAAGGTGTGCCATGAATGAGCTTCAGCTAATTGCACACTTCGTATAATTGCATGGTGTCTGTAAGATCCCAACTCCATGCAACAATATGGAATTCACTGTATATTCAAGCATTACAAGACATTATCCTATATGAAGACTGCTATATACATGCAAGTTGTTGTCACTAATCTGCACACATAAATATTTTTTAACAAGGAGTTGGAGGGCAAATGTAAAAACTTACCCAGACTGTTGGCACATATCAGCATTCAGGTGGCCAAGACATTACATTTATTTTCCTGTTTTTAGGCCAAAATGAACATTACAGCAAATAAAGAATTGACCTTGAGTTTGCCCCTACACTGCACTGAAATTTCTCAGCTATTCAAAAACTAGCAATGTATTTCCTTTTACTTGCATCTAGAAATGATTCAACAAACACCCAACAAATATCAGAAAAGGGATTGCTTTTGACACCAACAAAATACACATCAAATATTGTTCCAATTAGCTAAATGGTTTCAAGAGGGCCAATCAATTAGTATAGCAAAATCAAAACTGTAGGTCTTCAACTTGTTTCACATTTCACATTTAAAAAATCTATACTTTTTAAGGATTATAATTGATGAAATTTTTTTTGATTTCAGTACCTTTGCCAATAAGAACAAGAGGTCTCCTGGCATTTTTAATGATCAAAGCTGCTTGAGATACAACTTGAGGGTCTGCCATGGCCACAGGAGGAGGAAGACAGCATGGAACAGTCCTACACAGTGAAGGAAACAGACAACGGTTTCGTCAAACCACTCATACAGAGAGAACATTTTAAGGACAATTACAATACAATTTAAATTTGTATTATGCCTTTAACATCGAGACACAACCCACACTGGAGACTGGATCAAAGGCGCTCATAGGGGGATTTTTGAAAAGTAGTCACATCTTTCACAGGAGGCTGCCTTAAAGCGCTTAATGTAAGTAATGCTAGCATTTCTGTACATTCAATTATTTTATTTTAAATTAATTGAATTCCACTTCTATTCTTTGCACCATTAGCTCGGCATTCCAGCCCGCAGAACTAATGAGAAAACAAAGTATCTTATCGATATTCAGCATTATTTTTCAAACCAGGAAATGAATCATGTGGGCAATTGTTTGGTTTTAGTATTTTTCCTGTATTTCTTCAAGACGGTGCCCACTCATGCTGGGGTTCAGTTCCGCAGACACCAGCCCTGCAGTAAATCACCAAAGTGATTTTTTCATGGAAAAGTCTAGACAGTGAATGCTTGCAAACTTTTTAAATTGTAGAGGGGCTTGTAGAAACACGAATAGTACATTAACCCCTCGACCCTGTTCCCCCATTCTATAGTTCACAACCAAGCTCGTTCCTGTCCTCATATTGTATTTTCCAAAGGACAATGGACATAATTAGACAGCAATAAGGAAGCCTATTTTTTTTCCCATTGCCTAGGTCAAAGATACTGAATCCAGTTACACAATCCACACTAGAGACTATAATCAAACCTGGAGGGTTCCCATCAACGGTCATGCTTCAGTTCCTTTATCAAATGAGCCATCGACAGAGTCAAAAGGAGAGTCAAAAGAGTTAGCTGTATAACATGATCCGTCAGGTTCCATTTGGACTACTGGGTGCAGCTTTGGCCTTAGAAACCTTAGGAAGCCTTAGAGGTACTTTCAATTTACTAGAATGATTCCTGGTTTGAAGGGCCTAAATTAGGATGAAAGGATGGAAAAACTTTGATTGTATTCTCTTGGGTTCAGAAGGTTGAGGGGTTCTCTGATTGAGGTGTATAAAATTATACAGGGATTTGAGAAGCTGAATAGTGAGCAACTGTTTCCTCTGGCGAGAGAATTGAGTACTACAGGCCATAGTCTTAAACTTTTTAAAAGTGATATAAGGAAACATTTTGTCATGCAGAGAGTGATGGGTGTGCAGTATGCACTTCCCCACAAAGTCAATTGAAGAGTTTTAGGATTCTGTAATTAATGTGTTGAAAAATATCTCAAATTATATTTGCAAGATTTATATATTTGAGACATATGATCAATCTCATATGATGGGAGCTGATTGTGACTAGCTTCGAAAAAGATCCTTTCTCATGGAGGAGAAAAAAAAGACCGTCTATAAACAACAAACTGTTTTCACTCCTTATCAGTCATTTTCTCATGAAAAAAATGGTCTGCAGCTGGAGAGAGAGCTGTATTTTTTTACAACGGAACCATTTTGCAAAAGACAACAAGTGAAAGGTCACCCAACGAACTGTATAAACGGAGATCGATTCAGGAGAGAATCAAAAGAAAGAATTGAAGGAGGGATCAAATTGGACGTGCAATAATAGCATTGGACATGCCATGATATTTGAATACTTTCGAGTGATCGAATTGAACACACAATAATACATGCATACTTTTGGATGGACATATATATTTGGATTAAAGAAGAAAGTTTAAAATGGACATTGCTCCTCTATCTCTTCCGCAGAATTTAGTTAGGTCAACTTAAATCGTTGTGAATTATGTGTCAATATGTAAGCATTATTGTGATGTATTCTTTTAATTACTTATAACTATCACTAATCTGAATTAATAAACATCAATATTTTTGTACAACATTTGTGTCAGTCCTTACTTCACTGCAGGGTCACAAATTTAAATTAAACCCTGGAGAATTTAACAGACAAATAGATAAATACTTGATAGACAGGGATATCAAAAGATATGGAGAGAGGGCGGGGAGGGGGAAATTGGGTTACGGATCGGCAAAAATCTGTACATTGGCTATGAATGGCCTCTTCCTGTGTTATTTGCAGAGGTACTCCATACCTCGTCCAAATGAGTGCAGTGCCATCACATTAATAAACGTTGTTAAATGATATCGCTCTTAAGGCACACGTGTTGGAAAAACTTGGAATAAACCTACACTCTACTGGAGAATTGAGCATAGATCAACCTAAAGGGTAACAGCAGCATACATTTCCACAGCATCTTTTATGAAAATAAGTGTTTTCAAGATTAAACCAATATTAGCTATTTCTCAGTATATTAAAGGCAGAGGCCACTGTTAATGTTTAGTCCATCTTTACAGTTTGCAGTTTGACTTTTTTTTATTCTTTACGATATTTAAAATTGCAGCTTGAGCTGGGAACATAGGATTAGGAGTAGGTCATTCAGTTTGTCCCTCTGTTTTACTAATCCATAAAATGGCAGAACAGACTTAAATAGTGAACACCAACAACTTGTCAGTGGCAGTGTTAGGACCAGTAAACCCCAAGCCAGTCAGGGGCCCTGAGCAGATTCAGTGACAAAAGATTTAGTATCATGGTCTAAAATGTAGGGTTCCCAAACTGAACCTTTGCACAGAGCCCTCGTAAAACACATCCCACCCATACAACTTGCATTTTTACAATGTCTCAGAGTCCTTCATAGTGATGGGGTCAGACACTGAGCATCAGCGAGGAGATGGTATCTATCAATATGGTCGAATAGGTAGGTTTAAAGGTGAGACTTGGGTTAGGGTTAGACAAATAAGTGGAGACCACCATGCTTACCTGAGTAATGATTCCTGAACCTTTGAGGTCACCATATCTCCAGGTATATCAACATAGCAAGCTCCGGGACGCCCATAGATACTTGTTCTGACTGCCTGAAACAATAATGATTGAGGTTTGTTCTGTTCTCTAGCCAACCTTTAACTGTGTATCATTCACACCAGATATGATTAATCCAATAAACACACACACACACACATATATGGTTTCTATAGTAATTTCAAGAATATTACTGGATAAATTAGTTTTGATCTCCTGCTCAGATAATTCTCAACTCTTTAAAAAGTTATTATTAATAACGATAATCCTTAAATTTGGTATAGCATCTTTCACATCAAGAGGATACACACACTCACAGACACACTGAGAGAGAAGAGAGAAAAGCACACACACACTCAGACACAGAGAGAGCCACACACACACTCACAGACAGACAGAGAGAGACACACACACACACTCTCAGAAACAGGGAGAGACACACACACACTCTCACAAACACAGAGAGAGAGACACACGTTCAAAGACAGAGAGAGACACACACACACTCACAAACACAGAGAGAGACACACACATTCACAGGCACAGAGAAAGACACACATTCACATACACAAGAGACAGACACATAGACAGAGGAGACACACAGAATCTCAACAGCAGGGCCTCAGGGTGAGCGAAGCCCATTTCCCGCTGCAACTCGCAAAGATGCTCCACCCACAGTAGCTTTGAGTAAGCCTGGCAGCAGCGCGCAGAGGCCCAGGGCCGAGTACACTGCATTTCTGTGGGTTTTTCAGTATGTCATTCGGCATGTATTGCATTTTGGGGCCACAAGTAGAAAGAAAAACCCGTCATTCCCCCTTCTTTGGTAGCAATGTTTCCATCAACTTTTAGCATTTCAGTTTGTAAAGATTTGTAAAGGATAGTAACAAATCCTTTAAAACAGATTTACAGCTTATAATAAAAGTTTCCTATTGACTTATCATTGGATTCATCGCCACCATGTTAATGGCTGACCAAGATTAATGATTTACCTTTTCTATTATAGCAGGTATGGCTTCCAGACTGTTGGGTCTAGCTGAGAACTTGCTGTATAGTCTGCAGGCCTCAATCTGTCAAAAAATAACTAAATTACTCAAAAATGACAATTAACTAAAATTGGAAGGAGGGTGAGAGAAAGTAGAGAAACAAAGAATTGGTGAAATAAATGTGATGTTTTCTAAGTGGAATGAACTAGCACATCTATATCCACAACACTTTATGGAATGAACATATTTGTCCTGTAAATAAAAAGAAAAACACACACAGTATTTTAAATTGATTGATTGATTTGGCTGGTGAATTTAACTGATACTTTGCAATTCTTTGTTTGATAATGTAGAAGCAAACATCTTTCAATATATTTAATGGTTTCACATAGCGGCTAGAAAGACACTGAGAAACATGATCCTGCAACAATGCATAGAGGGAAAGAGCATCTTTGGGACATCCACCCGACATGAAAGACTCTATACAAATGTAATTATATAATTTTGTATTTGTATAGAAGACCCCAAGGCTAAACAAGTTCACTCCTGAGAGAACCCTCCACTCCACCTCCCACACAATACTCATCTACACAACACACTGATCAAAATGTGGCAGTTTGGTATATTGCTGAGTTATCAGGCATTATACTCACCGCCAGCGCTTCAGGTTTTACCTATTGTTCATAAGCAAGAGCGACAAAGGTAACAAAAGCAAACTTGGATTTTATTTGAATAATGAAGGAAGTTTGCTTAGGTTCGACTTTCTGGGTTATTGGTGAAGAGATCTTTGGATTGATCATATAGGAATGGGGGTGGAGATGTTAGTGTAAATTGGCAATGCCTCAAAGAATAATTACTCCAAGAGCCTGATTCCCCCTGGTCTAAATGTCCAATGAGAGATAGGCGTGGATTTTGTTAAATGTTTCAGTTACTGAGATGAGAAATTCGGGGCTGGTAGCTAGCGCCTGTTCTGCATCGAGACACTCTTAAAAATATCACCAAGAAACAAAAATGAATGCATCAAAATAAAACTGCTCGAGGGAATGTTTTCTGACCTTATGAGAAACAGTCATACTGAATAACGATGTTAAATTGGAGCTTGTTTTGTAAGTAGTACTTACAGGAATACGGTAAATATGTCAGGGTTATGCTTTTAGTTTTTATTTTTGATGCATCTTTGTGATGGATTTTACAATGTTGTTTCTTACACTGTTTCTACTAGCTGATAACCTTTTGGAAAATCCTCACAGGACAATTATAATTGTAAATGTGTTGTTGTTTGTTGTTGTCGTAATACAGTTGTCTCAGTGTTGTAACAAAATGAACACAGAATTCATCATATGATTCTCATGTACATCACCACTCGCATTACAATGCTGCTGGGGGGTCCAGTAATAAGCAGTGAGTCAATCAGCACCAGTTATTTCTGGACATAATATATTTAAAGTCTCTGAATGTGATGATTTCTTCACAACTGGTACAATAAACAGTTGGAGAATGGTACAATTCATCTGGAGTGCTGGAGGATTTAATGTTTTTCATACACAAATAAATAGGACATTGGGGACTTTCTTTTGAGTATTCAAGAGAATTATGGAATTTTTGTAGCACAGAAGGAGGCCTTGTAGCCCATCGTGTCTGTGGTGGTACAAGCTCCCCAGTTGAAGTTATTCACTCTAATCCAATCCTCCTGCATTTCTTCACAGGCTTGAGTATTTGTCTTTATGTATTTATCCAATCCCCTTTTGCAATAATGTTATGGACTTGGCTTCAGCAGCCATTTAAGATAAAGCATTCCCATTCCAGAGCTGTTGGTGCACCCCCGCTCGCCCAATACAATAATAGTCAAACAGAAGGGGTAATATCTCTGATATCAGTGCAACACTTTGAAGCTACTCCAAATCCTACCACCAAGACTGGCTCCCTGATTTGTCACCAGCAGTGCCCTGGAATACTATGGACCCGCCTAGCTCAGGGACTGGACAAACAAGACCTCACAAAATCACAAGATTGATCTGGACGAAGAAGGCCCTTTGGTCCATCTGATCTCATCCTTACAGAACAACCACCCTACCGTCCCCCCATCACTGCATCAAACTGTCTTTCAAATAAGTATCTGTCTTGAAATGGCCCTTTACAACTCTAAACTCATATTCTCTTGTTCTACTATCTTGATCAAGTATTGATCTTGGTTTAATTTTTGAATCCCATTTAAAATTTTATAAGAAGTCCTTCCTAAGAAGTCCTTCCTAGTCGTCTTCTCTCAAGACTGCAGAGCCCTAGCTTATCTATTTGTCGCTGATAGTTTATTCCTCTAACACTGCCGATCATCTTCATTGTTCTCCTCTGCATTAATAATAAATCCACAGAGAGTCGACTTGATTATGACATTCCATTGCCAAGCACGTCACCTTGGAGCCAGCTCAGTCTCAAGGAGACCCCGCTTACCTCCCCCTCCCAACCTAAGATATGTTATTCGTTGATCTAAAAATAAGTATATTGCTAAATACACAGAAGACCAGGGTATTTGTCAGTCTCCAAAATAGCAGTTTCATTGAGCGCTTGACAGTTTTTATTGCAAGTATTTTTTTCCCGGAAGACACTGTGTGTGAAATCTCAGAGCCTTGCATTTGCATGATACATGGGGATTTCCTCGTGGTTGCTTTAGTTGGTGCACACAGAGAGGAGGCAGTTTATTAGATGCCAGTGAGCTGGATTCATAATTGCTCATTAATAACATTTAACATGAACAAATGCTGATCATCCTGATTCACCAGTCGACAGCTGAACGGCAGAGATTAGGAGAGAACCTGCAGTGTGTACTCAAACACTGACATTTTAGTTAATCCTACTGCATTCCTTTACCATTCTTAATCTACCCTCACGCTCATATTATCAGCTAGAATTCAAATTCCACAGTGTGAAGACACAAATTTATTAAAGTGTGGAGCAGACTGGGTTCACATCCTCTAAAGTGAAAAAAATAAGCTTTGGTGGATAATGGATTTTTAGTTTTGGTGCAAAATAATTGTTTTGCTTCAATCTTTAGATTAGGCCAGCAATACTCCCTCGAAATTCATATTAAGTCATCACTTCCTATTTGACTCCTACTAAGTTGTCACAAATCATAAGACATTTTGGCACAAGCAATCTCTTCTCACTTTGTTTTTTTTTAAAAATGTCTATTGTGGTTAAGACCATAATATTTGTTGTAAAAATCAGGTTAGACATTTGAAGAACATAAAACAGCAGAAGGAAAGAGCAGGGAAATGGGATTAATTTACAGTACAGGAGCATAACGTTAAAACCAAGCTACATCAAAGGGTGTGGGTTTTCCCAAATTGAGAAGTATGTTGTTTTTAATTCTCTGTGTTTATGGCACTGCTAACCATGGTTTAAAAACGCCATCAAGTGGGAAATGAATGAATTGCAATAATAACATGGCACTGTAAGCCTTTGTTCAATTCAAGAGTAAAATAAAATTTAAAAAATACAGTATGTTAGCTTCCAATAATACTATGATCAAATAACACCTCCCACCTTTCATCTCTTCAAGCTCAATATTGTTGTTTTAAAAAAATGACAAACCTGTGGAAACTCCTGAAAAGCACCCATTGCTTCCTGATTTCTGTCAGAGGATCCTGCCAGGACAAGTACAGGCCTAAAAAGAAATTACAGCAATATGTGAAATAACACTTACAGTCTGTCTTTCATTTAAGACAACATCTTAAAGTACTTTGAAAACACGGTATGGAACATCGATCAGGATAACGATAGAGAAAGAAGGTAAGGGTTTTGAGACTGTTCACCAAAGGGATAGAATGCAATATAATTACATTTATACAGAAGCTTGCATGTCGGAGGGACGTCTCAAAGTGTTTTATATACTTGATGGGCACCCGAGCTGGGCGTAGAAGCCAAAGTGGGAGGGAGGGGGAAAGATGATTGAAAACATGGTCAAAGAGGTACATTTTGAGATGTGCCTTGAAAGGAGGGAAGGAGCAAATCAGAGGGACTCCAGCATGGAGCTCCAGAAAGCAGATGCAGAATACCTGAAACCCCCCCAGCTAATTGTGGGGTGGATATGGTGGGGAACATTAAGCAGGCTAGTGTTTGCTAAGTGAAGGGAGTGTCTGGGATCAGCCAGGTTTGAGGGGGTCAGTGCCTTGGGACGTCCTCCCGACGTGAAAAGGCACTATACAACAACAACAACAAGATTACATTTGTATAGCGCCTTTCACGTCAGGAGGACGTCCCAAGGCGCTGCACAGTGTACAGCATTTCAAACCCGAGCTGGGGTCAGTGGGGGAGAAGGGAGAGGAGAAGATGGGGGGTGGAGGATGGCATGGTCGAAGAGGAGGGTCTTGAGGCGGGACTTGATGGGGACTAAGGAGGGGGCGAAGCGGAGTGACTATATAAATGTAATTTGTGGTTGTTGATGAGATCACAGATTTGGGTAGAGCGAGATCTGACAGTGGAGCAATTTTGAACACAAGAACAACGATCTTGAACTCAATCCCTGAGGAATTTTTTGTTTTTTTTCTAATTTAACAACTTTCACAAACAAGAAGGAAAAAAAACAAATTTTACCAGCAGTTTGTGTTTGCATTTGCCATTCCGCCCAGTGCATGAATAAGACCAGGTCCAGAGACTGCAAGACAAACTCCTGGCCTAAAATTGACAAATAATACTTTGAATCAGTAATTGCTGAAAAATACCCATCTACATGCATAGATCTGAAATAAACAAGACACCAAAGCCACAAAAGAAATACAAGAATTCAGGAACCAACCTTCCTGTTAAATACCCCACTGCAGATGCTGCGTAGCAAGCCTGTTCAAAGATAAGAGCATAAGCCCATTATAACCTGCAAGCTTTTATTTTTAGAATACTGTGTAAAGCCATCAAAAAACTGTTCAGTTGCTTTTACTTACAGCTTGTTCGTTTCTCATTCCAATGTACTTGATTCCAACAGCTTGAGCTGCCATTGCTATTTCGATCACTGGAATACCAACCACTCCAAACATGTACTGAACATTCTGTGTAAAAAAAAACACATGTACGCTTCAGGCTGTCAGAAATGTTGTAATGTTACTATGGACTTAAAACAAGTGATTTCTGGTGTCTGTCTGGCTCAGTTGGTAGTTCTCTTGCCTCGGAGTCAGAAGGTTGTTGGTTCAAGCTCCACTTTGAGGCCTGAACTAACATAGTCCAGGCTGACACTCCAAAGCAGTGCTGGAGGTGTGCTGCCGATTGCAGGATATTCTGTAAACTGCTTTGAGATGTCCTTCTGACATCAGATATACAATAATCCTTGCATCTCCATAGGAATTATTATCATTTGAAACTGTAGGTAATTTAGTTATAAAAGAGATCTTCAATATTTCAATGTAGCCAACACAAATGAATGGCTGATTTTACCTAGGGGATGGTTGGCCAGGACAACAGAAGAAACTCCCTTCTCTTTTCGAATAGTGCCCTGGGATCTTTAATGTCCACCTGAACAGGCAGACAGGACCTCGGTTTAACTTCTCAGCTGAAAGATGGCACGTCCAACAATGGAGTGCTTCTTCTGCAGTATACTAGACTCTCAGCCTAGACTATGAGCTTGAACCCATAACCTTCTGTCCAGCGGTGAGTGTGCCACACTGACACCTAAGATAATAATCTAATAATAATCCTTGCATTTGATATAGCGCTTTTCATGTCTTCTAGACATCTCAAAACACTTCACAGAATATACTGTGGAGTGAATTGACTACATATTTGTGGACGAAATGCAGCAGCCAATTGTGCACAGCAGTGTCCCACAAACAGTTGTGGATTGAAGTGACCAATTTTATTATTGTTTTATTTCTTGATTATTTTCAGGCATGTGGAGTAAGGAAATTTGCCCAAGGTTTCGCCCTTCAGGATCAAACCCAGGTCTCTTGCTTGCGAGGCAAGTGCTCTAACCACTGAGCTACAGGAAGATTATACATCTTAAAAAGTTATATATGTCAATTCTGCGCACCTTCTCATAGAATTGCAATAAATGATCTGAGGCACTCATTAACTGACTGCTACTAAAAGTGAAGATGTGGTGGAAACAACTTGATTTATACTGTTCATCACTTCAATCAGGGTTTTTTTTAAACCACAGTTCTCTTGAAAGCTCTGAGGACATTTAGGACGCTTTTAAGGGAACTTTTGGGAAGGGGAGCTAGAATTGAGTTTTATAATTAAAACCCCTAAGTGATGCTGAGCCCCGGTCTACCAGGGTGGTCTCTGCAGCTTCTGAGTTGTATTGCCAGAACCCATATACCAGAAACTAAAATACGTTTATAATAATAATAATCCTTGCATTTGATATAGCGCCTTATTATGTCGTTAAGACGTCTCAAACTGCTTCACCGAAGATACTGTAAAGTGAATGGACTATATTTTGTGGGCAACACAGAGCAGCCAATTGTGCACAGCAGTGTCCCACAAACAGTTGTGGAATGAGTGACAAAATTATTATTTATTTATTTTAGAATATTACTTCCTGGAAAGTAATCCACCAATTGAATAACAACTGGGTTCCTGTTTATTACCAGGTAAACAGAGGCGTGTGGAGTAAGGACATTTGTCTAAGGCTGCCCGGAATCAAACCCAGGTCCTCTCACTTGGTAAGCGAGAGCTCTAACCACTAAGTTACAGGACTCCGAGCCAAAGTCAACCAAATACTAGCCCGAAAGTAGCCCAATATTACCCATTGCCTCCTATGGGTAGCAGAGTGGCCAACTTAGATTAATGCTTTTGAAACTGCGTAAGAAAATAATAATAATAATTATAATAAACTTTGCATTTGATATATCACATCATCAAGACATGTTAAGTGCTTCAGAGGATATACTGTACAGTGGATTGACTGTATATTTTGTGAGCGAAACACAAAGTGATCTTAAGGGGAGGAGGAATCACAGGTTTTGGAGGTTTACATTCACATTTTAAAAATTAAGCACCCAGCAAAGATGTTTTCACTCACAGTGCAACAACAAGCTGCCCAATTGGGCATGAAGTTGCACAAAGTGGCCACACTGTGCATTGGCTCCTTGAGTGCTGGTCAGCGGTGCTGTGTGGAGCTGTGTAGTGTTATGTTAGTTCTGAGGCTGGGTGGTGCTGTGTAGTGTTGGTGCTGAGGCGTGTGTGTAGTGTTATGTTGGTGCTGTGCTGTGTGGTGCTGTGGCTGTGTGGTGCTGTGTAGTGTTGGTGCTGTGGCTGTGTGGTGCTGTGTAGTGTTGGTGTTGTGGTTGTGTGGTGCTGTGTAGTGTTGGTGCTGTGGCTGTGTGGTGCTGTGTAGTGTTGGTGCTGTGGCTGTGTGGTGCTGTGTAGTGTTGGTGCTGTGGCTGTGTGGTGCTGTGTAGTGTTGGTGCTGTGGCTGTGTGGTGCTGTGTAGTGTTGGTGCTGTGGCTGTGTGGTGCTGTGTAGTGTTGGTGCTGTGGCTGTGTGGTGCTGTGGTGTGGTGTGGCTGTGTGGTGCTGTGTAGTGTTGGTGCTGTGGCTGTGTGGTGCTGTGTAGTGTTGGTGTTGTGGCTGTGTGGTGCTGTGTAGTGTTGGTGCTGAGGCTGTGTGGTGCTGTGTAGTGTTGGTGCTGTGGCTGTGTGGTGCTGTGTAGTGTTGGTGTTGTGGCTGTGTGGTGCTGTGTAGTGTTGGTGCTGAGGCTGTGTGGTGCTGTGTAGTGTTGGTGCTGTGGCTGTGTGGTGCTGTGTAGTGTTGGTGCTGAGGCTGTGTGGTGCTGTGTAGTGTTGGTGCTGTGGCTGTGTGGTGCTGTGTAGTGTTGGTGCTGTGGCTGTGTGGTGCTGTGTAGTGTTGGTGCTGTGGCTGTGTGGTGCTGTGTAGTGTTGGTGCTGTGGCTGGGTGGTGCTGTGTAGCATTTTGTGTAGTGTAACTCCGCCGTCCGCATTCCCACCCGCACCAAACTCCGCTCCTCGATTACCCCAGTCCTTGCCAAACTCCACTGGCTCCCTGTCACAGAGGGATCAACTTCAAGATGCTCATTCTAGTGTTTAAATCCCTCCATTCCTTGGCACCCCCCTATCTCTCTAACCTCCTCTCTCCCCACAGCAGTACCCACTGCCTCCACTTTACTGGGTCCAGCCTCCTCTGCGTCCCCCGAATCCCCCGCTCCACCATCGGCGGCCGTGCCTTCAGCCATTACTACACCCCAAAACTTTGGAATTCCCTCCCTCAACCCCTTCCCCTCGCCCCCTCCTCCCCATCATTAGGTCGTGCCTGAAAACCTTCCTCTTCGACCATGCCTATGGTCACCCTTCCCCTGACTCGGCCTCGGGCTCTGCCATTGTTAAGCGCTCTGAGACGCCGCTCATTGTGGAGGGTGCTATATAAGTGCCAGTTGTTGTTGTAGTGTTGGTGCTGTGGCTGGGTGGTGCTGTGTAGTGTTGTTTTTGGTTTGGTGCTGTGTGGTGCTATGTATTGTGTGTAGTGTTGGTGCTGTGTAGTGTAGTGTGGGACACTGCTGTGCGCAATTGGCTGCTGCATTTTGCCCACAAATGTACAGTCAATTCACTTTACAGTATATTCTGTGAAGCGCTTTGAGACGTCTAGACCACTTGAAAAGCGCTATAGCAAATGCAAGGATTATTGTTATTATTAGTGTTGGTGCTGTGTATTGTAGTGTGTAGTGGTGGTGCTGTGTGTAGTTAGTGTTGGTGCTGTGTGTAGTTAGTGTTGGTGCTGTGTGTAGTGTTGGTGCTGTGTGTAGTTAGTGTTGGTGCTGTGTGTAGTGGTGGTGTTGTGTGCAGTTAGTGTTGGTGTGTTAAGTTAGTGGTGGTGCTGTGTTAAGTTAGTGTTGGTGCTGTGTGCAGTTAGTGGTGGTGCGGTGTACAGTTAGTGGTGGTGCTGTGTGTAGTTAGTGTTGGTGCTGTGTGTAGTGTTGGTGCTGTGTGTAGTTAGTGTTGGTGCTGTGTGTAGTGGTGGTGTTGTGTGCAGTTAGTGTTGGTGTGTTAAGTTAGTGGTGGTGCTGTGTTAAGTTAGTGTTGGTGCTGTGTGCAGTTAGTGGTGGTGCGGTGTACAGTTAGTGGTGGTGCTGTGTGTAGTTAGTGGTGGTGCGGTGTACAGTTAGTGTTGGTGCTGTGTGTAGTTAGTGTTGGTGCTGTGTGTAGTTAGTGGTGGTGCTGTGTGCAGTTAGTGGTGGTGTTGTGTGCAGTTAGTGTTGGTGCTGTGTGTGGTGGTGCTGTGTGTAGTTAGTGGTGGTGCTGTGTGTAGTTAGTGGTGGTGCTGTGTGTAGTTAGTGGTGGTGCTGTGTGTAGTTAGTGGTGGTGCTGTGTGTAGTTAGTGGTGGTGCTGTGTACAGTTAGTGGTGGTGCGGTGTACAGTTAGTGGTGGTGCGGTGTACAGTTAGTGTTGGTGCTGTGTGTAGTTAGTGGTGGTGCTGTGTGCAGTTAGTGGTGGTGCTGTGTGCAGTTAGTGGTGGTGTTGTGTGCAGTTAGTGTTGGTGCTGTGTGTGGTGGTGCTGTGTGTAGTTAGTGGTGGTGCTGTGTGTAGTTAGTGTTGGTGCTGTGTGTAGTGAGTGCTGTGTGTAGTTAGTGTTGGTGCTGTGTGTAGTGAGTGCTGTGTGTAGTTAGTGGTGGTGCTGTGTGTAGTAAGTGCTGTGTAGTTAGTGGTGGTGCTGTGTGTAGTGAGTGCTGTGTGTAGTTAGTGGTGGTGCTGTGTGTAGTTAGTGGTGGTGCTGTGTGTAGTGAGTGCTGTGTAGTTAATGGTGGTGCTGTGTGTAGTGAGTGCTGTGTGTAGTTAGTGGTGGTGCTGTGTGTAGTGAGTGCTGTGTGTAGTTAGTGGTGGTGCTGTGTAGTTAGTGGTGGTGCTGTGTGTAGTTAGTGGTGGTGCTGTGTGTAGTTAGTGGTGGTGCTGTGTAGTTAGTGGTGGTGCTGTGTAGTTAGTGGTGGTGCTGTGTGTAGTGAGTGCTGTGTAGTTAGTGGTGGTGCTGTGTGTAGTGAGTGCTGTGTAGTTAGTGGTGGTGCTGTGTGTAGTGAGTGCTGTGTAGTTAGTGTTGGTGCTGTGTGTGGTGAGTGCTGTGTGTAGTTAGTGGTGGTGCTGTGTGTAGTGAGTGCTGTGTGGAGTTAGTGGTGGTGCTGTGTAGTTAGTGGTGGTGCTGTGTGTAGTTAGTGGTGGTGCTGTGTGTAGTTAGTGGTGGTGCTGTGTGTAGTTAGTGGTGGTGCTGTGTGTAGTTGGTGGTGGTGCTGTGTGTAGTTAGTGGTGGTGCTGTGTAGTTAGTGTTGGTGCTGTGTGTAGTTAGTGATGGTGCTGTGTGTAGTGAGTGCTGTGTGTAGTTGGTGGTGCTGTGCAGTTAGTGGTGGTGCTGTGTGTAGTGAGTGCTGTGTGTAGTTAGTGGTGGTGCTGTGTGTAGTGAGTGCTGTGTGTAGTTAGTGGTGGTGCTGTGTAGTTAGTGGTGGTGCTGTGTGTAGTTAGTGGTGGTGCTGTGTGTAGTTAGTGGTGGTGCTGTGTGTAGTTAGTGGTGGTGCTGTGTGTAGTTAGTGGTGGTGCTGTGTGTAGTTGGTGGTGGTGCTGTGTGTAGTTAGTGGTGGTGCTGTGTAGTTAGTGTTGGTGCTGTGTGTAGTTAGTGATGGTGCTGTGTGTAGTGAGTGCTGTGTGTAGTTGGTGGTGCTGTGCAGTTAGTGGTGGTGCTGTGTGTAGTGAGTGCTGTGTGTAGTTAGTGGTGGTGCTGTGTGTAGTGAGTGCTGTGTGTAGTTAGTGGTGGTGCTGTGTGTAGTTAGTGGTGGTGCTGTGTGTAGTTAGTGGTGGTGCTGTGTGTAGTTAGTGGTGGTGCTGTGTAGTTAGTGGTGGTGCTGTGTAGTTAGTGGTGGTGCTGTGTGTAGTTAGTGGTGGTGCTGTGGGAGCTCCTCACCTGCTCTCTCAGTGCCTGGACTATAACCTGGGCACCGCTCAGCAGACTGTGCCCCTCAGTGTGTGCAGACATTGCCTGTGCAGCCGCTGACAGGGAAACCTCCGGCTGGGAGCCCAGCCCCAGGGTCCTGAGGGACAAGATGCAGAGGGTGGGTGTGAGGAGGCTCAGGCTGGTAGGTACAGCACACAGTGCAACATGTCTCACCGAGTGGCCACCAACGTGTCTTGGAATATTATTGTAACATTATTGCAACAACTGCACCACTTAACCATTTCTCACTCCTCACAATTTGCAACGGTTTGTTCATGTTATTGTGTGTTATTGTGTTACCAATCTTGTGGATTGCTGGGTCTCTCTCTGCAAATAGCAACCGAGGGGTCACTGCACAGCAGCAGCTTAATGTTGGGGCTTGATCCCACCCACCACCCTAAGCCCTCCAGAAGGGCACCATACAAACCCCAAGTTGTTGTGGTTGTTGTTGTTGTTCTCTGCCTCTTGGGGTTGTCCTGGAGAAGCTGCAGCCTTCCCCAGTGTCTTGTTGTGAGCCCCCAAACCACCTTGGTATCAGGGCATTACAGGTTGGGAGGAAGGGTGCTGGAGGTGAGGGAGGACCATGGATTCAAGTAAAACACAGCTTGCTGGCTTGCTGGCAGGGGGTTTTTCTGGAGAAATGAGATCATCAGATCATCCATATTTTGTGTTTAACAACCTCCTGCAACACTGCCATCTGGTGCTAGTTTGGACACTCATTCTGTACTTTTTAGAATTGCTCTTCCAAACAACAACTTGCATTCGTACAGTGCCCTTCGCGTAGAATAACGTCTCGGAGGGCTTTACTGTGGTGGGGCTGGAGTGGTAGGACAATCATTGGAGTGGTTAAGCCCTCCGGGATGCTACCCTGCACGAGGGGCGCTATATAAATTAAAGTTGTTGGTGGTGGTACCCATAAGGGTGGTCAGAGAGATAGGTGGCTCTTAAATACCTATTAGAAGGGAATAGAGTAATAATAATCCTTGCATTTGATATAGCGCTTTTCACGTCTTCTCGACGTCTCAAAGCGCTTCACAGAATAGACTGTAAAGTGAATTGAACGTATATTTGTGGGTGAAACTCGGCAGCCAATTGCGCACAGCAGTGTCCCACAAACAGTCGTGGATTGAAAATGACCAATTTATTATTATTTTTTATTTTATAAAGGATGTATATATTTACTCGATTTGTCAGTTAAAAGCTATTGAGTTTGTTTTGATCAATTATTAGCTTTTATTCTTACACGTTGCTGAAAATGTTGCAATAACAATCTCGAGATCAAAGCATTTACTAGACAAATGTTTAGCAACAAAATACATAAATCATTAACTGAACCACCAATAAATTGTTTCTCCTTCTGTGGCTACTCTGTAATTTAGTAAAATTTATATATGCTACATCTTAATATCCATTGGTGATTATTGTTTGCATAATCAATGATCCATCAACTGCAGTAGGCATTTAGCGAGTGAAGATGTCTTTGGTGTCCAAATGGTTATTGAACTTGTTAGAACTTGTTGAACCAATTCTATTCTCGAATCCTCCGAGGAGTTTTTCTTTTCTGCCGAGTCCCAGATCCATCCCTCGACCAGTGAAATAAGACTGCAGGATTCGGAAAAACTGTATAATGTAAAAGGGGTTGGGGTGGGAGGGGGAAACAATCAATGTTAATAAGCGGATAGGTCCCAAAGTTCAATTTCATTTTATGGTGAAAATGATACCATTTGTCTCCAAACAAATACTTCCAGAAAATTTTCGTTCATCTGAAAGGTGGAGGGTTAGTTTGAAAATGCTTAACTGCAAAGCGCTCCAAGACGTTATCCTACGTGAAGGATGTTATATACATGCAAGTTGCTGTTAACTTTTCTGAACAGCTTGTTTTGATTCCTCTTCTCATAATATTATCTGAATAATGGTTACAAAGGTATCGGCTGAATTAGGATTTGGAATCACTGTGGGGAGGCAACAACAACAGCAAAATTAGTACAGACCTCTCATGTTGGGAGGATGTCCCAAGGCGCTGGACAATCAGTGTTTCCGACCTGAGCTAAGGGTCGGGATTGGGGAGAGTGGTCAAAGGCACGGTCGAAGAGGAGGGTCTTGAGATGGGTCTTGAAGGAAGCAAGGGAGGGGGCGAGGCGGGGACGTGAAGCAGGCTGGAGCCCGCTGAGCGGCGGGAGCGTGAAGGTTGGTAGAGGGTTAGGAGGTCACAGAGGTGGGAGGAGCAAGGCCATGGAGGGCTTTGAAGGTGAGGATCACGATCTTCACCTGTATCCTCTGTGTGATGGGAAGCCAGTAGAGTCGGGTGAGGATGGGAGTGATGGGGTCACGGAGCCTGGTGCGGGAGAGGACATGAGCTGCTGAATTCTGGATGATGGAGGGAGGAGTTGGGGAGGCCAACATGTAGGGTGTTTGCTAGTCAAGTCTGGATGTTATGAATGGATGTATGAGGGTTTCAGCGGCCTGCAGTGTGAGACAGTGGTGGAGCTGGGCGATGTAGCAGATGTGGGAGGAAGGCAGAGTGGGTCTTGGCACGGATGTGGCATAGAATGGATAGTTGAGGGTCAAACAAGAATAATGTAATAATAAGCCTTGCATTTGATATGGTGCCTTATCACGTCATTGAGATAGATATCTCAAAGTACTTCACAGGATGTACTGTAAAGGGATTGATTGTATATTTTGTGGGCACAACTCGGCAGCCAATTTGGACACAGCAATATCCCACAAATGGCCATGGAGTAAGTGACTAATTTTATTTTGAGATATTTGTTGGCCAGGACACTGGGAGAAACTCCCTTCTCTTTTTGAATAGTACCATGGAATCTTTAACGTCCACCTGAACAGACAGACAGGACCTCAGTTTAACATCTCATCCAAAGGACGGCACCTCTAACAATGCCTTATCACGTCATTGAGATAGATGTTTCAAAGCCCATCACAGGATATACTGTTTCGTGGATTGACTGCATATTTTGTGGGCGAACCACAGCATCTCCAGTACTGCATTGGAGTGTCAGTTTAGATTGTGATGCCATATCCCGACGTGGGACTTGAACCCACAACCTTCTGACTTAGAGGCAAGAGTGTCACTGCACCAGGCTGACACACGGTATACATATGATTCAATAATCTTTTTGCTGACAAGAAAAATTACTTCATGGTATCAACAAGAAATTATCTTTTCAGGTTTGTTCATGTCTCTTCTGCTTTAATGAAAACTAGGTATTTTAGAGTCTTGATCCTTCTTAAAAAAAATCTTTGCTTTTGGTATAGCATCTTTCCTTGTTTTTGGTATAGAGTCTTTTCATGTCCGGAGGATGTCTTAAAGCGCTTCACAGGATTTACTGTACAATGTAATTTGCATGTGAACACAGCAGCTAATTGGCACACTGAAACATCCCACTAACAGCCCTTGAAGTTAATGACCAATTTAATCTTATCTGAGGGATTGCTGGCCAGAACACCAGGAGAAACTCCCTTCACTTTGAGTAGTGGTGAGAGATGTTTAACACCCACCTGAACAGTCGAAAGATAGTAACTCTGGCAAATGCAGTTTCCCCTGGATTGCCTGGAATTTCAGCCTAGACTATGAGTGCAAAGTACTGACGTGAGGCTTAATCCACAACCTTCTGATGCAGAGGCAAGAGTGCTACCAACTGAACCAGGTTGATATCTTAGGGTTCAAAAGCAACATTAAGCAAAGTATAATTTTTTGTGACTAATTATGTGAAACTGTATTTGAGAAATCTAGTAAACCTAATAATTAGCAGAAGAGTTGTATATGAGCAACAGTGTTATGCCACAGTACAGAATAAAAATAAATTTGATGTCCATATGGTGGCTACCAGGAGTAACACTTGATTTTATCACACTTACTGCAAGAGAAAAAAATACTGTAGTTAAAAACTGTTACAGCTTCTATAGAGAGACTATATTCATAATCACGCTTAATACAGTCACTATCTAAACCTAGATAGCTTACCATGGAGTTGAGTTTGAACCTGCTACTTTGCAGGGAATTGAGATAACATTTCATAGAAATTGCTTCATATGTGAGTTAGTTTGTATCTACTTTAGCAAGGAAAAAAGGTAATTCTTGTTACTAAGCATGAGCATTTTTATAAATTTTAATAACTTCACTTCTATTGGAGTAAAGAAGCTGTTAGTTCTCTTACAGCAATCGCATAAATATAAATAAACCTCAAGAATTTTGTAAGCAGCAGGTTAATACTTCCAACATATAACAGCTGCAGGTGTAACATTAAGATTGTGAACCTAATACCTTATCCCACAAGGTATCTGCCATCGCCTATATTTACTAGGTCACTATATGTTTCTATATGTCACTATATATGTTTTGGAGAAGACAACCCTACAAAGGGGGGGGGGGGAATCATTAGAATTAAAATAAAGATTGTCTCTCTTCTATACCATAGAAAGCTGCATTCTACCTGAGTTAAAGTGATACAAATCATTGGGTGTCATCTTGATCGTGTGAAAACAAATTAATCTGTTAACTACAAATACTGCATCTCACTGTCTTTCTGGATGGTATCTTAAATTGAATGATTTAATCTGATTTATTTTCCAGTTCACAGCAAACATAAGCTTTTTTTTAATGCCTTGGTACCTCTCAGCTATGTTTTTGAAATGGCAAAACTCCTGTAATAAATAAGCGATGACCTTTCAAAATACAACATTTTTAAATAATTTATCAATTTTGTGAATAACAAGAAGATTGGGGATTATAAAATCACTCAATTCATTTGATCACTGAACCATTTTAATGGTATGTGGTGTTAATAAAATTTTTCGATAAAATACCTTGTTCAACAGTATTCACAGTATTCCCTAACTACATCTGCTCATTGTAAGGAGCTGAATATCATTAACATTTTCTTAGTATAACTTTGAAGATTGTAGAAAAGCAATGGACAACTGTGCTTCTTCTTGGTACTTATAGAATATTATAATGCAGAGAATTAAGCACGGTGATGCGTTTGCAAGTGTGTTGGATAACTAGTCGATCAAACAAAGTTACTGTTTTATAAAAAAAACAAATTGAAAGGCTCATCAACAGAATAAACATCTTCTTCCAGACTCTCCTGGTCTATTCATCACTTACCAGATCTCTATTCTGTGGTTTTTCCAAAGATTTCCATCCACCTTCACCGGTGACTGTCTGCGAGGTAACACATAGCAGCAGGAAGGTGGTCACAAAGAATACAGCGAGCTGGATATTTTTCATCCTAAAATGCAAGAACTGTTTTGTTTCTTTTAAGTGTGGTTGTGAGTCCATCTCATTTGGATTAAATCAATTTTCACATCTTGTTCAAATACATTTGATACTATTCCCATACCAATTAGAACTGCATTGTTAATGCAAAAATAAAACAAATTGGAAAAAAAGTAACATTTGCTGCAATGCAGATACAATATGAATTAGTAAATGCAAACAAGCAGATAGATCAATACAGATGAAGTATAAAACCAGCTGTAAAATATTTGAGAGGCCAGGCACATCATGTTTGTATATTGCTATAATAAACTAGACTTATAACTTGGATGGGCAAAAGACAGATAAAATAAAAAGACAAAGAATGGATAAATAAGGAGAAAATGAAATGAAATTAGTAACACCAGAGTACTGGTTTGTTCTGCTGTAACCCATTTGTGGTTCTTACCTGTTCAGGAAATTGAAGGCTGTGTGCAAAGCACTGGACTTGCTGTCTGTGATCTCTGCTCCAGAATTGCTTCAATTTATAAGACTCATCCTCTCCATCCCACTCACACATTTTTGAATGCCTCAATAATCAAGCTGTATGTGTTGTTTTCATATCCCCAGACCGAAGAACAATATTAAGTCTTTGAAAATCTCAATAATTAATTCCAAATGCCCTATTACACAAGCATGTTCTTTTAATGTAATGTTCACCTCATTAATCTGAAAAGGACTGAGACTGTTCAGTGGAGTTAGGCGTTCAGAAAAAGAATAACATTTCCATTTTAGAGTTCTGTATTTGTTTAAAACATAAAATTCTACTGATCAGGTGTTTTTTCATGTTGAACTATGAAACCAAGACTGTGTAAAGTGTAAATAGATGACATCCAGTCGTATGTTTAAAAATGTAATTACATTATTGAAAGATGAGATTTGTGTTTTAAATTCAAACTATAAATACCATCATTAACAAAATTTGCATTTGAATCTGGTGCATGTGGCTTTTTGAAAACCTTCTCCACTGAATTTAAAGGAACAGATGTAAATTTCAGGTCAGACCTGTATTTTTTAGTTGAATGTATTCCACTTATGACTTAAATGTTACATATTTTTGTTAATTCAAAAGTACATTTGATATAGCACCTTTCATGTTAGGAGGACATCTGAAAGAGCTTCACATGATTCACTGGAAAGAGTAGTGACTATGTATTTTATAGGCAAACGGAGCTGCCAGTTTGTGCACAGCAATGTCCCACAAACAGCCACAAAGTGAATGACCAATTTTATTTGGGGAATTGTTGGCCAGGACACTGGGAAAAAAAACTCCCTTCTCTTTTTGAATAGTGCCATGGGATCTTTAATGTCCACCTGATCGTTGGTTAACGTCTATCCGAAGGACATCACCTTTGATGTAGCACATCCCCAGAACTGCGTTGGAATGTCATCTAAGACTATGCGAGGCTAGTGTTGGCCTTGAACCACACGTTCTGACTCAGTGGTAAGAGAGGTCCTAACTGAGCCAGGTTCAGGCTATATTTGAAAATAATAATTGTAATCTGGCAGGACTAAGAATGCATATTCAACCTGAACCCGGGAAATTTCTCAATTACCTGTTCAAATATTTACGAGAAGCCAAAAGTGCCTGCTGAATGAATCAAAATCTTTGGATAAAAACATCTGGTTTGCACAAAAAAAAATTAGTTGCACTGTGTGGTGCCAACAGGCCAATTTGGGATCAGAAACCGGAATATCAAAACTGACAGATAGTTGACTCAATTCTGACGAGTCACCTTGGAACCAGCTCAGAAGGGTTGAGCCTGGTACCTACCCTCCACGAGGTGGAGGGTAGGTACCAGGAACTCTCTGTGAGTTTCCTGGTGAGCAACACAGCTGATCATGGAATGTGTGAAAGCATTGTCAACATTATTCTGCCCCCAGCTCGGACACACATCCCTTCCCATTGAGTGATGGTTCCACTAGTTGGGAGTGTGGAGCTTGGGCATCACATGCTTATCTCTGCATACAATTCAGGGTGGATACTAAACCCAGGACATACGAGTGTACGCTCACACACCCAGACTTCAGGCTGTAGTTAAATGTACAATAAATATTTTCAATATGTTCTGATGGCCAGTTTCGCTGGGTTGCTGATTTCTCTCCCAGACCAGTATAAAGGTCCTATTGCAGTTTGTGTGGAAATAACAGATCAAATGGGCTGCAAGTCCTTCTTCATCCAAATCCCTTATGATCTTCTACAGCATTGGATCACCTGCTGTTTGTTGAATATTTGCTTCTGGCTTGCTGTTAATATTTAATGACATTGCTGTGCTTTGTGTGCTAAAGTTCAGTGCTGATATTTTATGGCGTTTGCTAATGTTGTAACACTTGTCCACTTAAAAATCACTTGCTTCCAGCTTATCCTATGACATTCGTTGAGATGTTTGATAACAATCCTTACATTTGGTATAGCACCATTGACATCGGGAGGACAGGTCAAAGCACTTCACAGGATATATTATGAAGTGGAGCGACTGTATTTGATGCGATAAAGCACGGGAATGAAATGAAAGCATTATTCCGTCAACATTTTTACTGATTGGGAATGATTTGCCCACAGCAGGTGCTGTTTCTGTTTTGGCCAGCCATGGTCATGCACCCAGTGGTGTGTGGGAAGGAGTTTTATATGGCTGCTGTTTACGAACACAAAACGGTGTTGAATGCAACAGCGGGTTCCCCTCCAACACGTGAGACAGCACTGAATCACATGAGAAAAAATCTGGACATCTACCAACACCAAGTAAACACAGCTTCCAAACAGGTAAAGAGATTGCAGTGCTTTCTCACATAATGATTAACTGCCTCTGCGTCTGTTTAGTGCATAAAAATACTAAAACAATCATTTTGATGGTGAATCTCCCTCTTTTTTTGAAGGTATTTTCTATCTATTCCTTTTTCGTCTCTCTTCGCCATCCACCATCATAGATTCATAGAATAGAATGTTTCGGCCCATCGAGTCTGTGTGGCTCTTTGACAGAGCAAGTCACTTTCACTAACCCCAATCACCAGCTTTCTCCCCATAACCCTGCAAACCCGTCTTCCCCAGATACCTATCCAGTTCTCTCTTAAAAGCTGTTATCGAATCGGACTTCACTACCCTTTCAGGCAGATCATTCCAAATTCGAACAACTCGCTGAGTGAAAAAATGTCTTCTAACCTCCCCTCTGCTTCTTTTGGTAGATATCTTAAGACTGTGACCACGGGTCACAGACACACCTACCAGCGGAAACAGCTTTTCCTTATCCAGCCTGTCAAAACCTTTCATGATCTTGAAGACCTTTATCAGGTCCCCGCGTAACCTTCTCTGCTCTAATGGGAAACGTCCTAACTTCTCCAGCCTGTCCTCATAGCTAAGGTTCCCCATTCCTGGTATCATTCTCGTGAATCTCCTCTGCACCCTTTCCAGTGCCTTAATGTCCTTCCTGAGGTACGGTGCCCAGAACTGGACGCAGTACTCCAGCTGAGGCGTAACCAGTGTTTTGTATAGATTAACCATAACCTCCCTGCTCTTGTACTCTATGCCCCTACTAATAAAGCTCAGTACACTGAATGCCTTTTTTACTGCCTTATCTACCTGCCCCGCTACCTTTAATGATTCGCTTACTTGAACACCCAGATCGCTCTGTACATTCACCCCCCTTAAGATTGAGCTACTAAGTCTATATTGCCTCCTATCATTTTTCCTACCTAAGGGTATCACCTCACACTTATTTACATTGAAATCCATCTGCCATATGTCAGCCCATTCCACCATTCTGTGTATGTCTGCTTGCAGTCTGTTACAGTCTTCCTCACGATTTACTACCCCACCTAACTTTGTATTAACGCGAGTAGTGCCAAGAAATCTAAGTGTTTTGATAGGCAACTAAATGAGACTCGGTGAATGTACGACTTAGGCGATTATGATTTATAAAGATAAGACTTATGCTAATTTTACTGCAGTAGGATATGCTTTATATTTATAATTTGAATTATTTGCAATTGTGTGTGTTACAGGGTGCTCAAATAATTGTATTCCCAGAGGATGGTCTCTATGGTTTTTCATTCAACAGAACTACTATTTATCCATATCTGGAGCCTATTCCCGATCCTGCCATTGTTAACTGGAATCCTTGCCTGAATCCAACCAAGTTTAACAATACAGAGGTAGGAGTTCTATATAGGTTACAATCACTTGTTACAAATGAGAAAGTCATATTTAGCGTTTTGTGATACATGAGGAAGAAGGGAGTAGACAGTATGTGGGAGGGGATTAAGAGGGGTGGAAGCTCCTGTGGAGAATAAACACTGGTATAGACTAGTTGGGTTAAATGGCACATTTCCATTCTATATTTTAGAACTATAAACAGTAGATCTATATTCTACCGGGGATATATTGCAAGAGGAAATGAATGGGTTCATTAATAATAAAAAGCAATGAAGGATAAGAACACTTGCATGTATAGCAACTTTCACTTAGGAGAAAGGCTCAAAATGAGAGACAACGTGGGAACCCAAGGAGGGTAGGAGATAGAAGTAAACTGGAAATGCCTGGAGGTGCAGTTAAGTTGTTAGCTTTAGCCAGGTTTTGAAAGCAGGAGGAGGCGAGTTAGAAGGATTTAGGGAGAGAGTTCCAGAGAGTGGGGGCAAAGAAGCTGATAGCTCATGGTGGGGTGCGTGAGCAAGTCAGTTACCAGGTGGTCAGATTCACCTGAGGCTCATTAACTTTATACTCATGTGCTCTAGTTTGGTGCTGACAGGCCAAATAAATTCCAGTTGTAATTCCAATATCTCCTTATTTTCATATCCTCTATTCATTACAATTTATGAGGACATCTCAAAGCACCATCAATGCCAGATTTGGTTCATATTCCTTCTCAGTGAGTCATAACCCCTAGAACTCAGGAGTTTCAGAATACTCAGGGATGTTAATTGGGGAAGACACTGGTTTAATTTTGTATTTCTTGACATATTACAAATACAGCTCTTACCTGAGATGCATTTTAAGCAATGATATCTCAGGAGTGAGTCTCGCTTCAAATCTACAGTTTGCAATTCTGCCTCCGAACATATACCAAAATGTAAGCAAGACTGGAAAATTCCCTTTCTGTATAGAGTAGTAGATATGTACAACAGATTCCCAGCAAAAGCAGCTTTCTGCTTGTTTGGAAAATCTAATCACTACATTTTGCAATATATCCTGTAATGCCCTTTGAGATGTCCTCTGATGTTAAATGCAAGAATTTATTAATATTATTTTTTAATAATAATAACTTGCTTGAACAAGATGGATAAATATGTAGTTTGGTATTAGACTGGAGGAAAGCTGACAGGTACAGACATAAAAAATTAGTTATTACTAACAGATTCTTTACTGAAAGAAGGCCTCGAGTATATATGTACATTACAAATGTGGTAATATTTTTCACATTGATCTATATTATCCCAGGTCGTTCATCAATTGAGCTGCATGGCAAGAAACAGCAGCATCTACTTGGTAGTTAACATGGGTGATAGACAAGCATGTGCACACGGTGACCCTCACTGCCCACCAGACGGTAGATACCAGTTTAACACCAATGTGGTTTTCAATGACCAAGGCACCCTGATAGCCAAATACCACAAGCAGAATCTGTTCTTTGAAGTTGCTTTCAATGTACCTCAGCAAACTGAACACATCATCTTTAATACAACTTTTGCTGGACGTTTTGGCATCCTCACGTGCTTTGATATACTGTTCTACGACCCAGCAGTGAGCTTGATTGAGAAATACGGTGTGAACCAACTCGTGTTTCCCACTGCCTGGATGAACGAGCTCCCACTGTTGACTGCGATTCAGTTCCAGCGAGCATTTGCAACATTGTTCCAGATAAACCTGCTTGCAGCCAATCAGCATCATCCCGAAAGGAATATGACAGGAAGTGGAATCTACACTCCTTCCTCTTCTCTTTACTACCACAACATGGAGAGCAGCCAAGGGAAGCTTCTGGTAGCAAAGGTTCCTATAATTTCACCCAATAGAGTCCGCAACCTGGGGCTGCCTCAGCTCCAAATGAAGCGAGCATTTGTGAAGAGGATCATGATGTCTGTCGCTAAGAAAGCACGACAGAAACCAAACGAACGTGTCACACATTCAGCACTTCCAATATCTGCTCCAGGCAGCATCTTCCATGGTTTGATGATGCACGATAATTATACTTTTGTTCCTGTAACAGACGCCAAGGGTAACCTGCAGGTCTGTAACAACTATCTCTGCTGTCATTTAGCCTACAATCGTACCAACCCAACCATTGATCTGTATGCTTTAGGGGCTTTTGATGGCCATCACAAGGGCACAGGTTACTACCTGCAGGTGTGTGCGTTGGTGAAGTGTGCAGGCCCCGACTACAACACGTGTGGAGAAGGTGTCACATCTGCCTCAAACATTCTTGACTTCACATTGTGGGGGAACTTCAGCACACAGCATGTTTTTCCAGAAATACTTGCTAGTGAGATCAAAGTTTATCAACCAGATAGCATTAAGTGGGAGAAGGACAATTTCTATATGACCAAGAAAACGATGTCTGAAGGATTAGTAACCGCCGCACTCTATGGAAGATGGTATAAACGAGATATTGGTAGTACAAGAATTCTAAATAATTTTCATTAGATGTGATATGTGCTAACAGATTGCTAACATTTTTATTTGAACGAACAAGAACTTATTGAACATTAAAACAGAAGTCACTGGGAACACTCAGCAGGTCAGGCAGCATCTATGGAGAAAGGAAAGTGAGTCAAAGTTTCAGCTCCACGACCCTTCATCAGAATGGTTATTGAACACATTCAACCCAAAGCTTAAGATTGATTAAACAGTTGTTCAGCACAGTTTGCGGTGGGAGTTTGTCAGCCTTGAGATGAGATGTTAAACCAAGGTCCCGTCTGCCTGTTCAGATGGACGTTAAAGATCCTATGGTACAATTTGAAAAGAGAAGGGCGTTTCTCCCAGTGACTTGGCCAATATCATTCCTTGGATATCAGCAAGACACTTCATTTCCCCAAGCATAACCGAGATACAATCTGTACTAACTGCTATAATGAAATATGCATTGCTTTCAATGAGTTTATATCACAGTGTATAAGAGCCTCCACAAATTTCGTATCCACTCATTTTAAAGTGTTGTAACTTTCTCAATAATGTACTTTGCTTATTTCAAAAAAAGCTTAATTTCCCTTTAATATTAATATTTCAGATAATTAAAAGTACTGTTTGTAATAAATACTAGGTTATGAACCTAAATGTATGATTTGTCTAGCCTTTCATCTGTAAGATACATTTCCAAAGAGTATATCCCCTCCCATGCTCCCATCAACATTTCCTGCATGTTTGATATGCTTTCATACTGATATTACCCAACCCATTGCCTGCCATTTGTCATATCACAATAGTCTACAGAGTCAGGAAGCCAACAATATAAATGTAGGAAGAAGTAATCAAGAAAAGTATTACATTGAAAAACTTCATAACACCAGACTATTTCTCCAATAACCTTCTGGGATAAATCACATAAGCTAAGGCCCTTCAGCTTTGAAAAGAGAGGAGACCTTAAAGAGGTGAGTAAAAATGCTAAATGGGATTGGATATTTTTGTTTAGCCAGGTGTGTGACACCCATTTCCATGCTTAAGAGTATTCAAACCAAACAGAGTTCCATGTATCCCACTTATACATGGAAATTTTAGTGATATTTATTGGAATGGAATGTGCACTCTCACACTGGAGGGATGCATCCTGCTTACCTAATTCCAGATAATATTATGCATAGGCTGGCAAGAGCCAAGGCTTGGGGACCAGAGTATGTATTGGGTACTGCTGGAGTCTAACCAGCTATAACCGCATAGCTTGCCAGTCTTAGTTCGACAAGCAACGGGAAAGCTTGACCACTGCCTGTCAAGCTTTCCCGTTGCTTGTCGAACTAAAACTACCCTACCCATTAGGGCTTTGGCTTATTGGGTTAATGGGAACTTATTTGGAAGAGTCCCTGCACACAGTGAGTGTTCAACTCTTCCAATTTCTGCTAATAAGCTGGCTGTGCTGTCATTAACAGTGCACTCGAATACTGCGGACCAGCCTGGCTCAGAAACTGGACTATCATGACCTTCACCCAGCATTGGCTCGATTCTGACAAAATAGGATTCAGAAAGTAAACAAAGGACAAATACGATGTGCTATGGGAGCAGAACAAGACAAGGTTCAGAGTTGCAAAGGGAAATTTTCATGACAGACACCAGGAAATAATGATTTACAGAGGGTAATTGATATATGGAACATGTTGCCAGGAAAGGTGATGGATGCAAAGGAGCTGGATTCAGTTAAGAAACTATTTGATGCAATAATAGAAAAAGGATAGGGTGGGTTTTTGGAAGGATAATATCAAATTAGTCAAAGTACCTTCTTTATCTAAACCCCTTGTGATCTTTGTGACCATTGAGTAAGTATCATGAAAGGTTCTGACTAAACAAATACGATTTCACCAATAATTGAATCCCTTCCCCCAAAAGGGAGATAGATACTGTTGAAAGTAAGGAATTATGGAAAAGCGGCAAGAAAATGAAATTAAAGAATATGAAGTTTGTTGGGCCGAATAACCACACTTTATACATTTTACTGAATCTTTGTATGTGGTAAATATATATTTTTTAACAAATATACAATACAAAATATCCTGACTTAAAAATAATAAATGCAGTGTCCTGATCAACAGGCATATAACTTCTGCTTTCAAGTAATTACATTAATAACTACAATTAACATAATACTGGCTGCTATAACCACTAATAGAAAATCCAGTTATCTAAACTCAAATGCTCTCTTGATGTTTTTCAAAAAAAAACTTATCAAGTATACAGTACTTCCTTGTTAACTAGGTGTTGGCACGATCCATTCAACTAGCACAAAAAAGGTAAATAAAAAAATAACTTACATATTTATGATTCTCTCCTTTTTTGTAATTTGTATCTGAACATCATTAATAAAGATAAGTTTCTGTATAAAAAGCAGGTGCTAATTATCTACTTATGTTTTTATCTTAAGATCAATATGATGCAATATGTAATAGATAAAACATTGCCGAGAAATGAATTAACATATGAAAAAATGTTCAAAAGTAATTGTGCCTTTAATCCTCCTGTTTTAGAACAGCTGCCCACGCATGTAAATTTCAGCAGGAGTATTTTAAGGATTTAGAAAAAAATGATTTGTTCAGTAGAATGGTTTAAATACAACCACATCAGAAATACATAATTTAATATGTACAAACATTGTTGTTTTGGGATAAATGGCTCGTTTAAAATCAAATTTTAATTTAATTTTTAAACAAATATTAAATTTTTAGAGAACAAGTCCCTGGGAATGAATCCGAAGCATGGTGACATGACAGTCTGTCCTTCAGGTGAGACGTTGAACTCTTGTCTGTGCTTGTTCAGGTGGAGGTTGATGATCCTTTCACTTGATTTGAAAAGAGAAGATTCCTCTTGTGTCCTAGCCAACAAATTTCCCAGATAAAATTGGTCATTCACTTCATGGCTATTTGTGGGATATTGCTGTGCAAAAATTGCAGGCTGAATTCACCTACAAATACACTGTCACTGCACTTTTGCAGTAAATCTTAAGTGCTTTGAGGCATTGACAACATAAGTCCTATATCAAAGCAAGGATGATTATAAAATATTTGCTGCCTTAACTTTTGCTCCTTCATTCGTTGCTTTCATAACACAAAAAAAGCTTTGAATAATAAGATAAATGAAGTTTCTGAAATGTACACTTATCTAGCAAGTTTTACAAAGAAACACAAATGGACAATTAAGCAAACAAACAAAAATTTCAAATGCATCTCAGTGTTAATGTTGAAAATTTTCAGTGTTGAAAATTTCCAAGTGACTCTTGTAGGGGTGGAACCACAAACAGCAGTTTTTAATATTACTGAATCAAACTCTATTCGGGCTAAAGAAAAGGTGTACAGTATATACGTTTCAAGGGAAAGGAAATATTTGATACGAAAGAGCAGGGATGTGGGATTAAATTTATTTGCTCCAGTGCAGGAGGTAGTATTAGCATAGGCTCTTATAGACCGAAAAGCCAAATTTTATGTTCCAATTTCTATAATAAGTTAATGGAGTTACTTTCATAATGCTAATGTTAAAGATCTCAAAGCACTTTGCAAGCTTTGTCAAGTCTCAAAGCATTTTGCAAGCTTTCTGTAAACAACAACAACAACAAGATTCCATTTATAAAGCGCCTTTCACGTCAGGAGGACGTCCCAAGGCTAAAGTGTAGTGACTGTATTTTGTAGGTGAATGTGGTCACCAATCCGTGCACAGCAATGTCCCACAGGCAGACAGGAAGTGAATGACTTCTTGTAAATTTGGGAGTTTGGTAGCCAAGATACCAGGAGAAACTCCCTCTTTTTGAATGGAGCCATGAGATTATTAACATCCATCTGAACAGCAGTAGGGACCTCAGTTTGACTTCTCATGTGAAGCACACCACCTCTGATAATGCAGTGTTCCCTCTGCTTAGGCTCAAAATCCTAACAAGGAGCTTGAACCAGTAACTTGACCCAGAGGTGAACGCTACCAACGTACAGAGAGATCTGGGTGTTCAAGTAAGCGATTCATTGACAGTGGCAGAGCAGGTAGATAAGGCAGTAAAAAGGGCATTTGGTGTACTGAGCTTTATTAGTAGGGGCATAGAGTATAAGAGCAGGGAGGTTATGGTTAATCTGTACAAAACACTGGTTAGGCCTCAGCTGGAGTACTGCGTCCAGTTCTGGGCACCTTACCTCAGGAAGGACATTAAGGCACTGGAAAGGGTGCAGAGGAGATTCACGAGAATGATACCAGGAATGGGGAACCTTAGCTATGAGGACAGGCTGGAGAAGTTAGGACTTTTCCCATTAGAGCAGAGAAGGTTACGCGGGGACCTGATAGAGGCCTTCAAGATCATGAAAGGCTGGATAAGGAAAAGCTGTTTCCGCTGGTAGGTGTGTCTGTGACCCGTGATCACAGTCTTAAGATATCTACCAAAAGAAGCAGAGGGGAGGTTAGAAGAAATTTTTTCACTCAGCGAGTTGTTCGAATTTGGAATGATCTGCCTGAAAGGGTAGTGAAGTCCGATTCGATAACAGCTTTTAAGAGAGAACTGGATAGGTATCTGGGGAAGACGGGTTTGCAGGGTTATAGGGAGAAAGCTGGTGATTGGGGTTAGTGAAAGTGACTTGCTCTGTCAAAGAGCCACACAGACTCGGTGGGCCGAATGGCCTCCTTCTGTGCCGTAACATTCTATGATAACTGAGCAGGAGTCAGACCTTATGGAAAGACCTCTGATAAGCGCTCCGGGGCACTACCCCGTGTGAAGGACGCTGTATGAATGCAAGTTGCTGATATCAGTAATTACTTTGGATCACTGCGTTCCAATTCAATTGCAGAAACAGCCGGGGCTTTTTTTTTTGAATAGTTCATTTGCAGACTTAAATTACAGTAATTTTGTTCTTTCTTTGGTTCAAAGCACTTCTTACGCGCAACTGCATTGAATCATTCTTGGTACTTTGTTTCTTCCACAATCCATTTGCTGCTTTCATCTTTTTGTTTATAGTGCACTGATTTCATTCCAGGAAAACTGCCTTCTCGTTGTCGGATCATCTCTGAAATAAAATCTGAACATCAAAAGCAGCCTTTTCTGAAAGGGATGAACACAGTAACAATTAGCTTTTATTAAAAAACTGGCACATTTCAGAACTTGTATATGCATAAAGGCATCTGAATCTTTTAATCATATGGTTGTCCAATTACCAAGGGGCTCATGGAAAGGGAAGTTAGTCCTTAATTATCATCTCATAGCAAGCTGGATTGCATGTTTCGATATATAAAAACGTGTTTTGGTTACATGTTCAAAAAGGGCAGACCAGAACACAGCAAGACTGAGCAGCAGCACGGCTGCCTTAAGCTGACATTAGCAATAATGGTGACCAAGTGATCTGAAGCATGAAAAGCAAGACAAGAGTGAGCAACAGCACAGAAGAAATGTTACAATATGTGCACAGTCAAAGAAAGTCACAAGGAAATCTATAAGAGGGTGAGAAATACAATCACTTTCTTACCCAAAGTGCTTTCCGTCATCCCCTCACTCCACCTCAGCTCCCCACCTTGGGTATCTATCCAACATTGTCAAGTGTTTTGTGATGTCCTCTCGACACGCTGTACAAGTGTAAATTGAGTTGCATCACCAAGGCAGCAAAGTTCGCTATGTACTTTGAATGGATTGCACTCTCTTATAAGGCTTAGGAAACCCAATGTAGTTGGGATACTGTTGGGAGTTTAACCAACTAAAACCACCTAACTTGTCATTGAAAGCAATGCCAGGTAAGCTTCCTGCTGTTTAGCCAGTTGGGATTACCCTATCCATTAGGGCTTTGGTTTACAGTGTTAACAGGAACTGAGTGGGAAGAAACTGGCTCAAGAACTGGACTTGTGAGACCACCACAGAGGATTGACTCAATTCTGACAATCCTTTGCCAAACACGTAATCTTGAAGGCAGCTCAGTACCACCGAGATCCTGCTCTAATTCCTTCCCCCAGGAGGATAGACTTTTTTTTATTTGGAGAATAATGTGAGGAAATAGAAAAATAGAAAAAAATCATCCCGGGATCCTACAAAATAAATTGTTTTACTAATTTTACTTTGAATAGACACGGGTATTAAAAATGTCATAAGCAAAATATTGCTTGATTGCTTGTATTTTCCTGCCATTTAGAACAAAATTGTAATGAAAAAGGTTCACTTGGCTGTAGCAATAGAATACAGTGACATCTAGTGGTGACAATTTACATTTGTTTTAGCTTACTTATTTTACACCAGGTCAGAATTATATAAAACGTAATAATCCTTGGTGGATGATCTGCAGAATATCAAGCATGCTCAAGGTGATAACAGTACTCGGGTCTAGAGGCAGACACGGTGGGACAAAATTGAGATATTCACGAAAGGATTTGTAAACAATAAATCCTGCAGTTGCCTGTGAACTCTACATCTGATGGGAACCCATTCCAACTTACTGTGGAAATCCTCAAGCGGGATTGCAGCCAAAGGCAGCTACTAGCATTGGGCAAGAGATTGAAATCTAAAAGTGGCATGTAAGTTCTATTGGGCGAGTCTGCCGTACTTTGTCTAACTGTAAGGGCTAGGAGCTTGGGAAAAGGTGACCATTCAGCCTACTGAAACTTTTCTCAACTGTGCTTTTCTCCATGTTCCTTAATATCCTTTTCTCCCAAATTCTTAATTTACCTACATTTAAAAGCATCATACAGAGCAACCCGCTCATCTGGATATATCTCAGATGGTGCATTATAATGACAGCCAAAAGAAATATCCGTTTTCCAGGTTGTTAATTTAGCACTGACATAATTTTGTTTGCAAATTGTCAGCAGCACTCCCTGCACATTCCAAGCACGAAGGGACCTCAGCAAAGAAGTGGCAACCTGACCATCAAGAAGAGCGCCATTTTTTTAAAGTGGGGAGCCAAGTAATCAGTGCTGTAGGCCAGGGGTGACATGCTTCTGATACAGCAAGGATCCACAGTAGGTTCACACTTTAAGCAATCCTGCATTCTAGAGGCTGCCTCATACGTTGTCATGGCTACTCTCACCACAAAGTATTGTTGTGCTTTTGACATCAATGTACCCTAATATTAGCCTACTTGTTCCTCCTCATTGCTGTGCACAATAATATCGTAAAAAAATGCATTGGAAAAACAGTGCCTAACATTGTGGGCCTTTGTCCTTCCTAGGCTCCACAAATGGTTTTTCCTCCGGCCCCCACACTGTCTCGTGCGGTGTCCCTCAGGCTCTGTCCTCGGTCCCCTCCTCTTCACCCTCTATATGCTCCCCCTGTGGTGACATCATCCGCAGACATGGGGTTAACTTCCACATGTATGCGGATGACACCCAACTCTACCTTTCCTCCTCTACTCTCAACTCCACGACCACCGATGTCCTGACAGCTGCCTGTCCGACATCGAGTCCTGGACGAGAGACAACTTTCTTCAGCTCAACGTGCATAAAACTGAGGCCCTCCTGATTGGTTCGCGTCAGCGTCTCCGCACCTCAGGCGCTGACACCATCAGCATCCAAGGCTGCACTCTCCACCTCTCAAAGCCATCAGGAACCTCGGGGTTCTGTTCGACCCTGAGCTGTCCTTTCTTCCTCATATCCGCACCACAACTGGCACCGCCTTCCATCACCTCCGGAACATCGCCAGACTACGGCACTACCTCACCCCTCACGCTGCTGAAACTCTGGTCCACACCTTTATCACCTCAAGGCTGGACTATGGGAACTCTCTCCTCGCCGGCCTTCCCGCCACCTCCCTCCACAAGCTGCAGGTCATTCAGAACTCTGCAGCTCGTGTACTGTCCCGCACCAGGCACCGCGACCACATCACTCCCACCCTCGCTCGCCTCCACTGGCTCCCCATCCCCCAGAGGATCGAATTCAAGATCCTCATCCTCACCTACAAGGCCATTCACGGCCTCGCTCCCTCCTACCTCTCCGACCTACTATCCCCCTACCTACCTGCCCGTACCCTCCGTTCCTCTGGCTCCGGTCTGCTCCACATCCCCCGCCCCAACCGCCCTACCATCGGTGGCCGGGCCTTCAGCCTCTCAGCCCCGAAGCTCTGGAACTCTATCCCCCAGTGCCTTCGCCGCCTCCTCCCTTTCCTCCTTCAAGGCCGGTCTCAAGACCTTTCTCTTTGACCGTGCCTTCAGCTCCCCTCTCGACTCTCTACCCCCTCCTCGCTCCCTCCCTTCCCTCCCCTCCCCCTGACCATTTCCCCCCTGCTCGGGTCCTGACCCAACTGTACAGCGCCTTGGGACGTCCTCCCGACGTGAAAGGCGCTCAATAAATGGAATCTTGTTGTTGTTGTTGTAGGCTCACCGTTGAAATAAATGCATCAACAATATAGGTTCCACCTGAATGAAACATGCATTCTTTTATCCACTTGTCAACAACCTGATCACAAGTCAACGCAATCATTGAAGACCTATACTAGTACTACATGCAGTTCTGAAAACCCAAAGTATCTCCCAAAACACAAATGATAAAGCGAATTATAATTACATACAACTCACATCTGGGTTTTATTATCCATAAAATATACAATAATTTCAGCAATGTATTTAAAGAATGCAGTAGGTAACCAAGCAGTCACAATTTCTATATACATGCTATAATCTTAACTCCTTCAAGAAAAAAGAGACGAAGCAGAGATACATTAAAACAGAATAAATTTTGTTCTGTTTCCACATGTTGTACATATTCAGAAATCAGCTCATATTTTACAGGATTCCAGTTATTAAAATATCATGGTTTGACAGAAGGATCCTCTGGACTTTTATCCAAAGCAGCGGAAAAGTCATGCCAACTAAAAAGGTGGCCCGACTGCGTAAAATTCATAATATTTGAAATCCAATAAACCAAAGAAAACCCTGCTGAATCAAATACATTACTTCTTCAAGAACATAGTGATTTAAACATCAAAATGAATCCAATCCAGTCATTAATTGTGCGATACAGGCCTCCTTTTTGGGATGAGAAACACTAAATAGAACATCTCAAACAATATTTAGACAAAACTAATTTGTTCCAAGTATAGCATTTTTTTTTAATCCATCCATGTGAACAACTGATGCGTAAACATTGCTGAATCAGGGCTTTCTATGTAAATTTACATAGAACATTGAATTCATGGTCAGGTTCAACTGCAAACAGATTGAAAACACTGCCTGGTTCAGCTGTAATATACCCAGCACGATCACTTGAAAGTGTTCTTCCTCAACCACTGAAGAATCAAACGACCAGACTGCATTAGCTTTATTGTGTCATAAGTGGCTTATTCAAAGAAACTGCTAGACATGGAACAACGCAGTGATACAACTTCATAGGTCTTTCTCCCTGAATGTATAGTTGTAAGGATAAAACAGTGAAGGCACTGAAGAAATCAGAAACAAAAAGTACATTGGGTTTTACAAATGTGGCTTTAAATAGTGTAAAATATTTTATTACCTAAAAGGTGAACGTCAATTAAAACCCAAATTCACTACACTGCAAAGTCCAGGCAATCTTCCTATTCAAGACTCCTATATCCTGTGTTAACGCTGGCCTCCAGAACTACAAACCTGTATTGTAAAATATCAATCATATCATAAAACACACAGGTAAAAGTAAGGTTTGAAAAACTGCAGATAGAATGGGAATTCCTCCACAATACGATTTATTGTACATTTTAATTATCCATCACTTTGACTGTACCATTTTCATTGATCTTAGGTTAAACTAGAAAAGTAGGAAAAGGGCATTCACATTGGCTCAAACATAGGCTCAAATTTCTTTCCCTCACCATTCCACTTGAGACATTTAGAACCAATTAGACAGAGAGATCAACAAATGTACATTAAAATATCTCTGAAGAATTTCACTTTAATACTGTTAAATCAACGTTTTTAAAGTTGCACAGCTTGAGAGATCTTTTATTCCAGCTCTCTAAATTATTTCACTTTGTACATAAGATTTTTTTAAAAAACCAGTTTGGTCCCTTTGGCAAATAAGTGTGCACGTGAGTGACATTATATCCCAATTGTGTTATATCACTTTCCCCATTAAATTCATTAATTCCCCTTTCTATTTAGGAATATTTGGTTGCCTGTCTCCATTTATTTTAAGGACTGCTATTCCACCCAGCATCGTAGTCTTCAGATTCAACACTCAACAGTGTGCACTGTTGAAAGGAATCCTGGCACAGAAAATAAAAGAGCATTAAAGTAACATTACATTGGCATCCATTGACTTTGCAGTAGTTTCCTACATTGTTTATAAACTTTTGAGCTTCCTGCTTTCTTATTCAGCGCCTTGGGATGTCCTCCCGATGTGAAAGGCGATATACAAATGTAATTTTTGTATTGGATTCCTTATGCCTGCATTTTCTGTATCTTCTATTTTTGATAATTTGATCAACTTTAAATCTACAATGCAACTGCTCCAAGTGGCCCAGAGAATTTAAAAGGCGCTCATTTTCAAAACAACCCATCCACCATGGGCTTGCAGCAAGGGCTCTCAGCACAAACGTTCAAGTCGGTGTATTCAATAGGTCTCTGAATCAGAGTCATTTAGATCATCGTCTTCAGCATAAGGGTAACCATCTTCCCTGCCTATATTGTTCAAACTGCAGAAAGAACTGTGATCACTTCTCATAATTGGTAGAGACTCAAAGCAAACAGTCTTCGAAGGATTGCTGTAATGATTAATGGCGTTAAAACTGAGAGTAGGTAAAGTGCCGCTGGATGAAACAGGCATCATAGTGGCCAGAATGAGGGCTAGGCAGTCCGCCACATCTTTATTCGGAGCACAGGCCAAAGCAGGCGTGTAACCTGAAACAGTTAAAAGTTTTTAAAGAAAATATTACAAAACGTTCCTTCCTCTGAAAAGAAATTCAATAACAATAGCCGAGTTAAGAGTAATCTCCATTTAATTAAAAAGTAAACTACACACTAGGCTTTTTGATACATTCCATGGCTTAAATGTAAATATGTGAAAATGCAGTAAAACCATGAACAATTATGATGAAAATATTAAAATAAGATTCCAAGATCGGGAGAACTTCCTAACAAATTATGTAGTTGATGGGAATTAGAAAAGGGATTGGTGGATAAACGGAAGCATTACAGCCTCCAATCAATGCTTCCAATAGCTAAGTGGCTGAATCAAGGAACTCAGTAACCTCCTGACTTGTCCAATCCTCTTGGCTATAATAATAATCCTTGCATTTGATACAGCGCTTGATCAGGTCTTCGGGACGTCTCAGTGTACTTCGCAGAATACATTGTAAAGTGAGTTGACAATTTTGTGAGAAATGCAGCAGCCAATTGCGCACAGCAGTATCCCACAAACAGTCATGGATTGAGTGACCAAATTATTTTTTATTATTATAAGGCATTATTATCCCTGGAAAAGCGATCCACCAATCGACTAACAACCAGGTTCCTACTTACTGCTTGGTAAACAGAGGCGTGTAGAGTAAGGAAACGTACCCAACGTTTCGCCCTGCCGGGAATCAAACCCAGGTCCTCTTGTGAAATGAGTGCTCTAACCACTGAGTTACAGCACTCTATGAGTGCTTATGGCACAACAAATGTAATAGGGACAATTCTATGTCCTACAAATGATAGAAATACTTTTATCTAAATATAAAATAGTAAATGTCACCATTAGTGCAACAGTTGGGATGTGGAGCTCTGATTTCAGACTCCCTGAGATGAGATATAATCACAATAGAATGACAAACTTTCTTTAAATCAAGAGGTAAAGTTATTTAAGAAAGAAGTTGTGTAAACATAAGGAGTTTTATACTAGATAGGACTGAGAAAATCATTCAGGATTAGAAAAATATTGTATATTGCAAATATTATCTTTTTGGTTCCAATTGAGCAAAATAGATCTAAACTGCATTATGTTGATGAAAAGGCTGGCATGAATTTGGAAGCAGACTATTAAAGAAAAGAAAATGGAGTACATCACATACAACCACAGTGAATACCCAAGCATTGTTTAATTTGAGAGATTGGCAACAAGTTTAAATAGTTTTGATGTTCAAGCATAGATGCAGTTGTTTGACATTATTTTAAAGTGGTTTTCTTGTAGGGCCATCTTGTGGAAATGTTTGCAGTCTTTTATTATTAGATGGCGTAACAAATGGAACATTCAGACACAACTACCAGGACAGAACAGTGTCCTGTTTTGCTGGGAGCACTGAAGATTTGGAGAAACAGTGCTGATGTATTAATGGATACATCAATGATTCCAAGCAACCCACGTTTATTACTGTTTTTTAAGTGTCTTGGGATATGGACAACACTGAATCAGAAGACATCTTTACCATTTTCCCTTTTTAATAGTTTTGACTTTTTCCCCTTTCTCATCTACTGTGGTACTGAAAATTTCCCAGTGACCTTTACCATTGAATTTTGGCAAGCTATTCAACAGCAAAGACAATAAGATTTATAAAAGCAATGCAGGGTCAACAAGATAAAAATAAACAAAATTCCTTCAATAGTGGTTACTAGTTTAAAATCAATACAATCTACTTTACATCTCATCTAAAACAATCAATCAAATGTCCATGTATGCAGATTGAATGCTGCCTTTAAAATATTTTATAAAGAAAATAAACCCATTAGCACTTGGGACAATCCAGAAATTTCGGCTGCAACCATTATTCATCCCTCACTCAAATATTATGCTCACCGTTAAAGGTTGATTAGACAGAGTAAACTGCCACAATTTTGCATACTATACATAAACTTAAAAAAAAACAAGCTTACCATTTTCATCTACAGCAAGTACGCTGGCTCCTTTGCTCAACAGCTCTTGCACAACCACAGTCAGTCCATTGCGTGCAGCAACATGCAACGGTCTATATAGGAATAGATGAAAATGCAGAAGTTACAATTTTCATAAGGTATAACTTAGCAATGAAACAGTTTGGAGTGTCTGATAAACACCGAACAATATTTCAAAAAGATTGGAGGGTGACCTGCACTCCTTACTGGAGTGCACTGAAATACTATATAAATATTTGTAGATTTCAACACTTAGAAATGAAAATAAGAAAGTTTTAAAATACATTTTCAGGGGATTGTCTACATCAAGAAAGTATAAACGAAAATGAGAAAGTTACATTTTCAACAACAAAAGTGCTTTCAGTAATGTTCTCAGGAGGGCTGTGTGGAGGAAATTGTAGAACACAATATCACTGCACCTATATTATTGTAGAGGAAAGTGTGGATGGGAAGAGAATTATAAAATAGCACTCCAATGCAGAAGCTGATTATCCATCCATCTTACTTAACTATTTTATAGTTTACATTGATTATTTCTAATTAAAGGAATTCCGTACTGCCATTCATAGTTAATGTGCACGATGAGAAAGCTGTATACTTATTTTTCAGCATGTCCTGAAATACACATAATGGTGCATTTCAATTTCCCACATACAAATCTTGGCTTTGACAAAATTTGGATTGTATAAGTTAGGATAAAGTGACAAATTAAGTGTCTAATTTTACACTTTAAAGTTGAAATTATGTTTAAAATATTACTTATCAATACTATGAAATAAAAACAGGAATCCTTACGTTTGCAAAGAAGTATTTGTTGCATTAATGAGGTTCCGGTCAGCAATCTTCTCCAGTATTAACAAGGCACTAGTTTCATGGCCCTAAAAACAGAGAGAATAAAATGAGTAAAGGCTTACTGCTTTTTTTATTGAAACTCTGAATGCAAACCTTCCCCCCAAAAGTACTGCCATTTATAATTAATGTGAATGATGTATATTTTAACCATGTGTGATTTTCAAGCTAATTTCATTGTGCAGGCACCTCTTCGTCTGAAAAAAGTGTCCCAGGTGTCAGCAAACTCTTCCACAACTAGTATTGCTGTGGAGTTGGCTGTTAAATGCTATGATCCAGCTGTGTTATCTGGACAATGTCACCGATTTTCAGTCTGGATAAAATATATTTCATATTCATCTAATTTGGCAAAGTGACTCACCTTTTTGCTTTATTCAGCTTAGTGAAGGTCACTAATTTTATTGATCGCACCAAGCTATCATTCTTTGGTTACAAATAGGAGACTTAATTGAGGACTCATTGACTTACAGACCCATTGCACCTCTTGACATTTAGCTAACAGATATGCAGTCATTATCTAAAATTAGATCAATGTAACCATCAGTACCCCTATCCCTCTGAGGGCTTAATATGACTCTGGTATTTACTACCCACCAGAAACCCATTACCACTACCAGTTGCCCAAATTATCTGCACTGCACTTCTATCAGTTAGGTTGTACCAAATTATTCATTCTAAGCATTGAGTACATTTACTTCAATCTCCACATATAAGAATATATTGCTGCTTTTCCTTAAAAAAAGGAGCACATTGTCTACGGACCAAGGAACAGGAGTCAACCATATCCTTTATGATAAAGCCCAGCATTATTCTATTAACCATGTTTTAATGTTTGCTGTACCTACAAACTAGTGTGCAATGACTTACAGTGAAGACCTGCTTTAATGTAATCCATAGAATCCCAACCAGATCTATAATGGGGTCCATCAGTGCGTCTGCATTTACTGAGCATCCCATAGAAAGACAAAATGCTGGCTGGTGCAGGGGAAGCCAAAATGGCCAACTCCTGCAGCATTGGGCTGATGCTAACGTCACTTCCTACGTGCTACATGTGTGCAGAAAGTCGCCAGCCTCGCAATACACAAACAAGTAGGTTAGATGGTAATTGTTGCAAATGCCTAGCTTGACCTAGCATGAGTAGATTAAGTTGTTCATTGTCACTTCCTGCGCTTATGCATGCAAGCTAGCTACCGATACACATGAAAACCTTGTTATAATGACACACATAACAGGATTCCATTGTACACACTTACATAGAATTACATAAATGACAAGCCATTCAGCCCAATTTGTCCATTCCAGCATTTATACTCAAGTGCCCCCTACCCCTCCTGTACTCCTCGTTTATGTATGTATCAAGTTTCCTCTGAAATATGTTGATGCTTCTTGCTTCAACCATAGCTTCTGGCTTTGTGTTCCACTTTCTCACCACCCTCTGTGGAAAGACATTCCTCCTACTTGGATATATAAATCAGTTTATCTGCCTCCCTTCTCCTCACCCTCGCTTTAACATTCAAATATATTCTTGGCCACCAATCTCACACCCAAAGTGTTCTCTCTCACACTTTGTTACATTAAAAATCCTAGAATTTAATGTAGCAACATCAATATACATTTGATGTCATTGAAATATCTCAAAGCAATACACAGGGTTTTACTGTGAAGTGTAGTGACCGTGTATTTGTAGCTTCTATCTGCCATTGTTCTCTCCAACCCCACTCTTTGTCCTTTGCAATTTTTTTTGCAAATCATTCTGCTGTTCACAATTTACATCTCCTACCTTAGCATCATCAGCTAACCTGGATATACAATATTCTATATCTAAATTTGTATATAGTGGCGAAACCTAGTACCAAGCGTCAATCCCTGTGACACACCACTTGCCACTGTCTACCAATCAGATAATGTCCCCTTTATTTCACCTGTCTGCCTACCTCCCAACCAATTTCCCATCATGTCATGAGATAATCTCTAATTCCATGCATCTAAATTTTATTTAGAAATCTGTTATACAGCACCTTATCAAATGCCTTCTGAAAATCCAAGTACATTAGCATCTATCAATCCTACTTTTTATCTATCACCTCAGCGTTTCATTTAAAAACTTATTTTTAGAAGAAAACCATTCTGACTCTTCCTGATCAAGGTCCCTTTACAAATTCTGCACCATTGTCATGAAATCAGGAGTGGCATTGACAGAGTCACTCGAGAGGGCATGTGTCTCATTCTTTAGCTTACCCTGCCTGGATCTTTTAAATCTTGGGCTGAAATCTCCCTTTTTTGTGCCTGCCACACTGGCTTCTTAAGAGCCCTGTTTAGGACAATTCTCAAGCTCTGTCAAAATAAAGACATTTACAGGGCTGTTACTAAAACTGCTTACTACAAAATGCAATAAATTGAACTTTCTAATATGGCTAGACAACAGTCAAGACAAGTATCAACAGGACAAATGTGATTTAAAATTAGGCTTATATGTAATAGTGGAAAATGACCTGACCAAATTGGAGGTCCAATAGCACAATTGCTTCAATTGTCTCTAGGGATTTAACTCCTTTCCCCTCCAGGAACTATTTACATGTGGAGGTTGAATAAATGAGGTAAAATTATCTTTTTGTTTCAGAAAAACATACGTGGAAAAGGACAACGCCAATGTCTTGACTGCAGTAGATCTATATCTTATGATGTTGATTTGCTCAATTTTACTGGAAAGTGAAGCAACACTTCTAAGTAAATAAAAAGTTGAATTATTTTAAATAAATTAAAAGCACAAGCCCAAGTACTCAGTATATTGGAGAAGGCCTTTTAGTCGTCAGACCTGCTCTAGCATTTTATTAGGTCATGGCAGCAAATTACACCATATCTTTCAAGTATCTAACAAAACAAAATAAATTCTATATTTCTTAAGGCTGGAGTGATGCTCACCTTGCTACAACCCAAATGGAGGGCTGTGTTTTTGTTCACATCCTGTAGGGTCAGGTCTGCTTTTGCACTGCTGACTAACACCTCTGAAAGACATAACAAAAATAGGCATTTGAAAAACTTAATCACAAAACTCCACCAAACTGATGAGAGCTCCACTTATTGGAACTGTATTTTGCCTTCTACTACAGATATACAAAAGTACTGCTGTTTAAATACTGTGAGGTTCTAGCAGCCGGTTAAAGTTAAGCTAAGCCAGTTATGAATCGTGAGTCAATATCTGCTGTACATTCCAATCCAAATGATATCACATACAAATCTATTACAGAGAGTATCAAATTTGCTCAGTTAATAATTGAGTAGGTATGAAGCACAGTAAAATGAAATCTATAGTGGTACACAAGGTTTATTTAAAAAATAACAGATCCATAAAATATGGATTTTAAATTTGTGGCACACCACAATCTAAGCAAACCCCATAGTGCATTATCTATTAGCTTTGCCAGGCTTCAAATCCCCAGAATGAATCAAAGCAAAATTTTTGAAGCATCTTCCTTTTTGTTAAAAGTGCTGATTTATGAAGAAAATTTGTTTAACTTAAGGTCACAGAGCCTCTGAAATGATTACATTGCCTACAATCTGCCAGCACTTGAGCAAGCACTGTTTTCTAGAAATGCTGACAACGTTCTTTAAAGCATGTTGTTTCCCAGGTTATAGAATGATGAAAGAGAGATGGATAACGTCCTTACCAACAGCATTAGTCTGCCCATTCTCTGCCGCCATCATTAAGGGCGTTTTCCCAGCAGAATCTACAGCATTCACTTGAGCATTGTGGCTGAGTAGAAGCTGTAAACATTCAACATGATCTGTGAAAGCTGCTGCATGAAGAGGAGCTCTATAGTAAATGAAAAAATAGTTAATCACAGAATTTTAATTCGTCTTCTTTTCTTCAATTTAAATTACAACTACTTTGAAAAGGAAACTTGTTCATTTATTCACATTTCAAATAATTTTATTCCACACGTAATAAATCTGTACAAAAACATCTTTCATAACACCTCATTGTTGGCATTACATTAGTGGAAAATCAAATAGAATTATAAATGGACATTTAAAAGGTCATTAGAACCCACGTACAATTTTATAGTGATCTGAAATGATGCAACATCTAGTTCCTTACAGAAAACATTCAGCATTGACTGATAAAACACAGACATAATAATAATCATCCCTACATATCTTATAGTGCCTTTCACTTTAGGATGTCCCAAGATGCTTCACAGTATATACTGTAAAGTGCAGTGATTGTACATGTTTTGTGGGCAAACATGGCAGCCAATTTGCACATTGTAATGACCCACAAACAGTCATAGAATAAGCGACCAATTTTATTTGGGAGATTGTTGGCCAGGACATAGGGAGAAACTACCTTCTCTTTTTGAATAGTGCCATGGAATCTTTAATATCCACCTGAACAGGCAGAAGGGGCCTCAGTTTAATGTTTCATTCGAAAGACAGTACCTCCAACAATGCAGCACACTCTCAGGAGTGGATTGCCAGCTTAACTATGAGTTACAAATCCCGATGTAGAGCTTGAACCCACAATCTTCTGACTCAGAGGTGAGAGCTATCAACTGAGCCAAGCTGATACATCTGAATTGTCCAGTTATCCAAATTCTGTTTGAACACAGGGATGTTCCCTCAGGGATATTTTTAAGGGTCTCACCTAATTACCTAATTCTGGAGAGTGTTAGATGCAGATTGGCAAGAGCCAAGGCGAGAGGATCCCATAGTGTGTATTGAGTACTGCTGGGGTTTAACCAGCTACAACCATATAGAATGTCATTCAAGTAACTGTCTAGCAAGATTCCTACTGCTTGTCCAGCTAGGACCACCCTGTCTGCTAGCGATTTGGCTTGGAGGGTTAACAGGAGATGAGTGGGAAGAATCCCTGTTCCTAGTGACTAGTCTGTCCAAACGTGTTCTTCCATTGAGCCAGGCTGGCTGATCTGTCATCAACAATACCCTGGAGTATTGCAGACCCGCCTGGCTCAGAAACAAGACTACAGAAACGGTCACAGAAGGTTGACTCAATTCCCACATTTTGTTACCAGCTCAGCTCCAAGGAAATTCCATTTGCATCTCCCCAAGGATGTTGGAACACTCCACAATGCCATAACCCAGCATGTTGGCACATTACATCACACCAGGTGATTTCTGTTCCATCATGACATACTCTACCATTAAATAAATTCACTATATCCTATACTTTTAATGCCATAGTGGAAGAAAAAATAATTTCATTACCTTCCCTTTCCATCTGTAGAGTTTACAATGTTAGCACCTAGAACATCTATTAACATTTCTGCAGACCCTTCATTGTCATTTATTCTGAAAGGGGGAAACAAAAAAAGTCATTTGACAGAACATTTTTAGTTGCATAAAGATTTAGATGATAAAAGAGAAATAACTTACACAGCACAGTGTAAAGGACTAAATGCATTGCCTTCCAGTTTCTGAAAAATCTCCTGTTCCAGCAGAAGTTCTACACAAGTATCATGACCTGAAAAAGACGAGAGTTGAATCACTTAAGTTTCTTGTTACTACAATATTACTGTATACTGTAACTGCTCTCGTACTGTACAGAACAGTTCACACTTATATAGCGTCCTTCATATGGATAGCTTCTCTTAACTGTGTGGTTTAATGCTGCGTTGGAAAGAGAGGGGAGCTGACTGCAGGCATTATCAAAGAGGAAGGTCTTCAGGTGCAATTTGAAGAAGTGCAAAGCGGAGACAAAATGGAGGGATTGAGACAGGGAGTTTCAGAGATTCGGAACATAGTGGATGAAAGCGGGAATATGCAGAAGAACTGAGTCAAGTAGTAGAGTGGGGTGTGAGCAGAAACAATGTTTGCAGAATATTTGCTCAAAACAAGGACACATCACAAATGGAACAGAAACATACTATTGTATTTATAAACAAATAGTGAGCATCAGTTTGGCTCATTTCTACTTACAATGAGCAAAAAACATCAGGTGCAAGACATGCTGTTTGGTCAGATATATGAACCAGAAAACTGCAGTACTGTAAGCTATTTGCAATCGAATTACTGATAAACTGGGATAATGACAATTTCTCAGGCCTTATGATAAGTTTGGTCATCTTAAATGAGATGAAAACATTGGAAACCTGAAATCCAAACCAAAACAGGAAGATCAGCATCTAAAGAGAAATGTATCAATGTTTAATTTGAGACTTCAGCAGATCTGAATAAAAGGTCACACCCAAAATGCTAACCTCGTTGATTTCTAAGATTTTTGGTTGCTTTTATTTCATTTTATTGAAACATGAATTCCTTGATTGACAATAATGTAGTTTCTATTGGGATAAAAGAAAAGGTTTGCTACGGAAATAAGTTTCACAATCCGGTTCCAGGTTATTTGTTTAAAGTAACTACAAACAGCACTCTGATACACTTAAACAGTGTGCTGTATAGTCACAGAAATGTCAGATTTTTTTAACAAAATATTCGACCACCACAGATGTTTACTAATCAAATGTATCCAGGGTTCAAAGCTCATATATATTTTAAGGGATCCAGCATATGAAAATATTCTGGCTTGGTGGAAAAGCCAGCCCTCGAGAGAGAGTTACAGCCAAACACAGAGAAGAAGCCAGATGGACCCAGAGAGAACCAAGCGAGAAATAGATAGATGTAGAGGCAATCAGAGGGACAGCAAGTGAGATGCAGACAAAGAAAAACAGGGGAAGTTAAGAGAGAGAGAGAAATGAGAAAGAGATCCAAAGAAAAATATAGATTGAAATCAGAGAAGAAGAGTGTTAGACAGAGATACAGGATCTTATCATTTCAGATCGTGATCTTCCATTTTGGCTGGAGTAACAACAACAAATTACATTTTAAAAGCACCTTTCAGTCAGTGAATCGCACCTGAGCTGGTGATTAAGATCTGGAGGGATGGAGGTTGGGAGGGGAGGAATAGGAAGGCACGGTCGAAGAGGAGGTTTTTGAGATGGGTCATGAAGGAGGCAAAGGAGGGGGAGAGACAACAACAACAAGATTCCATTTATTGAGCGCCTTTCACGTCGGGAGGACGTCCCAAGGCGCTGTACAGTTGGGTCAGGACCCGAGCAAGGGGGAAATGGTCAGGGTGAGGGAGACGGACTGTGGGATGGAGTTCCAGAGGGTGGGAGCAGAGAGGCTGAAGACTTGCCTGCCAATGTGGCGGGGGGGGTAGGCGGGGGGGCGTGAAGCAGGCCAGAGCCCGCTGAGCGCAGGGAGCAGACAGGTTTGTAGGGGATTAGGAGGTCACAGAGGTAGGGAGGAGCAAGACTGTGAAGGGCTTTGAAGGTATGAGCTTGAGCTATATCTTCTGAGGGGAGTTGGACGAGGATAGGGGTGATAGTGTAGCAGAGCCTGGTGCAGGAGAGGACACGGGCTGCAGAGTTCTGGATGATCTGTAGCCTGTGGGGGGGGGGGGGGGGTGAGAGGAGTTGGGGAGGCCGACAAGCAGGGAGTTTGTGTAGTCGAGCCTGGATGTGATGAATGCGTGGTTGAGGGTCTCAGCGGCCTGGGGTGAGAGACAGTGGCAGAGCCGGGCGATGTTGTGGAGGTAAAGAAAGGCAGAGCGCGTCATGGCACAAATGTGGGGGATGAAGGACACTTAAGGGTCAAACAGGAACGTTGAGGTACACATTTCAGGTTTTAAGTTATTCTTTCATTATATGCCTCAAAAGTCTCAGGAAAAAATATCGTAGATTCCATCAACTAAGTAGACATTTCTAAAAACACAATTTTAAGGAGGTCCTTTTAGTCCGTGGTGGAAATTCTACGGGGGGAAGGCAAGACTGAAAGTGTACACTGGAGATTAATAAAATGAAATAAATAAAAAATAAAAAATAGTAGTACATTGCAACAGATTGGTTGTCTGCATGTTGAATCCCAATAAATGATTTAAGCATTCAAAACACCAATAGCTTACAATGAATGCACCATAGAGGTGTACAGTAAGGGCTTTTGTTACATTTAAAATTGAACAGAAACCACACAGAACTTTCAGGAAAAAGCTGTGATAAGTCATATATCATTACCACCGGGCCTAGAGTTTTGAATATTGCCTGATTAAACAGTGAGTCATTGAATTTTTCAGCAAAGTGACTCAGTCCAATTCTTTGTAAGTGGCAAAAATCTGGAAGGCTGGAAGAATTTTTTAATGACTCGTGGACCATCCGTCTGACTATCAACAGACTCTCATTGGACCTAAGATGGAATAGCAATTGAATTTGTTTCAGGTCACATGTGCAATGTGGCTCATATTTACCATTATAACAAGCCCAGTGTAGCGGTGTGTAGCCATGATTGTCTGCAGTTGTAGGAGTGATATCCATTGAGGATGCTGCTTGAAGTAATGCTCCAAGTACTCCTACATGTCCACAAGATGCTGCCAAATGAAGAGATGTGCGTCCCTTGCAGTCCTGAATTAAGACGTTAGCGTTGTGTTGAAGTAAAGCTTCCACACATTCTTCATGACCAGTTACTGCCTATAAAACCAAACATTAAATTAAGGCAACCTAGGGATCTGTAAACATTTTACTCCCACAAGTTGCAACAGAGGACACAATGTAAATTCTTTGTATCCAGATGTTATATTTGTAATGAAATCCTAGTAACACAAATAAACTGTAGTGCCTGTACTGCTAACCAAGCTAAGGTTAGCTAACTCAATAAAAATAAATAAACCCGAGATTTAGCAATCTATATAGTTTAATTTGAAACCAGTTTATCAATTGAACAATCAGGGAAGTTCCATGAATATTTTTAATCACAAAAAAGCTTCAACAATCTCCATCAAGTTACAATAATTCAAAAGGACAGCAAATGGAAATGTGTACAATGATTTGGCTTGATTCTGGGTCTCTAAACATCTTAAAACGGTCTTGGTACATCCTCAAAATAAATGTACAACAATAACTTGCATTTATATAGCGTCTTTCATGCTAGAAGGCATCTCGGAGCAATTCATGTACTGAAATACTGATGCACAGTACAGTTGAACTGGAACAACTTACAATATTCTGTTTATTATTCGGCTCAGCTGATAGTACTCTTACCTCTGCATCAGAAGGTTGTGAGTTCAAGTCCCCTTTTGGGGACTTTGATCTCATGGTCTATGCACAAATTGACTGCCACATTCACATCTAAAATAGTCATTGCACTTCACAGTAATTACTGTAATTCAGTAATTACTGAAGCGCTTTGAGATGTCATGGGTTACTATATCAAATGGTAGGATCATTATGATTTATCTATGAGGTTGCATTCCACTAAAAAACAAACATAGTGCATTTAAAGATTTGATTCCCCCAAGCATAAGAGAATGAATCAGTTAACAAGTGTATACATATTTGTGCAGGCAGCAATATAAGTTCTCAAGATCAGGAATTCAAACCAGATTCTGCATGTACAATAAACAGAGATTTCCAAACAGTACTTACCCCTCGGTGTAATGCAGTTCTCCCCCATTTGTCTTTGGCATCTGCGTTTGATCCTTTATTCAGAAGTGAATACACACAGTCTGTATGTCCATTCAAAACGGATAGCATCAGTGGAGTTCTGCAACAAACAATGAAACAAATTTCCAATCACACCACCAATAACAACTTGCATTTAATAGCATCCCAGAGCACTTGTCACCAGGTAGTATTTGAACTGCACAGAAGAGAATTATAGGTATTTAACTTTTTTACCCCCCTAAAAGTTCCATTTTATTCATATGAAAATTAACTCAACATCAACCAGGTATTCTAAGTGCACAATTTGGACACCAATAGGAATTAGGTTTAAATAAACTCCAGAGCAAGAAATAGACATTTAAAAAATGCACATCATGGACAAGATTTATGGCAACCGTTTCCTGAATTATTTCTATTGGTGTGTAACTGCAACAGCATAAAAATATATTTTTCTGTTTCATTATGTATATAGACCTCAAAGCCAAGATACTTAAGATCAAGTGACATAACCCTGGGGCAAGAATTCTGTTAGAGTATTTCTCTACCATTTTAGTTACACACTCTAAACATGAAGCATGTTTTAAGGCTTTAAAATGTTGAGAAGTCAGGGAAATGAGAGGTAGTGTTGCAGTGTTTTTCTCTCTTTTTTCCCCCCTAAAAGTTCCATTTTATTCATATGAAAATTAACCCAACATCAGCCAGGTATTCTAAGTGCACAATTTTTTCTCCTCTAAAAGTTCCATTTTATTCACTGAGATTGTGTTTCAGGCTGTTCTAATAGGAGGGATAATATGGGGAGAACAACAAAATCTGTAATGGTAATGCCACGTTATGCTATTTCTAGCCCAACTGTACTGATGGGTTCTTGACAGGAACTACCTCAGATCTCCTTGCACACAGTTAAGAAATTGCTTCTGAAGTTGTACATATGGACCATAGAGACAATGATCTAATTCTACTTTTCGGCTTGCCCATCTATCTAATTCTCTTTTAAAAGAAAGACCACATTATATTTGAATGCAATAATAAAAATGTTGCTCACTGTCCATTTCCATCTTGAATGTCTACAGCTGTGTAGAGATCAGTGTTACCTATGAGGAGCCGTAGGCACTCGGAGTGCCCATTTGTTGCTGAGAAAGTAAATAAAAAGATGTCAAACGGAAAGATTCACACAACGTTTGATACAATTTTCAATAAAACACAAGTATGATAAACAATGTTCCTAATTGTCAATAGAACTGCCAACATTAAAAGTATATCTCCAATGTGCTCATTTCAGAACTTCTGCATGCTGTTGAACACGCAGGAATTGCTGAGAAGACAGTTGTATATTCCTACCAAGATCCAGCTAACCTGCCCAACAGTGATTCTGGATAGGGATTTGATCCTTTCCTTCCTAATTCTGGGGAGCTGAGGCTAATTGTAGTCCCAACTACAACAGCATTACATTTGTAAAGTGCTGTTCCGTTCGAGAGGAGTCCCAGGACACTGGACAGTCAGGCATTTAGACCTGAGCGGGGAAGTTGGGATCAGGGAGGGTAGGGAGGGTGGCTGAAGGCGCAGTCGAAGAGGCAGGTCTTGAGAAGTGCCTTGAAGGAGGCAAGGGAGGGAACGAAGAAAAATGAATCTGGAATGGAGTTCTAAACTTCTGCCCAATGTGAGATAACCTAACTCAGTACAGACCAGGTTTCAAATCTGCTGCCCTCCCTCTACATAATATGGTGCTGCACCTGTCCCAATTGCTGTTAAACTGGAGTGTATTGTCACCAAAAATCAAACCACTAACAGCAACAAGAGTTATATAATTTACCAGTACATATTCAAACTTATAGAAGTACGTAAGCATTTAAAGTTTTTAAAATTCCTACACTATCAATTTCTTTTATACATAAAAAATAACTGATATAAAAATGTATAAAAAAATAAATGTTATATGTAAAAAAATACATTTTAAATAAAATAAATATCAAAGTGCATAAGCATTTAAAATTCCTCCTCCATCAATTTGTGCTGTTCAAACATTTAAATGTTGGAACAGCAGAAATTGTTGGAGGAGTTTTGTGTAAAAAATAAATTCTATGGTGTACTAAATTAAATGCTGAGGGTGTGTTAATTTTTACTGTTAGCATTTTATATTTTCAAAACAAAAATAAATCTGCAACATTCCCAGTTGGATTTTTAATGTTCACTTTCCAAGTATCTGCAGTACCAGTACTACTGAGACACAGCTGGTGGCAGTCTTGAGCTGTTAAATCTCAAACAATATTACCAGTCATATTATGGCATTATGGTGATAAAGCAGTTCTGATCTTTATTTAAAATGGCTATATACTTGATCCCATTAATTTTGCTGGTTCATAATTTTTNAGTTGCACAAACCAGAAAGCTTAAGAAGTGAATTGGTTGGATTTCGAGCACACAAATATGAGCATTCCAGTTAAATCTATATTATAATTTTCATGCAGTTGTTATTTTAAGGAGTTTTGCTTGCACACAATTTGATCTTAAAAGGAACAGGTATGTTCGGAATGTCCCTTCTCACAAAAGAAGTGAAGCTGGTAGGGAAAAGACAACATTTCTGGAACAACAGTCTTGTAAACCTGTCAATTGTGAACACAGATTTCTGAGATCATGCTTTCATTACATGTGTAACAAACATGTTATTTAGAAATCTCACCACTTAATTGATCAAACATCACGAGTGAAGCCGTTGCATTTGTTTAAATTACACTAAAACACTATAATTTCCATTCAACTTTTTCCCCCTTTTTTGTATCATTATAACTAGTTACCTTGGTCACTGTGTGAATAAGTTCACCACAGCTTCAATTCTAATATCAACTATTGCTCTGCTAGTGTTCAAATCTGTCTAAATGCTAACACCGAAATTACACAGTGAACGAGGAAGATACTTTTTCCACTTTACTGGCAATTGACATCAGTCAAACTTAAGTTTCATTTATGCTGCTTTAAGTGAAAGCAGTTCTGCGGCATTCAGATCTCCCAACTCTGGAATTCCGTTTTACATTGCAGGGCACATTTCACAAGGCACATTTGTGAATTATTTCATCTCTGGAACTGCTTCCAACGTTTGTCAAAGGGACGGTAGGTATCATGTAATGGGGGGGAGAGTAATACTCAATTTTAGGGCTGATTCTCCTTTAAGACAGTTGGCTTGACTTATAGGACCATCAGCCAATCAGAGGTAAGGACGCATCGAGAAGCAGCTGACCGGACCGGAAGTGGTCGGACACCACCGATGAGTTGTGATAGGAGGGTCAACAGGGGGTTCGTGGGTGCCACGGATTGGAGGACTGACTGTGATCATCCTCAGGGCTTTCCCTCCCAGCTCCCTATAAAGAGGCGAGCTGTAAATAGACATGTGGGGTGCAGGCTGAGCTCCCTCTCACCTTAGCCACTCATCGCCTATGGTCCTATTGCATCCAAAGTCAGTAATGCATGAAAACTACATCCACACTCTCCACAAGTCACTTTGCTTTAGTGTGGAGAATGTTAACAGTTCGGCAACTTTTTTTTCAAATTGCAAAAATCCAGGAAAAACATTATTTGGCTAGCTACATTTTTAAAAATACAATAAAATTACTCATTATCAAAACATCAGCACAAACCTGCAGCGTGAATTGGGGTTCTTTTAGTTACATAATCTTTAACGAGAATGGACGCTCCCTGATTGATTAATACATCCACACACTCCACATGTCCTTTAAAGGCTGCTAGGTCCAAAGCTGTGCGGCCATTGTTATTTCTCACATCCAGGTCTAAGAGAGACTGAACTAGGACCTCCAGAGCCTGGTGATGACCATGGTAAGCCTGAAAGATATTCAAAATATTTTGTTTTAAACAAGTTAAAAAGTTTGGAACAAAAACAGAAGTCGCTGGGAACACTCAGCAGGTCAGGAGAATGGAGAAAGGAAAGTCCTGTAGCTCAGTGGTTGGAGCACTCGCTTTGCAAGTGAGAGACCTGAGTTCAATTCCAGGCAGAGGGCGAAACCTTGGGCAAGTTTCCTTACTCCACACAGAGCCTAATAATAATCCCTCCAAAACCAAAAACAATAATAAATTGGTCATTTTCAATCTACGACTGTTTGTGGGACATTGCTGTGTGCAATTGGCTGCTGCGTTCGCCCACAAATATACAGTCAATTCACTTTACAGTGTGTTCTGTGAAGCGCTTTGGGACGTCCTCCCGACGTGAAAAGCACTATATCAAATGCAAGGATTATTATTATTATAATAAAGTGAATCAACGTTTCGGTCCACAACCCTTCGTCAGAAAGAAGTTTGAAATTGTATTAGATAGAAGGATGGATTCGTTGACTGTGTCATAAGTAGCAGTGAAATTGAGAAGGATAGAGGATGAAGATAGTGACTTTCAACAGGGCTGTCTTGGTGCTTTGGGGGAAGGGGGGCAGAATCCAGATTGGATGGATGCAAACATGTTGTGGTGAGAGAGGAAGGAGCAAAGATGGGAGGCAACAATGTGTTCCAGCACATTAGAGAGGAAGGGCAGGTTGGAGATGAGGTGGTAGCTGAAGAGTTTGAAGTGTGAGTGAAAACATGCCTGCTATTTTGTTATACAAAACAGTATAATCCTGTCCATCAAATCAAAGTTTATTCATATTACTAATTTCAAAAAAACAAGGTTTCAATTTAGAGCATTTTAGAGCAAAAAGGCATTTTGTACTTACAGCCAAGTGCAAAGGACTAACAGGTGCTCTGTTATCGGAATCATTCAGCATGTCTGTACCTGAAGTTTCCATCAACTAGCAAAACACAAATGTGAAACTTTATTATATAAACAGGCAAGAGTGAATAAGATTGTGGCATCAAAGCAGACATTATTTTGGTATTAGATGAACTAGGCAGGTTAAAATTTGTCCGTAACGTATTAAAACGTTTTGTTTGCTTCTCCCCACTCTCAACATCCCTGGTCATTGGCCGACAAGCTGGAATACGGCTCCATGGGCACCAGGTGCCCTCTAGTACTTTCATTTCTAAATCATAAATAACCAACTCTACACCTGAATTGCCATTATTTCATTGAGATGTAATAGACTCCACCCCATATGAAGGCTGCTATATAAATGCGACTTGATGAGCTCTCGATTCTGTCTTCACCCAAAATTATCACACCATGGCAGGAGGGTAAATGGGCACAAGTTTAGGATTGTGAAGACAAGTTTCAGACAGAAACTGGGCAATATAGTTGGGCCCCATTATATCATGGATTAGCATATAACATGGTGACACCATGGACTCCTGATATATTGCATTTGGTTCTATCACGCAGGGCACAGCGAGACGAGGTGACATTGGAGACCCATGTGGTAAACGTAACTGGCTGCACTATATAATTCAGCCTCATTTTAAGAACCCCCGAGCATTGTGTACTTAACTACAGAGGATAATCAATCATTGGACTTGGTGATCAGAAAATGTGCTCGAGGTCAGGACAACAGGAAGACAGTAAACTTGGTATTCTGAAAAGGTGAGATCAAATGGTTCTTTCCATTCTAAAAGCTTTCATCTCAGAAGTGATCTAATTAATACCAATATGCCAGTTTTTGTTTCTTATCATCCCTTAACCCTGTGTGAAAAACAGATCTTTAGAGTTGTTTTTCTGGAACTCGTACCAATTTTAAACATGGAGAATAGGGATCCCTATTCTACAGTGCCTGAAATAAATTATAGGGTTTCTGCTAGTCAGCAATGATAGCAAAACAGACAGTTTCTGGCAGTATTCCCAGTTATTAACTGTTGCTATTAGCAAATCCTATTGCAGGTTGTCGCTTTTTCAACCAAGTTGTGGGTTGCAATGGCAAAGCAGACAATGAGACTGAAGGTTCAGGGAAAGAATATTGAAACTTAAAAATAAATTATAATCAAGTTGGAATAACGAATATTTGTTATAGATAAAGCAAGCATAATAGTTAAAATAATAAAACCAAAGAGAGACAGGGAAAAGTGTTTATTTGAATCAGATTAATATTACATTATTAAAGATTAATTATTAATACCATATTACTAAAGGTTAATTATTAATACCATATTACTAAAGGTTAATTATTAAATACTGAGGTTGTTTCAACACCTTGGTCCAATGACTCAAACGTCCATTGGATAAGAATCTCTTAAAGTAACGCAGGCAAATTAATGGAACAACTGGGCTCTTTATAAATGGGGCAATGGCCAAATCAGAATAAGCTTCTGTTTTAACATTCTTTTGAATGTGCCAGTTTCCACACAATAATTTATTTTCTCTCATGAGCATTTTAGCCATAAGATGACGGAAATGTTTATCTAAACAATTTGGTTAGATTTAAAGCCCGATTTCTGACATGAAGGGACAGCATTCAAATCCTCTGGAGTTTCATTTGCAGGAACATTTTTTCCATTCCTACTAACTAGAGTCTATTTTTTCCATTATACATTTTAGAAGCAATACCCTTGCAATTTATTGCATTTTTGCAGTTTAATGTACATTTTCAGCAAAAATGGCACCTTTAGGAGAAATTAATGGTTTAAGGGAGTGACATAAAACACTAGCCATGAAGTTTTAGGGGTTTGGGCTGAAACGGCAACTATAAATTAGTGTTATACATACACTGAATCACATACTTTTGTACTTAAATCCAGTCATGTTTATACTAATCATACACTAGACAGAACATACTGAAGTAGCTTTTAAACATACATATTTCTACAAAATAAAAGTGATAACTTACTACATCTAGAGGAGTTTCATTTGCAATCTGTAACAAAAACAATTACACGGGAGCTTAATTATGTATCATTTTGCTAACTTCCTACCTCTCCCTCTCCAAACATACGTTCACTCAAGTTTTTGCATACAAATAGCTGATGACCTCAGTGACAATTATATTATTGTATAAAACTCTAAGAATGGTCTGATGGATAGCCCACAAAATACGCAGCATATTCTGTGAAGCAATTTGAGACGTCTCAAAGACCTGATAAGGCGCTATATCAAATGCAAGAATTATTATTATTATTATTATAATAGCTCAGCATATCGAAAACCAATGTGGTAATTATGGAGAAAGGGGGGACGGGACACCAGCGAGGCTACAGGAGCTCTCAGGGCCCAGTACCGCACACAAACCCAGAGAAAAACACACTCAGAGGCGCAGGCACACATATTCACAGACATGGAGAGACACACATGCACACACAGAGAGAGACACACACTCAGAGACACAGAGAGACACACACACTCAGAGATCACAGAGAGAGACACACACTCAGAGACACAGAGAGAGACACACTCAGACACAGAAACACACACACACAAGAGACAGAGAGAGACACACACTCAGAGATAGAGAGAGAGACACACACACACTCAGAGATAGAGAGAGAGAGACACACTCAGAGTCACACACACACTCAGAGACACAGAGAGACACAGAAACACACACACAAGAGACACAGAGAGAGACACACACTCAGAGATAGAGAGAGAGACACACACACACTCAGAGACACAGAGAGACACACACACACTCAGAGACAGAGAGAGAAACACACACTCAGAGCCACAGAGAGAGAGAGAGAGAGAGAGAAACACACACACACACACACTCAGAGACACATAGAGGGACACACACACACACACACACACTCAGATACAGAGAGAGGCACACACACTCAAAGACAGAGAGAGAGAGAGAGAGAGAGAGAGAGACACACACACACACACACTCAGAGACACAGAGAGACACACACTCAGAGACAGAGAGAGACACACACACTCAGAGATAGAGAGAGACACACACACAAGAGACAGAGAGACACACACACACTCAGAGACACAAAGAGGGACATACGTACACAGACACACACACTCAGATACAGAGAGAGGCACACACACTCAAAGACAGAGAGAGAGACACACACACACACACACACTCAGAGACACAGAGAGACACACACTCAGAGACAGAGAGAGACACACACACTCAGAGATAGAGAGAGACACACACACAAGAGACAGAGAGACACACACACACTCAGAGACACAAAGAGGGACATACGTACACAGACACACACTCAGATACAGAGAGGCACACACACTCAAAGACAGAGAGAGACACACACATTCAGAAACAGAGAGACACACACACAGATATAGAGAGACGCACACTCACATAGATGCACACACAGCCACACCCACAAACACACAGAGGGAGACACAGACATACTCACACTCACTCACAAACGCACATAGAGATGTACACACAGATAATCACTCACACACTCACACACAGATCATCACAACAGAGGGGGCCTCTGAGTGAAGCCCATTTGCCACTTGCGCTGCCCCGCGCCTGCGCGTCTGGAGCCATCCCCCCCACAGTGACATCAGGTAAACAGCCGGGAGGCCCACAGGCCAGAAACTACACCGATAGCGGGTTTGTGGCGGATTTCGCGGGGCAAGTGCCGCCCACCCTTTTCTATTCACCCAGACCATGAGTAAGTTTGGATGTGCAACACAAAATGTTCAAATGATATTTTATTCGGTACATGTTATGATTAGATAACATGTTATGGGATTCCTGGAAGACCATAACAAGATTAGGCAGAGTCAACATGGCTTTACAAAAGGGAAGTCATGCTTAACTAATCTTTCAGAGTTTTTTGAAGATGTATCTAGCAGGTTAGATAGGGGGGAACCAGTAGATGTAGCATATTTAGATTTTAAAAAGGCATTTGACAAAGTGCCAGACAAAAGGCTATTGCACAAGGTTAAGGCCCACGGGATTAATGGGAACATATTAGCATGGATTGAAGAGTGGCTAACGGGTAGAAAACAGAGAGTAGGGATAAACGGGTCATTCTCGAATTGGCAGGATGTGACTAGTGGAGTGCCACAAGGATCAGTGCTTGGGCCTCAGCTATTTACAATTTACATCAATGATCTAGACGAGGACATTGAATGTAACGTATCTAAATTCGCGGATGACACTAAACTAGGTGGGAGAGTAAGCTCTGAGGATGATGCAAAAAGATTGCAACGGGATATAGATAGGCCAGGGGAGTGGGCGAGTAGGTGGCAGATGGAATTTAATATGGGGAAGTGTGAAGTTATTCACCTACGTAGAAAAAATAGAAAAACAGATTATTTTCTAGAGGGGGAGAGATTAGATAGGGTTAGAGTGCAGAGGGATTTGGGTGTCCTTGTACACCAGTCTCAAAAAGTTAGTTTGCAGGTGCAGCAAGCAACTAAGAAGGCGAACGGCGTGTTAGCGTTCATTGCAAAAGGTTTAGAGTACAAGAGTAGGGAAGTCTTGCTGCAACTGTATAGGGCCTTGGTGAGACCGCACCTAGAGTATTGTGTGCAGTTTTGGTCTCCTTATTTAAAAAAGGACATACTTGCCCTAGAGGGGGTGCAGCGTAGATTCACTCGGTTAGTTCCTGGGATGAGGGGACTGACCTATGAGGATAGGCTGAATAAACTAGGGCTATATTCTCTAGAGTACAGAAGAATTAGGGGAGATCTTATTGAAACATATAAGATTCTTAAAGGGCTGATAAAGTAGACACTGAGGGTCTGTTTCCCCTGGTAGGAGAATCTATAACCAGGGGTCAGTCTTAAAATTAAGGGTCAGCCTTTTACAACAGAGTTGAGGAAACATTTCTTCACTCAGAGAGTAATGAATTTATGGAATTCACTCCCCCAGAAGGCTGTAGATCCTCAGTCCGTGAACATCTTCAAGGCTGAGACTGATAGATTTTATAAAAAACAGAGGGATTAGGGGATATGGGGATAGGGCAGGTAATTAGAGTTAGGTCTGAAGATCAGCCATGATCTTATCGAATGGCGGGGCAGGTTCGAGGGGCCGAATGACCTACTCCTGCTCCTAATTCTTATGTTCTTATGTTCCAGATGTAATAATAATAATCCTTGCATTTGATATAGCACCTTATGTCTTCGAGACGTCTCAAAGCGCCTCACAGAATATACTGTAAAGTTAATTGATTATATTTTGTGGGTGAAATTAATGTAAAGATTCATATAAATAGTCATTGTGCTTTCAGCATAAAATACCTTTAGGACTTTATTTCAAAGTAAATAAGTAATTGATGTACAAACATAATTTACTGCCATGTGCTTCAAATTTGTCAATGCAAATGTTGGTTAGACACTTAATAGCTACCAAGTGACAACACTGCATTGCAGTAGAATACAGATTTTTTTAAAATTTGGCCCTTCTGATATTTCCTTCTGTAGCTAAAGCATTTGAAATCTGAGCACCTGCCATCACCCTCCACACACACACAGGTTTTTTTTCAATCTGTATAAAATGAATACGATAAACTTCAATTTATTTACCTAAACATGTGTTTATGTTTCCTTTACAAATAATTGGAGATCTTGCTTAAATAAGCTAAAACAGGTGGAAGAAGGATCTCAACAACAAAGCCTTCTTCCCTCGAGTATGTCATAATATTGAGATTACTGATAGATCAAAGTTGTTTCCCCTCCTACCATACTGTATATTCATAAGCATAGCTGTAAACACTGCAGATGGTAGTTATGGTAGTCACAAGAAATACACAAAATACATGATGACACTTTAACCAAAAGAACCACTTTCAACTACTGAAACAGTTTCACGACTAGCTTAACCCTTATTAAAATTTTAGATTTTTTTAAAATTAGCAGAAATAAAACAAACACTTACAAGTTCAAGACATAAACGATGTCCATAGGCAGCTGCATAATGCACTGCATTATAGCCCTGTTTATCGCGAATCCCAGGATTTGCATCATTTCGGAGGAGATACTCCAGGCACCTGTTGATAATTAAGAACATTTATTGAATATTACCATCATAATTGATATGGAAATAGAGAACTGTCATTTTTTAACCGAATATTTGGTAGCATGAACAAAATACAAGTCATATACCTGAGCAATCACACTGCCAATGATCTGGAGTCTGAAACCTAAACTATTAAAAGTTTCTGGAGTCAATCGTGGTAATGACAGAATGAACTATTCTTTTTCAATGCTTTCAAATGCCATCCACACATGCTAATTCATAGTAACCTGCAGTTAAGCCGCAAAAATTTAATTCTTTACACTGACTTTTTCTAAAGTACGAAAGCGTACATCCACATGCTTGATGGTACATTATGCAATATTTATAAAATTGGTAGCCCAGACCTGAAAACTAACACAACCTGAATACTTTTAACACTCCATGTGTAAGGTGGTATACATACGTGGAACTCTGTCTGCTGACTAGTTTCCATCCATTTGACTATAAAAAAATGATCAATCTCGGAATGAACTTGATTACCAGAGCAATGTGTCATGGTTAAATGCCCTCTATGTACTTAACTGTGTGAATTACCAAACCTTCAATTTAAATAAAATATTCTCATCCATCGTGAACTGTAGCATTACAGAAACTGTTTTTGATTGCTACGGTTTCAATAATAACTTACAAATTAGGTATCCTAGAAGGTGTGAACCCACAGGTTGTTATTAATGGATAGCCCTAGAACATTCAACCATATCCTCAAAATACCACTTTACAGAGACTTGAATCAGCAGATTAGGTCAAAACAGGGTTCTATCAGACAGTAGATTTAAATCTTTTGGAAAGATGATGCCATGTGTTTGTTTGGGTGATACACTACTAACACTTAACTAGGTCCACAGTGCCGAATTGTATACCTGTCCACCACCCACTCATACACAGGAAATCCTTCTCCTGGAAGTCTGCCATCAACAGCATGTCTTGATTTCATACCATGTTCACGTTTCCTACACATGCTGCTTCTGATCATCCCACACTGCTAGTTTACAATCGACTATGTTGAAGATTTATTGCAGATTTTGTAGCAATGAAACGTAAGCATAAAAACTGTCCTGTTAACATCAGAAATTTACATTCACTAATTTTCAAGTTGTCAAATTTGCAAGCTTTTCAAATGGAACAAAGCCATCAAGGTCTTGCTGTGAACTAGCTCTTACAGGTTCATTCAGGCTATGACATTTAGCAACAGCTTTGTGAGGTGTTATGAGATATTAATTCAAGTCCCCATGGTAAAAAAATCTGTTAGCATTTAAGTGGCACATTTAACTGCAGACTACCAGAATAGTAAAAAAAACTACACGAAAAAAAAAGTCTGCACTATCGTGAGCACTTTCAATGAATCATTGGATAAATGTGGACCATTATTGTGTTACTGTCCATAGAAATTAGTGATGAAGGCAGCACAATAAGTCTAAGTACCACAACCCAATGATGCAAAGAAAACATTAACTCGGACCATGTGCTCTCCTATACCGGGTTCTGCAAGCACATTATCCTCACCTTTGCCTGGCTTCACTTGCTCCTTGACCCTCAGCAGATCAACTTCAACATCCTCATCCTTGCCTCCAAGGCTAGTGCTCGGCAGAATTTGGGGTGCATATGCTCAGATGTAATAGCTCTAGAGGCCTTGTCCCAGCCCATCTCTAATCTCCTCCTTAACGGGTGCCTCAAGGGTAGCTTCTATAATGTTTTCATTACCAGCCTTTAGAGCTCCATATTATCCAAATTTCTACAGCCCCGACTTCCAAATTCTTTTATGGTCTTGTCTCACTCTACTTATGTAATGTCCTCCAACCATATTTTGCTGCCTTTACTTGGCGGTTCTTCCATTCTGGACTACTGCTGGTTCCTCACTCCCTTGGTCCCATCAGCCACTGCAGCCTGACCAATTGTTTTTATAAAAAGCCATAAAATCAAACAGTAAATAAGGTTACGATCTCAGCTCAGTGTTTTGATCCAATTTTTCATTGATCTTTAAAACCCTTACAGCAAAGTTGAAACCATCTGAGAAAACTGTAACACTGAACAACTAGTTCTACAGAGGGTCAGAAGGCTCCAGCGCCGCATCATGTACTTCTCAAATGACAGATTATCCAGTACAGCACTTCAGTGTGTTCAGTGCCTTGGGATGTCCTCGCGACTTGAATGTGCTACACAACTGTAACTTGTTGTTGCTTTTGTTAGTGTTCACAGCTATAATCCTTGTATTTGATTATCCAAATGCTTTAGCAAACACAGGCATGGTAGCTCTAGGAGTTATTTTATACTTTTTCCAGTACTTCATACTTTGCTGAACAAGCTTAGATACAAATGAATTAATTTTAAAAAACATTTAGTAACATTCCATTGAAAAAAGTAATTTTAATTTTCTCTTCTCTCTTGCATGTTGCAACTCATAGTGAATACAGCTTCACATGAGCCAGAAACCCTTTGGAGGCTCACTCAGGTGGCCATGCTTGATAAATGAGCAGTGATGGGAGGCATCAGTTTTGTTCAATCCTGTCCTCTCCTAAAATACAAACACACTTTCCAGCAAGGGTCATTGAACAGCTATCAAGAGCAAGAAACTTGCCTAATATTTCATCTCCCTAAACTGGGAAAGCTGAAACTGATCGAAGTACAAAATTCACTACCCATGAAAATGAATTAGTTTTAGCACATTGTAGATTAACGGATCCAGAGTTATATTAATGAACTGGTGCCTTGACGTAAATAGCAGCTCAACAAGCAGCTTTCTGAACCTCAGTTAGACAAAATCCATGTGTACAAAACCAATTGTACAATTCATTTTGGAATTCATTTGAGAAAAGGGTGGATAAATTTACATTATAACTGATTGATAAGGATTGTTAACTTACTTATTAGTTTATCTAAATTAGATAAACCACTTTTATAGTTAGCATGACCATGTACAGGATTATGACAATACATGCTACCTTTACAACTGATGAGGTGGTTTCCAATAGATTTAGCCATTTGCCTATGTACTGTCAGAAATCAGGGCTGCCATAGAGTTATTTGTTCAAAGTCCTTGGATTCCCTTTTAGATGCAAAACAGTGGCACTGAATGGACACATCTTTGATTCAGCCCAGGCGACCTTCAGTCTTTGCTTTTTTTTGACTAACTAGCTATAAGCCAAATGAAAACTACTTTAAAAAATTGTTCCCATTTCCAAAAAACAGTCAATCCATTTTACAATATATTCTGTGAAGCGCTTTGAAACATCTCAACGACTAAAAGTTGCTATATCAAATGCAAGGATTATTATTAACTTAAGATGTACATCACTGAATGTTCCTAGAGACAGGACTCTACACATTGAGTCTAAGATAAAAGATACTATAAAACTACTAGAGATGATAATCTGGAATCTGAAATAAAACCTTTAGATGAAAAGAAACCAACCATCTAGATTTCACTTCTTAATGCGCATTTACCTATTGTACAACTCAGTTTTAAGAAACGTCAGTTTTCTTTTTGTGATTATCAGCTTTATCATAAAATGTGCATAAATATATTTCAGCATCATGCATGCTGAAATATCTTGGCACAGCCTTTTTCAAAACAGGCAATGTTAGATTAAAAAATCACCTGGGTTTTCCGAAATCTAATGATGCATTTTGTAATGACTGAGTTGACAAATTAATTGTTCAGTTAAGTTCATACGAAGGAAAAGATAGCCTCCACAAAGATAGCCTCCACAAATTGCTAGACTTAGTTCACAATATTTGTGCCACGATCTTCACAAAGCAACCATCAATTACAGGAAGCTAAATTAATCTGTTCCATGAACTACAGGAAACTGGAAGAAATTACTATATGAGTAAACCTAACTTGGCACAACACATCAGACAGTTCTTAAACTTGGAAACTAACTTCCACGTCTGGGCAATTTTTAAATATTTTCAGGCTGACTAATCAGTGGACCTCGGTGTTACTTCTAAACTGCTTAAGGATGGCTGAGGTTTTCTACCAAAATCTATTAACAGCAAATACTGAGTTACTGTAATTTCTCTCAAGAACACCTTAGTGCTTGAAAACAGCTAAAGGTTTAGTATAATTTTAGTATAAGAGTAAACAATTTTGTTCAAAGGGAAAAGGACCATAAAAGTGATTTTGAAGAACAAAACCAAGAGCAGGTAGAAGGTTTCTCATAAATGGAATAAAATATTGAAAACTATACAAAAATACAACTAAATTAGCATACATTCTACAAATCTATTTACTCTCATGGATTGTTGGTTATGTTACACGTCTGAAGTAACCATTTCCCTAGGTAAAGGCCCATCAAAATCAAGAGCAATAACACAACAAAGATGCAACTTCTAAATGTTTCTTAAAAATATTTTTTTTCTTAACACATGAGAAGACAGCTCTATTTGATCTCAATGTTTCCCTTCAAAATATCCATTTCACAGCATATTGCTGATATTAACCAACTAAGAACTAACGTAAACTTAGAGGAACTTAAGGTAATCAATATTCATATAAATCTTCAATTTATAATCTTACAATATATTACTTGCTTACTCAGTTACCCTAAATGTGTAGAAGCTGGTAATATCTTTAAAGCAATGAAGCAATCCAGTTTTAGGAGCTCAGTATACAAAAATGAAGTTGTGCAATAGTGCCCGCAGTCAACCAGTTTTGTACATTTGCAACCCATGCTGCTTGACTTACTTTCCGTCTGTGTCTGATGCTGCTGCATAGTGAAGTGGTGTGCAACCTCTTTCATCAAGGTCATTTACACTGGCTCCAGATCCCACAAGAGCAAACAGGCACTGGTAGTTGCAATTGGCAGCAGCATAATGCAGTGGGGTTCTGAAAGGGTAAGAAAAAGTCAAGTAGATTTTTTTTAATGCAATATTGCTGTGCAGGATGTGTAAAAATTAAAAAAACATTGCAAATGATTTTTTTAAACCAGTAATAAAGCACCAGTATTTGTATTAGTACTTTAACATATTGCTAGTAATCTCAATAATAAAGTGGCTCCTGGATCACATGCTTGACAACAAAACTTCACAAATGAGTCAATGCCCTGCGGGGGTCTGAGTCAGTTTGTGAGCCAAGAGGATCTGATGACAAACCAGCCAGCCTGGCTTGTCCCCAAGATTTGGAGGGGCAGACCAGTCACTGGTAGGGTAGCCCTAGCTGGACAAGCAGCAGGAAGCTTGCCAGACAGTATTCTCAATGGCAAGCTATGTGGTTTTAACTGATTAAGCTCCAACAGTACTACAAAGCATACTCTGGGATCCTGAAGTCCTGGCTCTGATCCACCTGTTCTTTCAGAAGAGTTTATGCATTACATTCCAGATACAATGACATTTCTATGCGTTGCTGATATACATATATACATATATTGGATAAGCCGGATGCATCGAGGGCGGAATTTTGTCCGACTGAAGAGGTGTCCGAGGTTAACCGAAATACGATTCCCGCCCAGCAGAGGAGCTGCGGTGGGGCCATACAATATGTAATAATGTTGTTTCACTTCAAGCAATGTGAACTCACCAGTTAAAGTTAAATTCAGTAAAATATATTTATCTTTGTTTGGGTGCAGGTATAGTCCGGCACTTTGCCGCCCAATAGAGGATCTTCCTCCTCCCATTGCCGTTCCCATTAGACGGGAAAGGGGACAATCAGCAGCGGGGCTGAGGTGAGTGAAAACCTGCATTCGCTTGTGAATGTTTGGGCTCCAGCCATTCACAAGCGGCTCCACTGTCAACCAATCCCGATTTCCCACCCTTGTTCTTTCCCATTCCTTCGCCCCCTCACTGCTTGACAGCCCAACTCCAACTGCTTCAGAATGGCTGGAGTCTATTGTCAATCACAATCTGACTCCTCCCATCTACATGCCGGAGTCTCTCGTGGCGGTCTCAGCCGGCCCGAGTGCGCACATTCAGTGGCGACCAGTGCGGCATTTTGCCTGGAGAAACTGGATTTTCGTCTGAATCAACTAGCATATTTACAACAGGTAAGAATCGAAATGAATCGTGGCTGGGAGTTTTATTCAATTTACTCGACCCCCGGGGTTAACCGCCGTCCGTCAAAAGCGTACTCCACTTGTACATTAGAACTCTGTCTGGTCTGGATACTGTTAAACCTGGTGATCGGTTTCCCCACGGGTCAGACAACTTAAAAAAGTTTTAAATTAGTTCTCAATAAATTTCTGAAAAAAAGCAATGACACAAAATAACTTTCTTTCTACCCTCTTAATTTAATTTTTACTTCATCCTTTGAAGATGCTAATTCATGCTGGGATATTGCTGCATATTGCCTTCAGCTCTTATATGCTCTACCCTTGCCTAAATGTAGACAGAGTCTGGACAATAAGACTTAACAACTATTCAATTTATGAAGCCCATCAAAGATCTATCTTGGGACTTCCTCCTGATGCGAAAAGCGCTATACAAATATAATTTTGTTGTTTTTGTTATCTAATCATTTTGTCTGGAAATTGAGCCTTTTCAATTCCCATGCAGACAAGTGCTGTATCTTCCAGAATACACAATGGTTGTGAACTTGAGAGTTACCCATTACAGTAGAATGCCTTTTGTTCACTTATCTGCATTGCACTCGCACATAGAAGGGAAGGAACCATCACTAAAATAATTCAGTTGTACAAATATGCACAAGGTCACTTGGAACACAATTCAGCCACCCACACAAATGTGAACAGACAAGAGTTCATTTAGCAATCTACAGGGCTGAAGATGGGGGAGCCAGACAAAGAAAAAGTCAGAGGGATAGAAGGTTAGAGAGTCAGAAAGTGTGTGAGACAATGACAGAGAGAAAAGGGCTGGCACAATATAGTAGTAATAGTGAGTCTCCTGATTGAAGAAGGTTTTGGCTTATACTATAGTTAATTGTGACAATCAGTTCTGCACCATCTCCTTATTCACAATGAGACCGGTGACAATTAGTGCAGATAATCAGCTAACATAATATCATCAAATGCAGAACTCTTCTTTGAGGATTTCTTCTGCTGGTAATGGTCAGCAAAGAGAATCCATGTCATTTTTACAAAGAAAATTACCTTAGTAATAGAGTTTTAGGCAGGAGTAGATATTTGGTTTGAGGTACTGAGACTATTTTCTCACTGCCTGAAAGACAAATAAAATCGAAAGCCAAGAAAAAGGCTCATGCTCAGCTGAGATCTTACACTGACTATAAAATCAAGCTCATGGGCACACTAATAACATCTAGACCAACTTTATCTTTGAGAGGCGTTTATAATGAGCTAAACAAAGTACAGATGGAAGTGAAAATGCAGTGCCTTAATAAAATCAGGATCCATGGACAGGCACAAAAGTACTCAATATAGGCCAGAGTGGTCCAACTGGTGGCCCCCGGGAATTATTTCATCCGGCCCGCAAACTATTTCCAAATTAACGGTGCCACTCCCTCCCTCCCTGGTAAAACCGCCCTCTCGTTACAGCAACTCAATGCGCAAGGAGTGGAAATAATGCTGCCTGGTCCTGCAGTCTGTCAGGAAGTCCCTCTCAAGCTGAGGGTAAGGCAAACGGGTCTCCTTACCAACCGTGTCCTCCCAACCGCTGGCTACTGCAGCTGCCAGATAGTGAGCCACACAGCACGGCCGGGAGAATGCTCATTCCTGTTGCCAGATAGTGAGCTGTGCAACTGATTGAGAAAGAGGGGGAGAGACAGAGAGTGATTTAGAGAGGGGGGGGGAGAACGCGATTGAGAGAAGGAGGGAGAGAGAGAGATGGGGGGGGGGAAAGAGAGTGTGAGAGGGGAAAGAGAGAGATTGTGAGAGAGAGGGAGTGAGACAGAGTGAGAGTGTGTGAGAGAGAGAGCGTGAGAGTCCTTAATCCACCCTTCCCATCCTACCTCTGCACCTTCCCAACCTGACAGTTTCATTTGCCAAGCAAACACCAGCTTGCTTCATGTCCCCCCAACCCATTGCTCCACCGTCGTCATTTTGCCCCCGTTCTCTGAAACTCCATTCCCAGAGTTCCTCCGAATCGCTCCCTCCCCTCTTTCAAGGCACGTCAAGACCCAATTCTTTTACCACACTTTTGGTCATTTTTCGTACACCTCAAATGGTCTGAAATTGGGGTTGCCAAAACACATATGTTGGAATCCCTTTAGAAATTATTGCAACTTGGAACGCAGTAATAGTTGATTTGCAGAAGAGCTGGGAATAGCAAAAAGAAAATTACAATTTGTAGAATAGTTTACATTTATATAGTGCCTTTCACATCTCAAGGCAAATCATGGTGCTGCATGGGCACCTAAGTAGGGGGTGGGAACTGAGAGGAGTGTGAAGTGGAAAGATGAGCGAAAGCATGGTCGATGTAGGTTTTGAGAAGCGTCTTGAAAGAGGGGAGGGAGCAAATCGGAGAGACTCTGGGATGGAATTCCAAGGGGGGACAGGAAAACAATAAAGCACACAACTTTATTCTACGTATTTTTCTTAGCATTCAACAGGAACAGCTGTCAACTTTAGCTGTGCATACACTAAAAATTAAGATAGTTCTTACCTTCCAAACGTATCCTTTTTGTTGAAATCAGCTCCACTGTTAAGCAACAGATTTAGGCATTCCAAATTTCTGGAACATAAACACAAGGTATTTGACAAACTAACACAACAGCAATCCTTGCATTTGATATGGAGTCTTACCACAGTATCGGGATTTCTCAAAGCCCTGCACAGAATCTACTGTAATATGTAGTCAATGTATTTTGTTGGCAAAGTGCGACAGCCAATTTGCACACAGCAATAACCTACAAACAGCCATGAAGTGAATGATCAATTTTATTGGGGGATTGTTGGTCAGGACAACAGGAAAAACTCCCTTCTCTTTTCGAACACGGTGCCATAGGATCTTTAATGTTTTATCTGAAAGGGGCACTTCTGACACTGCAGTACACCCCCAGTGCTGTATTGGATCATCAACTTAGGACTACAGGAGTTCCAAATTCTGACAAGGATCTCAAACCCACAACCTTGTGATTCAGAGTCGAGTGCTACCAACCCAGCTCGGCTTTCACCAAGACCAAGGAGTGTAACCTGGCTCATTTGCTAGCACTCTTGCCTCTGAATCATAAGGCTGTGAGTTCAAGGGCCACATTGGAGTTTCAAATTCACATAGTCTAAGCTGACATTGCAAATGCAATGCTGGGGTTATGCTGCATAGTTGGAGGTACTGTACTTCAGATGAGACATTAAACCAAGCCTGCCTGTTCAGGTGGATGTTAAAGATCCCATGACACTATTCAAAAAGGGAAAGGAGTTTTGCATGGGAGGTCAACAATCCTCCAAATAAAATTGGTCACTCACGTCATGGCTGTTTGTGGAACACTGCTGTGTGCAAATTGGCTGCCGTGTTCACCCACAAAGTCACTTCACAGCAGTTGATGTCATACAGATCTGACAAGAATATACCCCCGTAAGTGGTTCTCCTATGAATAATAATTATTATAATATTCTGAAGTCAGTCTGGAGGCAAAAGCGCAAACATACTGCTGAGACTTTCACCACAGACTTTGTGACATCAATGCAATTGCATATTTACAGTTCATTTGCACACACCTATACCTGTCTTAGTGGCAAGATGTAATATCTTTTATTCCACATTATAATATAAATGTGTTGCACAGGAGGAGGCCATGTATCCCATCATGCTTGTGCTCTCTGAATAAGCTCCATTTACCCCCATTCTCCTGCCTTTTCTCCAAAGAGAAACAATGTTTACACAATAGAATGTTGTTCTTATTGGGCAATTAATAATAATTGTGGTTAATAAGTAAAGTTAATTCCCACATCAATAAATGAAATAGAAATTCAGAAACTGTTGGATTAGAAATAGACATTTTCTTGCAGTTCAAAATTCCCCTACGGTTCAGGCTTTAAATATATGTCTTCAAAATTTCAAATACAATTGGCAATAAGAAACAATTGCTAATCGGACCTCCAAAACATTTTTCATTCCACTCTAACCCCAAACTTGCAAATCATCTTTACAAATTTGGAGGACATGGTCACAGTTAAACCAACAGTAACAAAAAACAATTTGGGGCATATATTTTAAATGTACTTCCAACATAATCACCGTTACTGGAAGTATACCTAAAATGTCTAGGCATAACAAAAAAAACGCAGATGTTGCTACAACAAAGTCAAAAGCATTTTGGTGCCAAACTGAGCTCTGTTATGCCAGCAGATAAACCATTTAACTCAAACAAGGTGAAAAACAAAAAGGTAAGGGTTGCATAGCATGATGCTTTAACAAACTTTCCTAAACACATTAAGAAAAGGTCAGTGGTCATGCCTGCCTCACACGACTGCATCACTTCATTTCCATTCACTTTGTAATTAGCTCAACTCCTGTGCAGCTCATGGCATTTACTGCTTTCATGTTATTGACTAGATAGAACTGCGGCTCTGTGAATTAGGCATATCATTATGTCGACTGCAGCACAGTTGATGGCTCCGTGCTACATACTCAAAAAAGCACAAGGTCATTACTCACCCTCCAGCAGCAGCCGCATGAAGGCAGGTCCTGCCAAATTCATCTGGGGTGTCTATATCAAAGCCTGCACAATGAATGAGCTCTTTGTGAATCCATAAAAGGAATATGCAAGTATCCTGTCAAGCTGCCAGCAGTAGTTTTAAAGCTGAACTGCTACAATACTGAGAGGTATTGTACAATTCTTTGCAGATTAGCAGTAACCCAACAAATTTCTAATGCTAGATAGTATTACAATGCAAAATTCTAATGTTGACTAGAATTGGTTTACTTTGTGTTAAAAGATATAAAATGAGATCCATTAAGTTATCACAACATATTTAAAAGCGTTAGTTATGAACCAATATGCTTGATCGGTAATCTAACATTACTGTCTCTTAAGTGTGTAACTTTCAATAGCAGGCACATAACAAGGACATCGGCACTTTCCACTTATTCTGGAGAGCAATAATAATAATCCCTGCATTTGATGCAGCGCCTTATCGCGTCTTCAAGAAGTCTTAAAGCACTTCATAGAATATATGGTAAAGTGTAGTGTCTGTGTTTTGTGGATGAAAACGGGAGGGAAATAGAGTCAAGAGAGACAGGGAGGGAGAGCAAGAGAGACAAAGAGTGTGCGAGTGTGAGAGAGGGAGAGATTTGATATAGCGCCTTATTGTGTTTTTGAGACGTCTCAAAGCGCTTCACAGAATATACTGTAAAGTGTAGTGATATTCATATAGCACTGTGATCACAGTGCACAATGGCTGCAATATTCAGAAGAGGAAAGAATTTCCAAGTTCCCCCTCCAACATTTAAATGCTTAACCTACCTACAGCAGAAAAAGGATTTCAGTTATCAGATGTCTTTTCCTACTGTGAATGAACTGAACTTTACATAACTAAAATGGGATTCAGATCAAAATCCATCAGAATTCCTATACATTCTCACATCTATGGCCAAATCAGTTTGGGGAGAGGGGAGAGATAGAGGAAAGCAACATTAACTGGACACTGATTCATCTGCAGAATTCCGATGTCTTTAATTGCTACTGTTGCAGATAAGCATAAATAAATCAGATTTCTTTTAAACCTCTCCTGCTGCATACACACACCTAGTGTATATATGCTAAAAAAAAATCAGTTTATCCGGCTGAGTGGAAATTACACAAAAAGGAAAAAAACAGCAACAGAAGTAAATGCAAAACACATATTTTAGTGCTTCCTGGTTCATGGAAGTTATCTTGGAGCACTTTTATTGTTGAAATAAACTGAACTGGGGATCCAAGTCTCATCTATAAATAATGTACAAGTTGCAACAGCATGGTTACGTTTCATACAAATAACTAAATTAACTACTACAAAAGATCAAACTCCTGAGGATTGAATTTAGGTCAATGTCAGGGAATGGCAGGAGAAAATAAAGGCTGTTTATGACTGTTTATACATTAATTAACTCAGAGATCGCAATATCTACCATGATTCAACATTTATTACACATACCTGAGGACAACAGCTTCCGACAGCAATCTGAGAAGCCACTTAATGCTGCTAAGTGAAGTGGAAACATCCCATGGATACCCCGTCTAGAATGGAAAAATAAAATTAGACAGAAGCAATATTTAGGATCAAATATATATACACATATAATGTACTTACACCCAAATTATCCAACAGTTCACAACTATAAGTGGCTCTTGTCATAACACAAGTCAGCAACTCCAGGTAACAGAAGGTGCCAATGTTCACCATATAATTCTAGTGTTGTGAAGCTAGGTATGAAAAATGAAAGGTCTGTAGCTATATTATATATATATTATAAACACTTCATAATGCAGGTTATTACCCAGGCCGATCTGACTGCAATCAGTGTAGAAGAAGTACAAGAGCAGATTGTTAACAATAGTGTCTAGCGTGACCAACAATATAAGCAAGTATGAAGTTGCAAGGACTGTCATATTAAATCCTGGCAATATTTCAGGTCTAATGAGTCAGTGAAACGTATGCAACAATTCTGAAAAGTTTCACTGAAACTGTTGCTGTACCTTAACTCATCTAAATAAAATGTACAATATCCATTACATTTGGCCCTGTTTGCATCTTGCATCATTGATGTTCATACAGAGTTGTGCAAAACACTGCAACGAATATTCAGTGCAGCACAACCAACCAAACTCAAAAGATGGAGCTACTACCTACAATCATTGAATTAAGGCCATCAACTGGTACAAACCTAACAGATGCTTTTAATGTTTAGAAAAGTCACACCCATTTTGATATGCTTCGAGTGTCTAGAAGAGATGCCATATTCGACTGGGTGAGGGCATCTTGAGTGGATTCTCATAAGAATCAGTGGTTGGGATTGTGTTATTTCTTACCTACATATGCAATTAAAACTAATACAAACTCACTGAGCTACAGGGACTCTTTTATGGAGTCCTGTAGTCAGTGGTTAAAGTACTCGCCTTGCAAGCGAGAGACATGGGTTCAATTCCAGGCAGAGCGAAGCCTTGGGCAAGTTTCCTCACTCCACACGCCTAATAATAATCCCTCCAGAAAACCAAAACAATAATAAATTGGTCATTTTCAATCCACGACTGTTTGTAGGACACTGCTGTGCGCAATTGGCTGCCGCGTTTCGCCAACAAACATACAGTCAATTCACTTTACAGCATATTCTGTGAAGCGCTTTGAGACGTCTAGAAGACGTGAAATGCGCTATATCAAATGCAAGGATTATTATTATTAAATCAGCTATGTTATTGAAAGGCACTTTTTTGGCAAGACAGATGTCTGGCATGTGCGAAACTTTTGCTGTGCGGAGCAGTTTCCACTTCAGGAAGTGAGAAACCCACCAAAAGTACTTTTTAATGCATGCTACATCCCCAGGAACAGAGGAAACCAATAATTGGTGATCTATGCCTGGAAAACATAGAAGCAGACTGACAAAAGTGAACATCAGAACCCTGAAAATGCATCCTGGGGATATTGGTGGAACTTAACCAGCTAAAGACCAGGGCAATTTACCAGCATGAAGCACAAGTACTTTTCACTTCTTGCCAATTAGGCCCCCACCTACCCATTAGGACAGTGGCCTAATGGTGTAATGGATAATGCTGAAGCTTACCGATCAGCTGCAGCTGAATCCTTGGTTTGAATCCCACAAAATATACAGTCAATTCACTTTATTGTTGTCCTGATCTGCGCTGAGTTTGCTGTTCTCAGCCATGACTGAAAGGAGGCTAAATTGGCCCTGGGCTATGGAGAATAAATCTTGTCCCTCTCTTCAATGGATCAAATTCTCTTTTCTCATCATTGATTTATAATAATCCTTGCATTTGATATAGCACCTTATCACGTCTTCGAGACATCTCAAAGCATTTCATAGAATATACTGTGAAGTAAATTGACTGTATATTTTGTGGGCGAAACGCAGCAGCCAATTGCACACAGCAGTGTCCCACAAACAGTCATGGATTGATTGACCAAACCACTGTTGTTATGTTCTTTTGAAGGAATTATTACCCTCGGAAAAGTGATCCGCCAATCGACTAATAATCGGGTTTCTACTTACTGCTAAGTAAACGGAGGCGTGTGGAGTAAGGAAAATTCCCCAACATTTTGCCCTACCGGGAATCAAACTTAGGTCTCTCATTTGCGAGGCGAGTGCTTCAACCACTGATCTACAGGACTCCACGATTTTCTTTGATGTTTGCATATTGTGCAGGACCAGAAGTAAGTGGATGCCCATTACCCTTGGTCTAAAACAAGCTAGTATGTAACTAGCTCCAAGTCAAAAATATATTACTCACTTTGCAGTGTCAGCTCCGCTGGTGATTAGTGTATTTATAAGCAGCTCATGTCCATACCGAGCAGCTATGTGCAAGGGAGTATTGCCATTCTTATCTTCACAATCGATCTCTGCACCTATGAAAGAAATAACACTAATCAGCAAGAAAACAGTAAAAATATCCAATTTGTTATTTCTTGTTCATTTCACACTTTTGTCAGCCAGACAATATGCCCTTTTAAATGCAATTTTTCATAACTGTCCCTTTTAGCAACAGATACTGCAATCAATATCAGATTTGTATCTCTGATCACACAATCACCTGCATGATATCAAAACATTCACACACGAGTCCTATTCACTTATTTTCCCGAATTGAAGTCACTTTCAAAAGTTCAACTCAAATCTAGGTTGTCTACCAATAAGAAGTTGTCCCACTTTTCAGTTTAGATAATTGGCCAGACCACCTGCTACTGAAAGAGGATGGTTTGAAACCATTAATAGATACAGTACACTGGAGACAACAATAGTGATTAACCTAAGGTCAAGTCATTCTCCCAAGCTTACAACTGTAAAAGATATTTATAGGAGAAAATTGAATGTTTATACTTTTAAGAGAAGAAATGTAGAACTGCTCATCCACCCTCATGATAATTTGGAATAATGATGGATTTTAGAGGAGACATGACAAGAAAGGCCCCAACTATTCTGTGGCCATTATAACCTACAACAAGATAAAGGAAAATTTCTAGAGAGGTATTGGACCGAGACTGCAAATCAGCAATGTGCAATTTAAGGGCCATAGAGTTAATACCAATACGGTACAAGTATATTTTTACAATATGGTACAATAACAAGGAGACAATGAATTCAGTAAGGCATGAAGTGGGTGTTGGGAATTCAGTAGGACTTGTGACATTTTCATGGTATCACAAAAAAGGGACTGATCTGTTTGAATTGTGATACAAAACTATGCATGTTTGAAATAGAACCTTGAATAAATTACTCAATACATTTTTTAAATTATTGCAGGTCAAAGGCAGGTTATGATCCTTTCTCATTGGTCTGTAAAGGATTGAGGAAGATTTGTTCGGTATACTTCTCTGCAAACCAATCATGGTGATTCCAGGTTGTACGTAGAAGACAGATGCCTGTAACTAGCATGTTCACAAATTCGGACTTCAGATTTCAGCAGCAGGGCATGAAGAGATTTCAGCATGTCACCCCTGTCAGAGTTTTCTCATCAGCTGGCTGACAGGGATCTGTCTTCAATGTGGTGGGAGAACCTTTAAGGACAGCTTGCAAAATGCTAGCCACCTTGATGTTCGCAAGGTCCAAGTCCAATACTGCAGACCAGGATTGCTCAGGACCAGCTGCTTAATCCAAATGGGCTTTGGCAAATAGTCATACCCACTGTGAAGCCCCCCTCCGCCTCCTTGATGCTTAGCGACATGTCAGTGTAGGCTGGAGCCCTCCCTCTCTTGACCCGCCTCCTATGTTTGCCACAAACCCACCTCACTGCTTGACCCTGGATCACAAATGGATCTGAGCTTCATCCTCAGCTCAGATCCATGAAGGAGAGGTGTTTGCACACAGGTCTTATTTAGCACAACTTGACCTGCATTAGGCCTTTGTTGTCCTCGAAGAGAATCAAGCATGACAAGAGTGTCCTACACCCCTTCCTTGCACAGTTTCTTCAAATCCAAAAGTTGGCGCCCACAACCTCCTGATAAGAATCAACAATTGGGACTAATGTATCTTATATCTTCTAATCAATACCTTCACAGTCCTCTCTTGAGCTGTGCAGAACCATGATTTTGCACTTGGGGGCACCCAAGTGCAAAATCATGGTCCTGCATGATTTTGCAGAACTGCGTGTCCCAGTGTTCAAGATGGTGAGTGCAGTGCAAAAGAGACCGCTATCAGCACAATATCATCCGCAAACTAAATTTATAAAGCTAAATCTATGACATTGGTTTATCCCCTTGGAAACAGCAAGAGTATCTCCCTGCAAGCCTTTTGCAGAGCTTCAACAGATCTCGTAATCTTTTGAATCTCCTTAAGTGAGTAGAGAAGAGTGTGTTGAACAAATGTGAAACCAAAACTCCTTTCATGTGGTAAGAATTGCCCAACACTGTAGAAGGTCTCTTGTGTACCCAATGTATTAATGAGATACAAGCCCACTGCAGCACATATTGCTTAAAGGTTAATAGCTTGAGGGTCTTTTCTGCAGATGTGTCTGTTTTTAGCTGCCACTTCAACAAGATCCTATAAAGTTTAGTCACATATCTTCTCACAAAGTACTTGCACTTCACAATGTGGACATAGTACTCTATAATGTGCAGATTTAATCAAGTCACTTTTTTTCTTGAAGTTGAGCAAGAGATTCTTTTTTTAATACATTTTTAATGTTCAACAGATTGCACAAATGCTTGAGAGGAGCTTATTCTGGGTTTCCTTTTAATTATGTGTGGGCTATTCCAAATTGGTAAATATTTTGGAATTGACAAAAATGATTAGTATATAAAAGACCTGTTTAACATTTACAGCAAAAAAAAACTATAAAATAGACAAGTTCAGCATTTATTGGCAAGATATTGCTAAGTTAAATCAGATTTTTGGTGTCTGAAGAGCACCCGGTTTTCGTTCAGGATGGTAAGCAATTACTAATTATTTTGCAATAGAAAAAGAATAAGGGATACATTTTCAAATCAATAACCACAGTGCCAATCTCTACAGAGCTTAACAGTGATTATTTTTAAGCAAAAGCTTCGAAAAATGTGAAATGGGCATTCACATATAAATCAACCCCTCAACCTTCCACATAAATCAATAGGGAGCTAATGTTGCATTATTTGAATTCATCCCTTAAGCAGCTTTGTGAAAGAGAATTTTAGGGTTTCTATATTAAAAAATGTTCATAAAAAGAGCAATTTAAATATACAAAATATTACAAAGGAAATGGATAGAATTACATATAACACTCTTGGAACTTAACTGTCAAACCAGACCTAATAAAGTGGGTCAGTTTCAGTTACCATTTTGGATGATGGTCTGTGACCTTGAGAATCGGCCGTGAATTGCTGTCATGTGCAATGGAGTCTTCCCGTCTTTACTCTAAAGTAGAATTAAATTAAACACAAGTTATTATGACAATACTAAATTGTTAATGTATACAACTTATACTGCCTTGTACAATTTACTTTTATATTACAAGCAAATATTTACCAATCATAGCTGAAAGATCAAAATTAGAACTAACAAGCTGTGTGTATTTTACACAATTTTAACAGGTTTCTTCATCTTTAACTGCTGTCACTCAAGGATTTTTGCCCTTCAGTAAACCATGAACAATATAACTACTCAACCAAAAGGGATGACATCCGATGATCAACTCACAGTTCAATGTGCAATGAGTAATTTGCTCGCAAGAGAAACCCCTTAAATAGGTCAGTCATTCCACATCAGTATCTTCTACTTTCTATTCCCCACCATCGGGGACTTACATTTCCAGGTCATGCCGTATTATTCTATACACATGTATAATTCATTTCACCTCAAATGTCATTTCTACTGCGGACACAGTGTATGAATACAATAAAAAGGCATTAAAGTAATAATAAAAATAATCCTTGCATTTGATATAGTGCCTTATCGTGCCATTGAGATATCTCACATTTAATATTAATATTAAACAAACAATATTAAAGTTTCAATATCATAGAACAGACAGCAAATACAGTTACGACAAGCACAAATCTATATTATCCAGACACTTCTACAAAGGCAATATCATGTCCACATTTGGTTATTTGGATTTTAATTGTTAAAAACTAATTTAGTTTATGTATGCATTTCAGTTCCTCAATGACATATGCGGGTAAATGTAACCTTCTATCCAGCACTGACCAATACAGATTAAAAGATGTGTGTTTGATTCAGAGTGTGCTGAGGTAGCCAACCTCGGGTTGAGTAATCAGTACAATAAGCCTCAGCACCTCTGGCAAAGGTTAACCAGTATTCTGTTTCCATTGACCCCTGCTGTAACGTGGATCTATGTTAAATGAAGGATTGGCAATGGATTCAAGCTCCCGAGCAGTGGTCGAGTTCACCTCATAGTAAAGTATGCTGACACATGGTATCGGACAGTGACTGGCAGCCAATATTAAAAAAGGAGGCAAATTTAGCAGATGGGGGATAAGAGCAAGAAGTGTACACATGCTCCACAATTCACTGAATAAAAAATACTGCATTTGATAGTTATGTGAATTAACAGGACAATATTTATATCTACAGTATATAGTATATAGTGTCTTTCACATGTGGATTTCTTAAAGCGCTTTACACTGCTCGCTGGAATCCCAAACCGAGGACAACAAATTAAACATATAATCTCAATTCTTTGAGCGCAATATCATAAAAAGCCTGTACTGACCATTTTCTTATTTTTTTCTACCATGATCTCAGATCATTTAAATTTTAAATTCAGTAAACACTCAAATTATTTTTGAACCAAGTATGTCTTACACTAAAAACTGCTAAAAAGGTTTTGCTTCAAATGTGCAGTATTTACTTTGTAATTTTATATCTCCCAGTCCCATCTCCTTTGAGTGATTTGCGCAATCACAAATTTCTTGTTGCTTATTTACTAGCAACTCAATCCTCTAAAACAATCTTATACTTGCCCTGGGATTGCTAGATTTGACACTGAGTTGAAGTCTACTAATTTAATATCTCAATTGCTTGCTTTATGAATTACTGTACAAGAATAAAGAAACTCCTTAATCTTGACTTCCAAATGTAATATTTCAAACTGTTTTAAATTTAAGTTAAAGTGGCATATTTAAATTTAAAGTGACATACTTAAAAAGAAGTGATCAAAAACAGATCACAATTTAGGGAACACAGCTTGCATGGTTGAAAACATGTTGACACTTTTTTTTTAAAAAACAGAAACATAAAACCAGTAAATAAAATTTAGGAGAATGAAGAGCACTGACTACTGCATGGTTATACTTTTTTCAAATTAATGTATATATTAAAACGGACATTTGCTAATCTTAAAATGCACTTGCATTTTTATCTGATCTAATCCGTTAATTTCGATTAACACATAGATTATCCTTAATGTACACAGGAACAGAATTTGTACATGAAGAATACTTAATATTTTAGTGTAGCTTAAACAGTATTATATGCAATATATTCAGTAAACTACTAAATATGTGCTTGTATGCAATCAGCTCAACAAGAGTGCTATCAATTAAGCCAATTATCTGACTCCGCATGTTGTACTATTTTATTGCTTATGCCCCATATCTTAAATATACAAGTCTTGAGTCACAAGGTTCTGGGTTCAAAACCCACATCAGGACTTTGACATCACAATCTTGGCTTACACTCTGATACAGTAATGGGGATGCAATGCATTTTGGAGTGCTACATTGTTGGAGCTGCCATGCTTTAGATGAGACGTTAAATCAAGGTCCCATCTCTCTATTGAGGTGGAGTTAAAAGATTCATGGCAATATTTGAAAAGAGGGAGAAATTTCTCCCAATCTCCTGGCCAACAATCCCCCCAAGAAAAGCAATATGCAAAATGGCTGCTGTGTTCAGCTACAAAAACACAGTAAATCTAAGTGCTGAGAGACATCTGATGAGAAAGGTGCTATATCAAATGCAACCACTTGCTGGACATTAGCAGGCATCTAATTGGTTGCTATACATCCATATTTATCTGTATTCAAATACAACAACCTTTATAATCTACACACATCACTGAAACATGCAAGTAATCTTAACCAAGAAAAAACATAAAATGAAATAATTATTTCAAGCATTGACTGAAGGCTGCAATTTATTCCAACTGTTAACAATTTGTACCAACATTTACAGAACTTAGTTACATCGATTCACCTACCTTAATGTTCACTTCTGCCCCATTACTGACCAAGAGTTCTAAACACAGTGCACCGTGTGTTGAAGCAGCAGCAAAATGGAGTGGAGTGAAGCCCTTCTCATTCACTTGGTTGACATTTGCACCACTATCAATGAGTTCATTCACAACTACATCCTGGCCATTGTAGCAAGCCACATGAAGAGGTGTGTTCCCATATGCATTTGGTTCATTAATCTGTGCAAGTACATAGCAATAAAAGTACATAAGAATATTTGCTCAATTGGATTGTACAACAAACAACTTGTAGAAGTCCACCAAAAAATGTTTTGATTTGGGACAAGCCCCTATACAATTTAGAATAGGCTGTTGATTCGCCCTTTTGTTCTGATCCTTCCAAACTACTGGCTTAGCCATTTACTCAAAAAGTAATTTTATAAAATGAGGAATAATTCATAACATCTGATTGAGAGCTAGCAACTAAATGCGGCCCAAGTGCTCTACTTTCAATGATTTTACATTCATCTCTCTAAGCCATAAACATCTGGTATTTATTGAAAATCAGATTAAACCGTTGTAAGGGATCGTGCAGCTGTAACTCATTTTAAACAAAGAACATATCAAACAAAAGCAAACACAAACAAAATAAAAACAAGTTTCAGAAAGCTTCATTTGATGCCTGCAGCAAAAACAATGCTCATCTGAACTAAATAGTCATTGCTCACAAGGCTCCAGAATAACTTTGGTAGAAATGCTGCAAATGTATTTTATTGCTACAATACAGCACAAAATAAAGTTGTACTATTTTAGTTTTGCACACCATGTTGAAATGCGTGTTGTACTATTTTATTGCTTATGCCCCATATCTTAAATATACAAGATTTGTGTGTGTGTGTGCGAGTGGGGGGGGGGGGGTTGGGGTTTCTTGTATGTTGTCAGAGGTAAACTTTGGATAAGCAGAGTTGGAAATTAGAAGCTCCTGTCAAATTAATCTTTTTTTAAGAAAAAACTATCCGCTGAGAGAATCTTACAAGGTCTGACAAGAGAATGAACATAAAAGGTATTCAAATTCCCCTCCTAACAAAATAAAAAAATCTTATGGAAAAATCTAACTTTCACCTTTTGTAGGTTACCTATATGAAGTAGAACCCAATTATAAAATTTCAACCACTGTTATAATGTGGTACAACCAAAAAAGCAGCCGAGTTAGCCATTGAGCATGCGAGCAGGAAACTGGCCAACTTCCAGTGCTATTAATTGTCTGGCTTCTGGGCCATTCGGTCACTGCCGAAGTCACTTCCTAAGCACCATTCATGAGGTGATAGTGGAAGTGATGTCAGCAATAACCTGACAACCCAGCTATCTTTTTAGCATACAAGAAGCTGATCATCTGCACACCAAAACCCAACAGCAGGTTCACAGATCATCAGCCTCATAAGCTAACCAGTGTATAAGGGGGTGACTAACGATGGGTTTTACTGTACTTCTGCAAACAAGACACATATTCACTGTTAAGAGTTCACATTTAAAACAGAACTCAATGTCAGGTGAGAACATTTGGTTGAAATAATTGTGAAGTTTTTATTAAACTGGTGTCAATAGGCAATAGTGAAACAAATTTTCCTGTTTCTATGAAAGCTAAGCAAAAAGTATTAGTATTCTACCTAGATTTTTTTTTAAAGTGAAATACTTATGGTAATGTAAAAACTTACATCAACTCCAAGATCTAGGAGGTATTTGACTACGCTGATCATTCCACTGGAAGCTGCAGCATGAAGTGGCGTATAAGCTTTCTTGTCCTTGCACGTCACTTCAGCTCCATGTGCTACTAACAGCTTAATCACTTCAATGTGACCTACAAAACATAGCAGGATACAAATTTCAGAACAGCAACAGGTATGGACAGATTATTTTTGTGAACCATTACTGCTATCTGACAGGTTCAAATCATTTTAGGTTTTCCATTAGCCTCTCACATACTGTGCTGTTCAATCCATTTGATATAATGAAAAGATTCTTTGTTTGTCAGGCAGAATTAAAAATTTACTATTTTATGATGAAACAGTTACTTTATTATACATGCACTTCAAACTTCAAGTAGGCTTGAAGTATTTTAGCACTTTATAATTTTTAATATATACAAAATAACAACTCTTGACATACTACTGTAGAACCCAAATTATGTGGGTCATTATAATAAACTAATTTTTAAATTATGAGAACAAAGCAATCATAACTACTTGTCACAAATAAACTATTAATGTCACCACATACCCATGTATGCAGCCCAGTGAATAGCACGCCGGTCTTTCTTATCAAAGGCATTGATGTTGGCACCCCTGGACAGAAGCAAGCTAACCATCTAGGAAAACAAAAATTTTAATTTGATTTTTACATGCATTTTACTCTGAAGACTATTTTAGTGAAAAGTCTGCAAAGGCCCCGTTTTATAAATAAGGAAAGTACAATATATTGGAGTTGTGTTGTATTATTTAAAATATTTCTGTAAATGTAAGATTCTTTTTTGAGAAAGCATATTGGTTTTTTGCATCATAAAATGTTACAGTACAAAAACTAGCCAGCTGACCCAACTAATCTGTCCTGGTGTTTTACTCCATGAGCCACTTAATGTAACTTAACTTTCCTGCTCATACTCTTTAATATTCTTCTTCCTCAAGAATCTAATTCCCTTTTATAATAATGTACAATGTTTGCTGCAACAATGGTTCATGGCAAAGAATTTCACACCTTTCCAATACCACTTTTTTTTTAAAAATCTATCTTACATTTCTGTGCTCTAACTGTCCTGTGAAACTCGTGAAAATATTCTAGTAACCCCACTGTATTATTATAAAATGAATCATATATAGGATTGATGTAGTTGAATTGTTTCTTGCCTCTCTTATTTGCAGGCTTTTCTTTTACTTGCACCTCTCTCTCTTTCTACCTTTCCACCCTCCACCCCCACCTCCCTGGCCCACATAACAGGACATTACTAACATTTCAACATAGTTTCAAAATTAGCATCAGAAATTAAAATGTGCTGTTAAAGTTCAGGAATTTGCTGAAAAGGAAAATACATTTGAAATGTGCAGCACTGTCTCATACGCAACTGAGCCAGATTCAATCCCAGGGCTGAGTTTGTTGCCTTGGCCAGACGAACAAAAGGGTTGATAAGATTGGTCCCAGTCACTGTGGAGCATTTTCTACAATAACAGGTTGAAGAATTCACTGTCAAGACTCGTACTTAAATTTTGCAAGTACATGTGTGCAACCAGAAACTATAGAATCATTTCAGGATGAGTTACTATATCAGAAGAGGAGTGGCTAGAGAATGGGGAGAAAACATCCATAGGATTTTGAAATCTGCACTGGCTCACAGAGCAGGGAGATCACTTAAATCCTATCGCCCCACCTTATCCCTATACCTCTTTCAAGCCCCTCTCTTCCATTTACCAATCGACTTCCTTCTTGAAAGCTAAAACAAACACCCCTCCTCGGCAGACGTTCCACATCCCCAATATCATGTCGAAAAAAAGTCCAAATGCTTTAAATCGGTTGACGATCAGAACACTGTAAAAGTTTATAGAGCAACACATTTCTCATTTCACATCAACGTTGTGCTCTTTACAACATGTGCAGAAATATGCATACACAACAATTAATGCATTTATTTAGCACTGACTCATTTTAAAAGATTGTTAATAAAATACCTCTACGTGTCCACTGAAGGCAGCATGGTGTAAAGCAGTTCTCCCTGCTCGGTCAGAGACATTTACATTACTCAACAGAGGAACCAGAGCTTCGGCACACTTCACCGCCTTGTTTGCGGCAGCTATGTGTAAGGGAGTCTGCCAGTTTTTGTCACGAGCATTCACATCAGCTGAATGCTTTAAAAGCACCTGAACTGCATCCTAAATCAAAGAAAGATTTTGATAAAGATTACAATATAAAGTACATGAGATGAACAAAAACATCAACAACTGGAATAATAAACAACCATCTGGATTGATTTTCAGAATGCATTTGAACGTAATTTACATCCCAGAGGCCTATTCTGCTCAGTTCTCACAATACCCATGTCAAAGAATAGACCTCCTTTGCCATTAACTTCATTTTATGAGTGGGAACTAAATGTCAAATTACTGTTCCAGCTGGATCAGACAACAAAGAAAGCTGAATTCCCAGGACTTCCCTTGATGACTCATTTCAATAAAGCACTGTCCCCAAAAAAGGATAGAAGGGGTGGGAAGGAAGTGGTCCGCAGAGTAGATTAAAAACTGAAACTTGAGTATGCTGAGTAAATTATGGTAAAATTGCAATCCAAAATAGTTCTAATCATTGTGGAAGAAAAATTCCACTGTCAAATTAAAATTATTTAAATTAAATAACATTTACTCCATTTCTGTAACAATGTAGCTACAGAATTTAAGAACTACAGAAAACCAGCTTCAAAGTTGAGACAGAATTCAACAATTAGAAGAGGGTGTTTTGGGGTAGCTGGTGCTCATTCATATTTGGTAAACTGGCAATGTCATTTGAGTCAAAGCAGTGTACTGGTTGGCACTCATTTCCTTCATCATGTCAGGTTATATAGTCTTTCAGACAAGAGAAAGAAGCAATGTCCGAAATGAAAACAGTTCGCTTGAGGCTCATATAGCCAGAAGACATAATGATCTCAATTGTAAACGAAGTTGCATTAGCACGTATAATAAAACTCACATAAGTCGTGTCAGCTGGGACAACAATTGCAATGACTTATGCGAAGTCTGAGTTGATTTAATCAATAATCTACAGTGCGCATGCATAAGTCAATGCAGTCAGTAAGTGAACATGCGGTGACTGGTCAAGACTACATTTCCTGCAATTCAGTGCACGCGCACTTACAATGGAAGTGCAATACATTACACATTGGAATGGCAGGAAATAGTTCTTCTGCGTATGCGTCGACTGATCAAGATTATTTTCCTACAATTCAATGCAGCTGAGTGGTAAACGCGCATACATCGACAGGTCAGGCCGTCATTTCTCGCAATTCAAAACAGCCAATAATGCAGGAGTAATTTTGGGGTAAGCGTGATGAATAAGGAGGTGATTAATACGAGAAGCGCAAAGAAATCTGGAAACTGAAAGGTACTTGGATGAATGTACAACTTGGGTGATTGATTGTACATTTATAATAATACTTATATCTGACGTATCACGTCTTCGAGACGACTCAAAGCACTTCACAGAATATACTGTAAAGTGAATTGACTGTATATTTTGTGGGCACAAACTGCACACAGCACTGTCCCACAAGTAGTCGTAGATCAAGTGACCAAATTCTTCTTATTATTTTTAAGGGCTTATACTTATAAAGATAAGACTTATCCATATTGTATTGTATGTATTAATTGGGTTTCCAGGTCACAAATTCACAATCTTGGGTTGAAAAGATTTCTGAGTTTGATGTTCTGTAACCCAATTGAAAATGGTTTATTATAGTAAAAAGTTTTGAAGCAGGAATAAAAAAAAAGCCACAGATGATGGGTGGAGAGTGGCAAGGGACACACAGCCTGACCGAGGTAGCATTGGGTCCAGACAGGAAAGTGAGGCTGTAGATGATTAGCTCGGGGAGGCAAGAGTGATCTTCAAAATGATCTGCTAGAAGAGAGAAATAGCGAAGCCTGGTGAGGGACTGAGGTGGTAAATAAACAAAGTTAATGCAGACAGAGATGCGGAAACAAAACCTACAACAACGTTACGTATTTCTGGAGGAAGTTCCAGAGGGTAGGACAAACTGTCTAAAATGGTGGGACAGAGATTATGCAGCAGGCCAGAGGTGGGGGAGTGACCAAGGAAGTAGAGTTGTAGATTAGAGGTACAATGGGGCAAAACCGTACAGGTATTTGAAAGTGAGAGATGATTTTAAATCAATTAATATATTTTTTTCTAGTGCAACTGTAAATCAACTTCAGGAGCATAGAAGACACTGATTATTACTGAAGCCACATTGCTTTAATACACAAAATGCTGATTTTGATTTCAAACTCTTAAAAAAATCAATTTTGCTGGAATACACAAAGCAGAATAAAAACCTGCCTCAGAAATAAAATATGGCTAGATTCTGTAACACTGGAAATTTCTGGTTAGCAACCACATTAAGATAAAAATATTTTATTTACTGCAAACAATCACGTCATTATCTGTTCGACTCATTTGCATGATACCACTTCCTGTTTTGTGGTTAAAAGGGATTTCAAGAAAATGTGTTTTTTTAAAAAAGGCCCCTAAATATGCACATTTTGGAGGATTGAAAAAAAATTGCAACATATACCTACACAAATGTAAGTAGAATTTATTTTTGTTCTCCTTTAAAGTCCAATTGATTCAAAACTGCGCCACCTGCGTATCCTCACCAGAACCAAACTCTGCACTCCCATAACCTCAGTCCTTGCCAGGCTCTGTTGGCGACCTGTCTCAGAGTCTCCGAATGAATCCATGTTTGTGGGACACTTGTGTGCGCAATTGGCTGCCACATTTTGCCCACAAATATACAGTCAATTCATTTTAGTCTATTCTGTGAAGCGCTTTGAGATGTCACGAAGATGTGAAAAGCGATATATCAAATGCAAGGATTATTATTATTATTTCAAGATTCTCAAATTCACCTACCAATCACTTCATGTTTGCACTTCCTTACCTCTCCAACCTGTTTACTACCCTTTGCTCAGCAGGCTTGAGTATTCTCTGCATCCCACAACCCCTCTACTCTTGGCGGCTGTGCTTTCAGCCACTACATCCTGATACTACCTCAATCGCTCTGCCTTGCCCCACTTTGCCCATCTTCAGATCAGACCTGAAAACTTCCCTCTTCGATCATGCCTACGATTACCTCTAGTTACCTGTTTTACAATCGTCTGTCTATTGTTTATTGTTCTTACTGCTCTCGAATGTACTGTCTACACACTACTACTTTCTACTTTCAGATTTGATCAAAGGCTATTTTTCACTTACCTTGCATTTTTTCTCTCCCTCTATCAAAATCATTTAATCTGCTAAATGAAAAAAAAGACCTTACATTGACCTTCTATTTCCTTCTCTACCTATTGTCCCTCACATTTCTCCATACTCCTTTTTGTTCTGCGCTTGCCACATCTGTCTAATTTGTGTTCTGTACTGGGGGTTCTTTTCAATTATCCCTTCTTTGCAATTTCATCCTGACAAAATCCAACCTTTTGCTTTTGCAATTTCAAAGAACCACTGAAGAACTTAAAAGGGCTGAGACCAGTACAAATCAAACCCATTCTAATTGCCCTCATACCAATTGAGTGTAAAATAATTTCCTGGCAATATCACCTCTGCAAGCTTGATTTGGCAGTCATCCTGCAGCTTGATTCAGTTTGCAGTTGCACATCTATAATTCATTTTCATACTGATTAAATTAGATTTTCATATGAAACTGCTATGAAAAATTTTGCAGGATAAATACGATACAAACCAATACAAAACCTAGATAGGCTTGATTCACAGATCAGAGATTTAAATTCCAACCCACAAGAAATTGCATATTAAGATAAATTTCATTAAGTACAGGAATGCAGATCTGGATTGCAAATCTCCACACCAAGAAACAGGAACACCGTAACAGGAAGCAAATACCCATTTCCTTAACAAAGCATCAAAAGGAACAAAGGAACAAAACAACCTACTAAATTGCAAGTAACTCGGCAGCCTTCCACAAATCCAAATGGCAGAAAACAAAGAATTGCTTTTTGAACATAACAGAATTAAACATTAGTACTCATTTTAACAATTAAACCAGGCCGTGTAAAACTATTAGTTTCACCATAGATCAACTCAATACTGAAGTACAAAAACACAGAAAAGGGTCAAACTCTGGCCTAGTTTTGCATCTTTTCTTCAATTTATTCAATTTGCAGGATAACTTTTCCCTCAAAAAGGAGACGTAAGAGTCCCTTGGAAACATGGTGAAAATACGAAGCAATGAAGGCAAGTCCTCAGGACATCTTGCACTAATTCTTCCGCACTGAGCTCCATGAGACAATCACCCCTATCCTCACCTGGCTTTACTGTCTCCCGATCCTCCAGAGGATAGTTTAAAATCCTTGTCTTCGCCATTAAAGCCCTCCATGGTCTTGCGCTGTCCACCTCTGTGACCCCCTAAAACCCTACCAATCTGTCCACTTGGCGGGTACTGGCTTGCTCCACGCCCCCCGCCCTACCCACCCCATCATCAGCGATCGGGCCATTAGCCTTTCTGCACTTCTCTTTGGAACTCCATTCCGGAGTCCCTCCTCTCCTCCAAGGCCTGTCTCAAGACCTTCCTTTCCGTTCATGCCTTTGGTCATCTTCCGTCATTGTCAAGTGATTCAACCATAAAACAACACCCACAACTTGCATGTATATAGTGCCCCTCACACAGGGTACAGTCCCAGAGAAACAAAAGAACTGGTAGCAGATGAAACTACAATGAAGAATTCAACAGCAATTTATTACTGGGATTGCTAAATAACTGCCCACTAACTTTTGAAGGAATGACATGGAAAAATTTCACCAAAACTTCCAAATTGCTATAAAGTATTGCTGAATAATAGATCCATCGGCGATTGGCAGATCACTTTTCTGGGGATAATAATCCCTTAAAAAATAATTTGGTCACTCAATCCACAACTGTTTATGGGACACTGCTGTGCACAATTGGCTGCTGCGTTTTGTCCACAAAATAGTTAATTCACTTTACAGTATATTCTGTGAAGCGCTTTGAGACGTCTAGAAGATGTGATAAGGCGCTATATCAAATGGAAGGATTATTATTATCCAGTAACAGAAAGCATCAATTCAAAATTCTAGTGTTATTGGAACTTATTGGAAGTACAATTGTTAGTGTAATGTTCTGCATAAATCCACTTTACTTCATGATTTAAAAAGTTATTTTCATTCTTAGCTCCTTGTTCTACCATCTGTACAAGTTCCACGTGTCCATCACAGCTTCTACGAAATAAAAGCTTCCTGCACTTCCTAATCTCTTGAGTCATCTTTATTTTGAAGCTATGACTCCTTATTCTTGAGTTTCCTGCATGGTAGAAAAAATGTATCTGCATCCAAATGTTAACCATGTTCATCAAGTTCCCACTTACAACACCCACTAATCTTTTACTGTCGAAAAGGAAAATTCTTTCCGCCACCCTACCCAAAGTTACCAATTCATGCTGTATGGTGCCATGGTGCCCTCCACTCTCTTCACTGCTGCCCCAGTTAACTCAGCACAAACTGGGTGTGTTTTCAAACTAGGTAGTGGCATTATTAATAGCATTTTACCCACAAAACATAGTCAATCCACTTTATAACATATTCTATGAAGCGCTTTGAGATGTCACCACGACATAAGGCTCTATGTCAAATGTAAGGATTATTATTATCATCATCATCATTCAAGCTAACAAAGTAGTTTCCAAGCTTGATTTGCAATCCTTCACAGCTTACATGGTTTCCTACAAGAAAGTTTCTATCGGCCAGACGAGAAGCCATTTGCAGCAGCATCTGTAATTCATACAAATACATCTTCTATTATGTACAAAACATAAGTTAACTATGTCTAAAATGTGGCAATCATTTCAAAATGTATATTATAATACTCAATGATTTCACTCAGTGAGGTTTTGGCTTTGTTTGGGCAGCACAAGCCAGAAAAGTATAAACTTATGTTGAAATATCCTGCAGTAAAACTGCAGTTTTACTAATAAAGTATGATTGGTTCAGCTTATCATCAGAAACCAAATGGAAAAAGTCAAGACAGTCAGTGGGCATCAAGTGAAGAAAAGAAAACTAATATTGCAATAAAACAGTGAAGAAATTAAAACAAAATTCTGTTAATTCTAAAAATATGCACCATTTTGTACTCGTCTTAAACACATTTGCCAGCAGCAAATTTATATTTATGAAACTTGACTCAAATGATGAATCTAATGTGCAAAAAGCAACAACAATTCCCACAACACTAGTGAAACTATTCCTCTACCATACAAGTCAGACTCTGTTAACACTCCAGTAGACTGTTAATGAATCCACTAACCTGAATTCCACGATTTTCACTCGAAGCACTGGAAAAGTAATTTCTATAAAACCCAATAATCTTTGGGAAAATTAGATTAACCGTTACTAGATTGCGTTTTGTACAACAAACTGAAAATGTTCATTGACCTCTCAGACAACATCTCTAATACTGCCATTAAAAGATCAGCCATTTACACTTACCTCACTGCAGGAGGCTACAGCACGGTGCAGAGGAGTCAACCATTTGTTGTCTTTGGCATTAACTCTGGCTCCTAAAAGAACAACATGGTACAAACACTTATTGTAGTTACATACTAATTAATTTGCAGATATTCTCCTACCAATTTATTATATTATTCGAAAAGAGAAGCGAGTTTTTCACAGTGTGCTGCTCAACAAATCTTCATAAAATTGAACATTTACCCATGGCTGTTCGTGGCACTCTGGCTGTGCTCAAATTAGCTGCGGTGTTTGCCCACAAAAATATAGTCACTTAATTTCCCAGTAATTAGTTATGAATCACTCAACACTTTAACATTATATAATAATAATAATCCTTGCATTTGATATAGCACTTTTCACATCTTCTAGACGTCTCAAAGCACTTCACAGAATATGCTGTGAAGTGAATTGACCGTAAATTTGTGGGCGAAACGCGACAGCCAATTGCGCTCAACAGTGTCCCACAAACAGTCGTGGATTGAAAATGACCAATTTATTATTGTGTTTTTTTTGAAGGGATTATTACTAGGTGTGTGGAGTAAGGAAACTTGCCCAAAGGTTTGCCCTGCCTGGAATTGAAGCCAGGTATCTCGATTGCAAGGCGAGTGCTTTGACTACTGAGCTACAGGACTCCTATCAAAAGAAAGGACTATTATACCTATTGTAAGACTTACATGACTATTTATGGTTAACTAGCAAGAGCGCTTTCCACACAAGTTCAAATCATATTGCTTCATAGCTACTATCAGGGTCTTAAAGAAGTGAGTATTGCAGTTCTCATTCCAGTTCTGACTGGGCATTATTCCACTGTACATATCTACCCACAACTTGGCACTAACTGACACTCTCCAATGCCACAAAATAGATTAAGTGACAAATGTTAAATTACCAGGGTAGTGTCTTCCCATTTGTCTGAATAATTTTTAAACTCTACATACAAGTTAATAGGGAATCATCATGAGAATTTTTTAATGATGTTTTAATAATAATCCTTGCATTTGATATAGCGCTTTTCACGTCTTCTAGACGTCTCAAAACGCTTCACAGAATAGACTGTAAAGTGAATTGACTGTATATTTGTGGGCAAAGTGCGGCAGCCAATTGCGCACAGCAGTGTCCCACAAACAATCGTGCATTGAAGTGACCAGTTTATTATTTTTTTGAGGAAATATAATCAGGTCTGTGGAGTAAGGAAACTTGCCCAAGGTTTCACTCTGCTGGGAATCAAACCCAGGTTAAGTTTAAGAGTTAGCACTACAAAGAGATAATTTACAAATTATATCTATTTGGAAGACTAGGCTTTTATCAATAATAATATTTCCATTTAAGGGAGCAGAAGTCAGAGGATGATGTATTGATATACTTCCGTTAAAAAAAAGATTTAGTTAAAAGTATTAATAGTAGGGAGTTGGCACCACAGTGACACACCTGACAAAGCACGGAGCAGAATTGAATTATCTAATATCTAAAATAGGCAAGTCCACAGCATTCCCGCATATTGATTGACCGGGAGTTAGAGATACAGACATGTCACTGGAGGATGAGATTCTTGTGACTTGTCTCTTGATAATCCTGCAAACGTCAATGGGTATACTGATCCACCCACCACACGCAGTGGAAAATATACCAGTACTTGGAATGACTTGCTGGGAGCTGGGAGGAGCTAAGACAGGATTCATATTAGCTTTTAAAAGGGAACTTGATAAAAATCTAAAAAGTAAACTACAGGTATATCGGGGAAGAGCAGGTAAATGGGACTGAGTTAGCTAAGTTTAATTCCAGCACACGTTGGGGCCCTTAATGCCCTGGATTCTATCAACCCATGTTATTTAGATGTTGGAAATTGAAGATGTGTACTCTGTCTTCAGAAATAGGCAAAAACGCATCAGAATCTCAGTAGCTGGAACTTGAGAATCTTAAGTGCAGGAAAGAGTATCCACCCATCTCAACTTCTGACTAACCAAAATTAAACTTTCCAGCCTCTGGTTTGGAGCCAACTGGCACTGGTATAAACTGCACTGATATCAACTGTCGCCAAAACAGTCACTGGAACAAATGTCAGTTGGGCGTTGGCTGATACTTTCTGCCAAAGGAAGTGCAGCAATTGTGGCTGCAGTCAGATTAATCACAAATGATCCACTGTCAAACTGGAGGAAGATGTGTTAGAGGAAAACTCAACCCCTTCTTTTTGCTTCTATCTATTTAAAATGTGAACTCAACCTATGCTGCAGTTCTCAACCATTCCCAATAACTGTTCTAAACTGCATCTACAACTGAGCTTCTTCCAGTAGTTCTCCCCAGTTTAGCTCATGGTCCGCTTTGCAGAGATGCAGTACTTGGTGATCGTTTAAGGCTTGAGTTACAATACATTGCTGGGCAAAAATTTAGTGTTTTACTTTGAATTTGACTGGTGCTGTACGTAATGCCGATTCTGCTAGAGTAAAAAAAAGTATACTCTACAGTGATGAACACAAACTTATTTTCAAAATAAGTAATTTAATCACGACCAGCTTCTATGTGTAAAAATATCCAGAAACTAAAGTTAAAATACAAGATCCCCTTTGACAATTAAGCTTACACACTTTACATTTAAGTAAAATATAGAAAGATAAAATACACAAATAAATATGTTCTAGTTTATTCTACTGCTAAAGTGTAAGAAATACAAGAATAGTTTATGGATATAATTGCAATACATCTAAATCTTCTCCCAAATAATTTAGAGCCTTGCTGAGCCAGCCTTGAAATATTTTCGTGGGCTATCTACACTTTTACTTTGAGATAAGTAATAAATGGTAGAGCTTGAAGGTGTTATCCTGCTTCCAGGGGCGCTATATAAATATAAGTTTTATTGTTGTCGTCTTCCAGCCTGATCTAAGCACTCCAAGAGCAACTTGGATCCGGTTGTAATTAATAATTGCCAGTTGCTAAGGGAATACAGTAAATAAGGTCATTACGACTTTTATACAAAATTGTACATAAAAAAAATCTGTAAACAAGAAATTAGTTGACAAAGCATACAATCAAACAATACCTGATAAAATAAGGAGTTCAATAATTTCAGCATCTCCCAGATATGCAGCAGCATGTAAAGGGGTTCTCTTCTCGGCATCCTGCAGCAGAGCAGAAAAACAGCACGGTTACAGGATGGTTTTTATAGATAGAATTTACATGTTTATAGCAGCGCTTTATCATATCAAATGTCTCAAAGTCTTTCAAACGTAATTATTGTGAACTGTACGTGAAATGTAATATGTTGATAATTCTATTTGTTGGCAACATGGCAGCCATTTGCATCAGCAATGTCCCACAAATAGCCACGAGATGAATGAAGAATTAATACATTGGCCAGGACATAGCATACCAGTCATAATTTTAAGAAATACAGTGCTTTGTTACATCCAATAAATAGTTGATTTTATGATAGCTGTCTTCAGCACACCAGTCAATGGTAATAGTGTGAATACAATTCTACAACCAACTCCAACCCACAGATATATGTATTACTACAGTAATTGGAAGTACTATAGTAGAAAGTGGTCAAAATGTATTTTTAAAAAAAGCAGAATAAACCAAATTGCTGCCAATCAAATCTTCCATTTTCGTTCATAGCACATTTTAAGTGCACAATAGAGTGTACTACAAAGACCATTACAAATATCCCATAACAAAACATCCTTAAAGCTGCCTTAAACATAAAAAATACATCACATAAATAAAGATCACAATAGCTCAGATGAAGTCCTGATCAGCAATGCCAGAAATATGTTAGTGTACCACCTAATCTCCCAGATGTTTTGAAAAAAATATTAGCAGCAGTCTACATTTTAGCTGTAGGGTCATTACACTATCAGAGGGCTTTTCTTTTTTCTCTCTATCCCTCAATGGTCTTTCCCCCACTAATTCTAAAGGTTGAGTAGGTCAGTTTCATATTAACATAACTTAGTTATAATGCTCAGTAATTTAATTAGCATGATACGGGCTCTTAAATCTGACGTACTAGCGGATACAGCAGAAAATAGCTCACTGCATCACTTTTACTACACCATATAATGCATCATTTTTACTGTAGCATACAACATTTGTTTCTGAACGATTCTTGGAATCTCCTCAGTATACAAGTTTAAATCTGTAACCATGTTTTGAGCATTCTTTGGGAAACAAAAACATCTGACAGGTTGCCCTGAATATGATGTCACAAGAACTTTATATCAAGTAAACGAGAAAGAGCTTAGAAACGGATATGCAACAAGAACCTCAAAGATGCAAAGCTGAATATGCATTCATGATGTTAAATATTTAAATTAAAAGCAAATTGATTTTGTTTAGTAATATTCAGCATGTTGTAAAACCAAACGGCCTTCACTGAGAACAAATCGAATGTAGATTCATGTCAATTTACCTTATGATTGGATTGAGAATCCTGTTTCAGGTGCCTTAAAAAAACTAAGCGGGGGCGGGGAAAGATAACAACAAATGCAACTTTTTCATCGGATGTGTCATGTCACATTTTTCCACATATTCCACAAGACTGAATGTAGAAATGAACAGCAGGGAGAAAGCCAGTGGCCGGAGTGGTAGGATCAAAGGAGATCAGTGGTGCAAAAAGGTCGAAAATCCTTACGAAGACAGCCCCACTCAAATTGGCTTAAAAAAGCAGACTGGTTGGCACATTGATGATATTTGCTAAAGAAAACCTGCATAGTAATGACACATTTTACTTGGTGTTGGGTTCCCTTAGACTTTGGCTAAAGTGAAACAAAACTTTTTGCACCTATTTTAATTTGGCAATTACTTTTTGTTTTCAAAATGTGGAACTCCAGCATTTCTATTCCAACATTCGCATCTGTAGTGGTGGAAGTGATTCAGGAAGGATATTACTTGTAATAATTGGTTCCTTTCTGGTCAGACATTTAAACTCAGCATAAATTAATTCTGCAATTTCACATTTGACAATCGTGAATTTCCAGGTTAGTGGAAGTTCCTGTCTGAAGCTCTGCAAACATTTACTTTTCACTAGTAACAGGTTTATTGCAACAAACACCACAAATAATGGCTGAATGGCTTGTGATAATGGGTGTGCAATGAATTGTGAACTTTTAAAATTACACATTAACTAGAATGTGTGAGGTCACACCACTGTTAACCATTAAACACTGAATAACACATTAATACTAGACATTCCAACATCAATTGTTCATGAATAAAACAAGTGCTGCGGCAAGGGAAAAGTAATGAATCCTGAATTGACTATTTATACATACAGCTAGTTATTGAATGCTAATATCCACCCTGTAATTTTTCTCCTATCATTTTGTGTGCCACTATCAATGCTCGTCTTAAGAGTGCAGTGCAAGCACCCACGTATAACTCAAACTGCTCCTAAGGTTCCTACCAGTTGCATCAGCAAGTCACCACACCCCACTACAAATATATTCCCACCCTTTGAGAAAGTCATTCCTTCAAGGGCACAACTAAGATGAGGAAGTACAAAGTTCACTATTCTGACAGCTTTATTCTATCCTCAACTGCGTGATAAGAGATAACGTTGTCCCTTATTTGTGTAAATATACAAAACATTTTACTCATGCGGTATATTATGCCAAAGGCAGTTTGACCAGCAAAGCAGCTTGCAATACCAATTTTAATAATAATCCTTACATTGGGTATAACGCCTTTCACGTCACGAGAAACGCCCAAAACAGCCCACAGGATATACTGTAAAGTAGAGGCTGTTTTACAGGCGAACATTTACAGATTTAATGCTCAATTCACTATTATTTAGCCTTCTTAACATCCAATACAATAAACAATAGATTGCTCATTGATTTCATTGAATGTATATTAAATTGCAAGTGTATATATAATAATTCTTGCATCTGCCTTTCACGTCACGAGGCTTCACAGAATATACTGTAAAGAGTAGCGACTAATTGTCGGCAAACACAACAGAAAAATTTGCACAGCAATGACCCACAAACAGCTACAAAGTGAATGTCCAATTTTACTTGGGGATTGTTGATCAATGATACTGGAAGAAAGTCCCAGCTGTTTGAGAACACAGAACCTTTAAAATACACAATTCTTTATAATTTATTGTTTTTTTTTAAAAAAGGACGACAAATACAACAACTTGCATTTATATAGTGCCTTTTTTTAGCAACTTTTTAAGACTGTAAAATTATATTTAAAAGGAGTGAAAATACTGCAACTACTAAATGCCAACAATCAGCCGAACAGAAGGAGTAAGCAGAAGAGTTGGAGAATATCACAAAGATTCGAAGGTTCTCTTGGGATGAGCCATTAAACCAAGGCCCCACCTGCCTGTTCAAGTAGAAGTTAAATATCTCCTGGCTCTATTCAAAAGAGAAGGCTGTTACTTCCAGTTTCCTGGCCAACATCCTCCAGATAAAATTGGTCATTCACTTCCTGGCTTTTCATGGCATTGCTGTGTGCAAACAGTAAAAATCCTGTGAAGCACTTTGAGACATTCATAAGGCGATGCAAGGATTACTATAATTACAAACAAAAACTGACGTCGCTGGGAACGCTCAAGCAGGCTTCTGCTTTTGTTTCAGATTTCCAGCATCTGCAGTATTTTGCGTTTTGATTATAATTACCAGGTTTGGTTTAAGTTAAGCAGAACACGATCGCACTTACAGTACAGTCCAATATTCACCACAATTCTCAAGGCTCTCACTAATACTCCACCGAATGGGGTATTAGTTGGAACTGAACCGAAAAGGCTGGTTTGAATTTAATTACAGAATAGGAAAAGGTGTGGTACAGTTGAAAGGATATTTGTCGATGCACTTTAGGTACACTTTATGGGAAATTAATTCCATCATACTGCGCCAAAATGATTTACTCAAAAGGTATTTATTTTGAGGATTGTTCACTGACTCATCAATATATGGGAAAAACAAAAACACACATTGGAAAAGTTTGATGTACAAATCTCCCATATAATCTCAGGAAACTCCCAAAAGATTAAAAATACCAGGCTGGAGACTCCAACAATTCACAAAATTTGAAAATAATTTCCTTGTTAAACCACCATTTGTGCCATGAGCTACAGAGTTCATTTCTTTTAGATTACCATTACCCAAAAGGGTTGGCTCAAAGTCAATTTATTAGCTGACAGGAATTAAAGAGGACAAGGGATAATTTTTCGATTAAGTAAGCAATGCTAGATTGAAAGAACTTGAAAGAAGAAAGATAGAACCTTATCACACTGACATCTCAAAGCACTTTACAAAGCACGTGGAGTCCTGTAGCGTATTGGTTGGAGCACTCGCCCTGCAGGCGAGAGGACCTGGGTTTGATTCTTGCGCAGGGCGAAACATTAGGCAAGTTTCCTTACCCCACACAACTCGTCGATTGGTGGATCGCTTTTCTGGGGGTAATAATCCTTTCAAAAAAAAATTTAAAAAACAATTTGGTCATTCACCAACAACAAATTACATTTGTATAGCAGCTTTCATGCAACTGTTTGTGCGACACAGATGTGCGCAATTGGCTGCCGTGTTTCACCCACAAAATAGTCAATTCATTTTACAGTTAATTCTGTGAAGCACTTTGGGTGAGATAACTTGACCTGATATGGCACTATATTAAATGCAAGGATTATTATTACTATTTACAGGAATACCATCAAGTGTAGTGACATTCTTTTGAGACAATCGCAGCAGCAGTTTTGTGCACAGCAAAATCCCACAAACAGCACTTGGGTTAGACGTTAATGACCATCATTACTCTATTCTAGGACTGACACAGGTTTGACTAACTATCTGCCTTTCTGACATCAAGCTTTCAGCATTGACCGTCAATAACACCGAGTACTAGCATCTATGTGCCCCTGGCTCTGATTCCATCAACCTCCCCTCGCTGCTAACTCAAGCTGCAGAACGTCTGTGTGCAACCTTGACATTCTATATGATCCGGAGCTAAGCTTCAAATCCTACAACCTATGTCACCAAGACATCCTTCTTCTATCTACAGGGCATTGCCAGATTACATCTTTATTGCATTCCTACTGCTGCAAACCTTTATTTTGATCCTCACTACTTCATAGGATCGAATTTAAGATATTTCCTGGTCTTCATATGCTTTC